GGATTTTGGTAAGCTCAGAGAGCTGATAGGTAAGGTCCCATGGGAATCAAGACTGAGGGGAAAAACAACTGAGGAGAGTTGGCAGTTTTTCAAAGGGACACTATTAAGGGCCCAAAAGCAAGCTATTCCGCTGGGTAGGAAAGATAGAAAATGTGGCAAAAGACCACCTTGGCTTAACCACGAGATCTTGCATGATCTAAAAAATAAAAAGGAGTCATATAAAAAATGGAAACTAGGACAAATTACAAAGGATGAATATAGGCAAACAACACAGGAATGCAGGGGCAAGATTAGAAAGGCAAAGGCACAAAATGAGCTCAAACTAGCCACAGGAATAAAGGGAAACAAAAAGACTTTTTATCAATACATTAGAAACAAGAGGAAGGCCAAGGACAGGGTAGGCCTACTGCTCAGTGAGGAGGGAGAAACAGTAACAGGAAACTTGGAAATGGCAGAGATGCTTAATGACTTCTTTGTTTCGGTCTTCACTGAGAAGTCTGAAGGAATGCCTAACCTAGTGAATGCTAATGGGAAGGGGGGTAGGTTTAGCAGATAAAATAAAAAAAAAAGAACAAGTTAAAAAGCACTTAGAAAAGTTAGATGCCTGCAAGTCACCAGGGCCTGATGAAATGCATCCTAGAATACTCGAGCTAATAGAGGAGGTATCTGAACCTCTAGCTATAATCTTTGGAAAATCATGGGAGACAGGAGAGATTCCAGAAGGATGGAAAAGGGCAAATATAGTGCCCATCTATAAAAAAGAAATAAAAACAACCCAGGAAACTACAGTTAGTTTAACTTCTGTGCCAGGGAAGATAATGGAGCAAGTGGTTAAGGAAATCATCTGCAAACACTTGGAAGGTGGAAAGGTGATAGGGAATAGCCAGCATGGATTTGTAAAGAACAAATCATGTCAAACCAATCTGATAGCTTTCTTTGATAGGATAACGAGTCTTGTGGATAAGGGAGAAGCGGTGGATGTGGTATACCTAGATTTTGGTAAAGCATTTGATACAGTCTTGCGTGATATTCTTATCGATAAACTAGGCAAATACAACTTAGATGGGGCTACTATAAGGTGGGTGCATAACTGGCTGGATAATCGTACTCAGAGAGTAGTTATAAATGGTTCCCAATCCTGCTGGAAAGGTATAACAAGTGGGGTTCTGCAGGGGTCTGTTTTGGGACAAGCTCTGTTCAATATCTTCATCAACGACTTAGATATTGGCATAGAAAGTACGCTTATTACGTTTGCAGACGATACCAAACTGGGAGGGATTGCAAATGCTTTGGAGGATAGGGTCATAATTCAAAATGATCTGGACAAATTGGAGAAATGGTCTGAGGTAAACAGGATGAAGTTTAATAAAGACAAATGCAAAGTGCTCCACTTAGGAAGGAACAATCAGTTTCACACATACAGAATGGGAAGAGACTGTCTAGGAAGGAGTACGGCAGAAAGGGATCTAGGGGTTATAGTGAACCACAAGTTAAATATGAGTCAACAGTGTGATGCTGTTGCAAAAAAAGCAAACATGATTCTGGGATGCATTAACAGGTGTGTTTTGAGCAAGACACGAGAAGTCATTCTTCCGCTATACTCTGTGCTGGTTAGGCCTCAACTGGAGTATTGTGTCCAGTTCTGGGCACCGCACTTCAAGAAAGATGTGCAGGAATTGGAGAGGGTCCAGAGAAGAGCAACAAGAATGATTAAAGGTCTAGAGAACATGACCTATGAAGGAAGGCTGAAAGAATTGGGTTTGTTTAGTTTGGAAAAGAGAAGACTGAGAGGGGACGTGATAGCAGTTTTCAGGTATCTAAAAGGGTGTCATAAGGAGGAGGGAGAAAACTTGTTCATCTTAGCCCCTAAGGATAGAACAAGAAGCAATGAGCTTAAACTGCAGCAAGGGAGATTTAGGTTGGACATTAGGAAAAAGTTCTTAACTGTCAGGGTGGTTAAACACTGGAATAAAATGCCTAGGGAAGTTGTGGAATCTCCATCTCTGGAGATATTTAAGAGTAGGTTAGATAAATGTCTATCAGGGATGGTCTAGACAGTATTTGGACCTGCCATGAGGGCAGGGGACTGGACTCGATGACCTCTTGAGGTCCCTTCCAGTCCTAGAATCTATGAATCTATGAATAACATACAAACAGAGTGATGGCCTTTTTTTCCTTCCTTTTTGAAGGGGATGGGGATTGGTGGGTATTTTATTATTAAAAAAACTGTAGCAAAGGCATTCTAATGTGTGAGTAGGAGTATAATACCTTTGTCTTCATAGTTCTGCTTTTAAATCCATCAGTTCCATTTGCAAACCAAGGTTCCAGGCCCTGAATCAGATCTGCTTGAGTGACCCCTTTTGCACACGTAGAGGGCCCTGGATTACAGTGGGTCTTGACACAGGCACAGTGCTTTGGCTGTATGGATCCAATTGCAGGATTGTGGCGTAAAACTTCATTTGGGTTTTAACACAAGAAACGTTGGGGGTAAACACTGCTTCTAGGCATTTGTGTTAATTGGGCTTGGATTAATTATACTATTAAAGCATTTAACCTTGAAGAAGATAAGTACAGAAAAAGGAGGCTAATGATTTTCCAATCTCATGTGATATTGCGCTACTTGCGTATAGCACATAAATTACTATAATAGCCCTGTTTTTGCTAATACCATTACCAGGAGAGATGGGGCATAACTTTCTTAATATTTTAAAAATAATCATTCTAAATACTAGAGAGACAAGGTGGGAGAGAAACAGGCTTTTGAGCCACACAGAACTCTTCAGATGTGAAGAAGAGCTCTGTGTGGCTCAAAAACCTGTCTCTCTCATCAAGTTGGTCCAGTAAAAGATACTACCTCACCCACCTTGTCTCTCTAATATCCTGGGACCAACATGGCTACAACTACACTGCATACAACATTCTTAATACTAGTCAGTCTCGGTTTTCAAAATGGTTTCAACAATATTACGCCTCTGCAAAGCTGGCACAATTGTGCTTGTAACAAATTTTGGAAATTGCTGGTTTTGTAGTGAAGAAGGTACCTAAAAGGGGCTGTAAGAAGCAGCAACAGCAAAAAAATAAAAATCTTAACATGTCTATGTCTCTTTGTTAGACTCTAGAATCCATGCCTGAATACGAGGACTGTAAGTTTTACTGCTTCTGAATATACGTGGTGGCTAGCAGGATTTCGAACAATCTTTGAAATGTACATTTTGTTTTTACAGGTTTTTATTCATAATCCTCATGCCCGTGGCCAGCATGTAAGTGCAAATCGTATGATGCAAAGCAGCCAGGATTCAGATATTTCTCTTCTCAACATTAACCAGGGTGTCAGCTGCCTAACAGCCGGAGTGCTGAATCCCCAGCTTGGCTATGATTGTCTTCTAGTTGGAACACAGACTAACTTGTTGGCTTACGATGTGTACAACAACTCGGATTTGTTTTACAGAGAGGCAAGTTAATTTCACTCTTAGTCTTCATGTCTTTCTTTCCTTCTTTCCTATAAACCTGGTTAGGAGTCATAAATTCTAAGTTAATTTATTCAATTGCCGTGCTTTGCTTTTTGCATATCAGTGATATAATTAGATTCAGGACTTTCTGAGCAGAGGACTTGCATGTTTTGAAAATCAGTATTAAATTTTTAAGAGGACAGTCTAATGCTAATGTGACACATTGTCTGAGAGCGAGTGAGGTTTTTTTTTTTTATAATATGCTATACCAGTTGCAAGTCAAAACTTAAAAGCCTTTGAAAATATTCAGAGCTGAAATAAAATCATTAGAGTAGAATTATATATTCCAATCTGATATCCTAACTAAGTCTGCTTGGAACAGTATTTTGGAAAAGCCGAGAGTTTATCACTGACTCACAGATTTTGTAGGAAACATTTAAAACCTTACATTATTCTGGGCATACTATTCTTTATTTTTCAGTTAAATATCTAAAACTAGTTCATTAAATATTTCACCATTTTCTTTGTTTCTTTTAAAAATAGGAACAGGATAATAATAATTTTAAATTTAAAAAAAGACTAACAGGGTGTGCGAGTGGGGAAAGGAGTTTGTACATATAAGATTAACGACCAGCCTGAGTAGTTGCAGACTGACCTTATTGTAACCTTCATCCTAGCCAACGTGAGTAACTGGGTTGACCTACCTTAGTACTGTAACCTCTCCCCATTGTTTGTTACTCTCACTTGTCTCATCTTATAGTTAGGCCCCAATCCTACCCTTGAATCTGTATGGCCACAGGGGTCAACCCATGGAGATTTGATTACAAGGTCAGGGCCTCCTATGGCCTCCATCCCCCAATGAGATGCTAGGAGTGAAAAGGTTTGCCCGTGCGCAAGTCTCATTCAAGTCTACAGGCCTTTGCACATGCCTGGGGGAACACTTGCACAGATCTCGTTGTCAGATTGGGACTTTAGATTATAAATTCTTTGGGGGCAGTGAGCATGTCTTTGCTAAGCACTTCACAGGTAACACTGTTTTGGGTATGATAAAACAAGAGATACTAAAAATGTAACAGTTCAGGTTACTTTCTCTTACTCCACTACAGTGGATGTAAACAGAGCCAATTTCGTAAGAGTACATGGAGTACATGCTCAGTAGGTTATAACGAGTGTTAAACATTATGAAAAACCCTAAAAGTTGCATTTTTATCATGAAGCCGTAGAAGTGACGTACATACAACCTTCATCATGTACAGTTAAATACAGCACAGATTTTGCTGTTTATATTTGAAGTTTGCAGTTGGTTATCTCTATTTTGTTTAATTTCTGGTTATTGCTTCAACCTTTTAGTCTACAAATACTTTATAGTAACTGATGAATAACTTCTGAGTTATTACATACAGTATTAAGTTAATGTAATGCTGGATGCTTTCTCTTTGCATGTACAGTATGCATATGTATATCTGAATCTTTGCTATGTTTCTATATTCCTTTAATGTTTCTCTGCAGGTTACAGATGGAGCTAATGCGATAGTGCTTGGAATGCTAGGAGATATTTCATCTCCTCTTGCTATTATTGGTGGAAACTGTGCTCTGCAGGGCTTTGATCATGAAGGAAATGATCTTTTTTGGACGGTAAAGATACACACAGTCCTTTTGATGCTGCTACAAGAGTATTTTTGATAGATCAAAATTATGTTTAATAAAATCAATATTAATTTGATTTTTGAATAGCTCAGAAATCTTTCTTAATTTAAGATTCATGATAAACTATGTGTATTTGTAATTTATTCAGTAAATACAACAATTTGAGCCTGAACCAACTATATTCTAATAGTCTTTGTTCTCTTGGCAACTCAGAACATAAAAGTAGTTGTCATAGGCTAAACTAGCATAAGTATTGATGACTCCTTTCTTTTAATTTTAGGTTACTGGGGACAATGTTCGTTCATTAGCATTGTGTGATTTCGATGGTGATGGGAAAAAAGAGGTTGGTTTATTTGTGGATGGTTCTTCTGTGAATTCAGCTGTAGTATTGTCCTGCGGTGAATTTATGTTGAAAGAAAATAACTGAATTATCATATTTGACTCCTTTCTGTTGCTGGTTAGATTTAACTCTGCTTGGAGCTATAGTTCTTTCTTAGGCTCTGATCCTGCAAACACTTATGCACGTATTAAACTTCACTGTGACTTCAATGCAACTAGTCATAGTGACATAAGTCTTTGCAGGATTTGGAGCCTTGCTTTGGATGTGTTGATCACTAATCATAATTCTGAAGCAGTTCTTTGCAGTTTACAGTGTGTATTTTCTCCCAAATCCAATTAAATATATGTAAAAAATACATAAAGCGGACAGATTGCTGGACCCCCTAATGACTGATATATTTAGATATCGTTTAAATGGCAAAGAAACCGTTAGTTAGAAACCATGTTATTCATTATAGTGGACAATTGTAGAAGTGTATTACAAATAATCTCATTTATGGTTGAACTTGTTTTTGATGTAGCCATTCTCAAATCCAATCACAGTGCACCTTTTCAATAATGACACAATGATTAACTGTTACCCACTGCATTGGTGTAAGACTGAAAATAATTTTAACAAGCTTCTTGCTGTTGGGACCATGTAAGACAAGGGTAAGGAAAACTGTTATGCCCAGCTGGTGCAATTGACAGTGTGTGTATAGGCTATTACATCAGTGTGCAAACTTCTAGTTTCTAAAAAATGGCGTTTCTGTCTCTTATTGATCTTTGAATTTTATAATGATCACTTCCTCTTTCCTCCTTATTACCTGGGAAAACCTCATTTTTAGTGGGCTAAGGACTTGTACCATTGTCCTGTGCATACTACAGATGTAATCCAAGTTTCTTCTGCTTACCCATGATGCAGTCTTACAAATATACAGACCATTCACCTATAGGGGTCTCACTGAAGCAATCTATTTGCAGGATTGGTGTCACAGTCTCACTTCTCTTCCTCCATCTTATTTGCGGGAACTGAGCAGGCTGATGGACAAGTAAAGCCATGTACTAAGCAATACTGGAGCTGATTCTAGGCTAGCAAGGTCCAGTGGAGAAGGGCACCAGAGTGGGGGTTAGAACTGAATTGTATTCTTGGCTCTGCCACTGATTCACTGTGTGACCTTGGACAAGTCACTCAACTTCTCAGTTTCTATAACCTGGAGGTGATGACATTTGCCCATATTTGTAAAATGGTTTTCCACATTGCCTTCTTTAACACTCCCTGCTCCAACAAGTCGGGTGCAGGAAAGGAACTGAGAAAACTGAGTGCATGAGCAGTAAGAACCAGGGCCCAAGTCAACATTGTCCTGCACCTCATGCAATCATTTACGCTAAATCAGAATGGTAGCATTTTGCACCCACTTTTGCACTGGTGTAAAGCACTAAGGTGCAGGGCAACAATGAACTGGACCCTCGAATTAGCTGATTTGGGGTCAGCATAGAACAAGAGGCCTTTGAATGTGGGATGATCAGTGCTATAAAATAAAATGGCATTCATCTGTCTGCTCATATGAGCGTGGTTAACGCTTGGCATTGCAGGTCATGATCTATTTGAATCCACATGGCTCTTAGAGAGTTGCAACTCAGCTGCAGATTCCCTACCCCAATACAGAGGATATAGTTTCTCTTATGTAGGTAACTACAGTTATGAATGCTAATACTGAGTTGTGGACAGTGAGACCAGACTATATCCTGGCAGTACTAGAGTGCTTTTCCTCATCCTTGCCTTAGGTATTTTAGTATGTGTTCTTAGAGTTTACACTGCCAAAACAGATGTAAATAATACTTGAACAAAAAGAGAGTCTGTGGCACCTTTTGGTCTCAAAGCACTTTACAAACTTTTCATATCACCACTAAATACTCTTGAAGCCTGGGCCTAGCGTATTTGTTTACTCAGTAAAAACTTTCTGCTTGCCTCTGAATTCTTGTGTGTCTTTGTTTTTTGTTACTGTGAGTTAAATAAACTATTTTAAGATTCTTTCTTTCTTTTTAGCTTCTTGTTGGGTCTGAGGATTTTGACATCAGGGTTTTTAAAGAAGATGAGATTGTGGCAGAAATGTCCGAAACAGAGGTAAATTATTTCTAAGCAGTGTTTATTGTATGGTCAGATGGAGTACAAAATATTGCCCACCATAAATCTACAGTGGCTTAGCTTTACTATGATGACCAGTTGAGTTAATTATTTAATCTTACCTATTTTATTAGCATTTTAAAAGTTACAATTTAATAATGGATTTAAGCCATCTGGAGTGTGATTTTTGCTGTGCCGTTTTACAGATAGTCTGCCAGGTTTTAAAAAGAAAATATTGTTTGTCAGAAAATTAGGGCGCCATCCAACCACCCTGAAGTCACTGGAATGATCCCATTGACGTCAATTGGCTATGGATCAGACCCTCAGTCAGAAGCTGTAAACAAGAGAGCTCATTCAGTTACAATATTTTCCCCAAAAATCGTAGGATAGGTAGGGTCAGATCATGGCTAAGAAGTCAGTGCCTGTATCTCTTGGGCAAGAAGTTCAGTAGTTAATAAGACAACCTCAGTATTTTATGTTGGTATTGTCTCAGATTAGTGGCGCAAGATTTTTCTAGAATGCATTGACAGAAACACGAGTAAGCAGCTTGTGGATGCACAAATACAGATTAAGCAAGGTTACATTTAAAAAAAAATCATGCTGTATGGACATAACTGAAGGTTGTTTGTTGTAACCAGGTCAGATAAGAGTGACATGCAGCAGTTAAAAAACATGGCTGCACCTGTAGCATAGACAGGGCCTAAATTACAGTTGTGGGACAGGAAGGCTTTTAGGGAGGGAATGTGTATGGGTAGAAAGTAAAAGGGTGTGGGGTTGTCACTCTTCAGTTTAGTGTCAGAGAGAGGATCCCCACTATTAGGGATTAGTTGCTTTTAGGGGGGAAAAGCGCCTTGTGGTTGAATTTAGGAATATTCTTAATTCTGTCATTTGCAGTGGAGTGGGAAGGACACCCTAGAGACTTCCCTCCTCGAAAATCTGAGGAGAACTGTATTGTGTGAGGAAACTCGCTGCTGGAGTTAGGGATAAAAGGCTTAGCTACTAAACCACTTATGAAAGAGCTATTAAAGCTAAAGAAGAACAGTTTTGTTAGATGAGGGTGGCTAGAATTAGAATTTAACAGGATATCCTGGCCTGGAATATTTTATGCCATTTGTACTTTTGAAATAGTTAGGTCTGGCTGCTAGGTTAGCTGTTTTCAGCACTTCCCAGTGCAGCAAGACCATGATTGAGCTAGCAAAGCTGTGTAGCATTCAGCAGAGAATATCTGTTAAAATGCCTAAAGCTGGTCAATACCTGAAGCCTGCATACCTGAAGCCAGGTATTTAATGCAAAGTTATGTTCTGGAGTAATATTGTGATTTATAGTTAAAGGGGAAATTGTACGGAGTTAAGAGTAGATCAAGCTCATACATGATTTATTTCTTAACCTACATGTTTTAAAGCCATGCTTACAGATTCCTTAAGAAGCTTGTTCTTATCTTATAGTTCTAAATTAAAGGGACACTCAACATTCCACAAACTCTTCCTTGGAGGAAGGTAAATTCCGTGCAACATGTTTGCATGATGGCTTTTATATAGTGTACTCATTTTAAAAGACTGCAGTGTTCTGTTTTTTTAAATATTATTTGTGGTCCATAACAAACCAATATGTAACCTTTTGGTGATGAGTATATGGAGTAGGAGTAGACGGGTTTTGTCTAACCAGAGCGGGTCAAAATGACACCATGTTATAAACACCAGTGACCACAGGCATTTTCTCACTGACACAAAACTTTTGCCAAAGAATCTTAGTAAGAAGGATGAGCCCATAGTGATTTTAAACTAATCTTTGGTATACCTAGTGTAGTAATGTTCTTTAAGGGGGAAAGTTATCCCCAATTAAATAATGTGTAAAACAGCTAATTTGGTACAGAAATTGCATGCATTCTATTATCAGTTACTTTAAACTCTAGAAGTAGAGATGCATTCTAACTCTTACATATTCTTTTTTCAGACTATCACTGCACTGAGCCCCATGTATGGCAGTCGATTTGGCTATGCCCTATCCAATGGTACAGTAGGAGTTTATGACAAGACAGCCCGCTACTGGAGGATTAAAGTTAGTACAATCAAATACGTTCTAAAGAAAGAAATTGGAATGTTATGGCTGCAATTTTCAAAGTCAACTTGCAGATTTGGGTACCCGGTTCCTGTTAATTTTAATGGGAATTGGGTGTCCAAATCTCTTGGTTTTGGAAATCTCAGCCTATGTGTACTATGGAACTGGTTTATTTTATATGTATAAAATGTCACTATACAAAATTAATAGCACATCAATTAACGTCTGCCCTGCTTGGCCAATTGCTATTGGACTACCCATTAGGACTGCAATCATATGGGGGATTTTGAGTTCCTTGTTCATACTGCATTCATTCAGTGGAGATACTGTTGACAAATATTTCGGAGGTACAGTCATTTTACATGGCATTTGTGAGGGACTTGCAGCATTTTCTGTAACTACATCAGTGCTGCTGGCAGGTATGCTGGTGATCAGGAAGTAAGCATGTTTGTATTACTATTCTGCCCACAAAGGAGGTGAGAGGTCTCACATAATAGCTTCAGTATGATTTGTGTATTGGTTACAATGCCCAAAGATAAGGCTTTGGGAAAGGCCAGATAACAGAATGCTGCTGTTCCCAAGACTTCTCTGAACACAGGTTGGTCTCCTATCTTAGGATTCCACCCACCTTGCACAACTTGACATGAGATTGTTTCGATACAAATGTGTTTCTGTTTGGACTGCTGTTGATTTGACCAAATGAAATGTGTTTTAACAAGAATACAGCAAACTAAATGATAATGGACAGGTGGAAATACCTACTAGCTCATCTAGTCCATTTCCCAGAGATCAGCACAGGATTGTTCCCTGCACAGTATGTTTCCAAGTGCTCTACCCAGTGTAGTTTTAAATGTCTGAAGTAATGGGGCTTCCCCAAGTTTCGTTGAGGGACTGTTCCACAGCCTAATAGATCTTGCTGCTAGGAAGATCCTTTCCAGATACTCAGTTTAAATTTCTTATTGCCACTGACTGGAGCAGTTGTGCTATTAAAAAATCATTTGGAAATGATTTCCTTTGTGCTAAGGGTATTTCCCAACTGCAAACGAGATTTATAAGAACTCTGGGACTGTAACTCTTGTCTTGGAGAATCAGGCTCTTGTACAGTCCACTGTTTTTGTGGGAAGAGGTGGGCATTGATCATCTTCTTGGATGGAAACATATTGGAGGGAAAGATTACATCCTTGGAGAACACTGGCCTGTATCTGTAATGCAGGTGCTCAGATTTCAGAGGTACATGATTTATAGGTACGGATGCCCTGACACTCTTTTAGGAGACATCTTGTTACTCCTGTATATAATCTATATAGATACGTACTCCAGTACCAATAGCAATAGCTTCATGCATTTGTTCTTTGTTTTTTCCCCAGTCTAAAAATCATGCAATGAGCATACATGCATTTGACCTTAACTCTGATGGAGTATGTGAATTGATTACTGGATGGTCCAATGGGAAGGTGAGTTCAAATGGAGAGAAAATGAGTAGCTGTGAATCGAGAGATTGCATTTGGACAAAGCTGTTTAGTTGTACAAGGCTGAACAGAGAAACTATTCAAAAGACTAGACTGAGCTCTGAAGAAATATTACAATGAGCCTAGCTCAGCTTCTGAATACCCTGTCAAATACTCCATCATTTACAGGAAGAACAGTCCCCTGAATATTTTCAAAATCAATCGCTACGGTGTAGGACGTTGTTTCTGTGGTAGTGGAGATTGCAGAGTTCTTCTGAGGTGCTACTTCCAGCTCTGTATATTGAGAACACCCTAGTATCCTTCTCCCGTGTTTCCTGGATGTTCTTAAATGACAAATGAAGGAAACGTATTAGATAATAGAGAAGGTAGCGTCAATCTTAACTGTGGAAGGGTTATTACCGCTCCATAATAAATCCATCATACATTGGATAATATAATTAATATGTAAATTCATTATATAAAACTCAATTCCGTTCCCTTTTAACCCAGTTGCTTAGCATTGTCGTTTGCTAGAAATGGCTGATTTAGCTGCCAGGTCTCCCATGGACACCATTTGCCAATGTTTTCTTGTAAATCTACACTCCTTTCACAATGTCTTCTTTCATTATCTCAGGAGAATTTGATTTCATTTGCCTCAGGTTAGCAACCTAGAGCACCAGGATTCATTGGAACCTTTGGTGTGGAGCTGCTAGACTTGATACAACATTGTTGTGTAGGAAACCTCAACACACTTATTCCTCCTTTGTCTAGTCTTTCATTTACAGTATCCTCACTGGTCATTGATTTGAAAGACTCCAGCTCCTAGAAAAACATTGCTGTGTCCTGTGCCTTGGAAGAGCAAAGCTATGCAGAACTGAAAAATCCCCCCATGGAATGATCATTAAAGGTCATGATATTTGTGCATAAAAGTAACACATTTCATCAGACAAAGACTATGAATAAGGCTGGAGACTGTAAATGCTGCCTTAAGGTTACTTATAGTTTGGTCCTGTCATTGCTGCTTCAATAGTATGTATCACCTTGACAGCACAGGCTTGCAATTCCCCTCTTTCTTTCTCTTTTTACTTTGCTCAGGGGAAAGCCTGTCTGAGGAGCGGCTCACTTTTACGTGTGTGTCTGGATCTGTCATTTCATTGCTAGTTAATTTTTGGTGGTGTTTTCTTTATCTGATCAACGGAGCTGCAAGTTCACCTGCAGTTCCATAAGTGCAGCGGGATTCCTCAGTTAATGTCCCAGAGTGCTGCATAATTTATCCAGTGAGGTTAGCTTTCATTTTCATCCTGTGTCTTGGGAATGTTCTTCTTTTCCAGGTTGACGCACGCAGTGACCGAACTGGGGAGGTCATCTTTAAGGACAACTTTGCTTCCTCAATTGCAGGAGTGGTAGAGGGGGATTATAGAATGGATGGTAACACCCAGTTAATCTGCTGTTCAGTTGATGGTGAAGGTAAGAGCATGAAAATTCCTTTGCAGCATCAGTGTATTAGTTTAAGCTAAGCAGAAATGCCAAGAGCGTTACCCACAAAGCATTAATACTAATACATTCTATTGTTATGATACCTGCTAAATGCCTTTTGAGTTTGCATGTATTTTTGCTTGCCAAATCTGTCATCGTCCTTTGCAAAATCCAGGGAATAGAAGGGTCAAGCTTTCCACAAACAAGATTTTGAATACTGCCTCCTGGACGATAAACAATCAAACCTGTTTTCTATATGATGACCTGTGGGCCTACAAAGTTCAGTTGCTTAGCAGAAGTGATCTTCCACTAAGAGTGAAGCAGAATTGTACTCCATATATGCAGGGATACTTCAAGCCATGCTGCTAAAATTGAATGGCGAGGGAAAAAATAAATATGTGCGGGATCTCTTCAGCTTCTTCATGATAGATAAAGAAGATCTGAAAGAGGTTTATTTTTTAAAAATCTGTATGTTCTTGCTTGTTTTTTTATTTAGCAATTTAGGAAATAACAACCTTGTGTTTTATGGAAGACAGTGTGGTTGACTGGAGATCTTGTAAACTTATATCGTCAGATTCTAAGGAAGTGAAACTTAGTTGAGATGGGAGGTATTTTTTATTCAAACTACTTAAATAAATTTTCTCAAACTGAATATACAGATAAGCATGGGGGTCAAAGGAAAAGCTCACAGGTGACTGTCTTAACCATCTGAAACCCGCTCAGCAGTAACACATGAGCCCGGCACAACCTATTTGGAACACAAGTCCAAACATATTAAAGAAAGTAGCACAGCATACCACTCTTTATGCGTACTCCTGAGTGCTTTTACCAGACGTCATCAGGAGAACCCCCTGCTTATGTTTGGGCATGTAAGCCTTTTTTTGCTGCGGAGTAAAGAACCAATGAATAGGGCCATATTAATAAGGCAACTTATCTTAAATAAGCCCTATAGGTTAACATCATAGGCCTTGATCCTGCTCTTTGAGGCATGGGCTGCTGTCTTGCTGCATGTATTTATATATACACAATACATGGCAATGTGGGATCCTTTATTTTCATTGGAGCCTCTTGGTACTACTGTAGTACAGATACTAAATGATGATAATCCTGCAATCAGGTGCATGTGCGCAGAACCTTACACCCTCACAGGGCTTCATGCAAGTCATTGGGGCTCTGCATGGGCACAAAATCCAGTCATGCTGAGCCAGTTGCAAGATCACGGCCATTGTTCTTCTGTCTTTCAGTGTTCCCTCTCTCCCTCCCTCCCTCCTTCATCTGAATTGAATTGTTGACCACAAAGGAAATAATGTGGGGTGTGTGTTTCTCCTTCTCATTGGGGCGGTGTGCCTTTAAACTCAGAATCACATTGAGATTTTCAGCTTCCCCATACCTTTTTCTTGGCACTGCACAGTCAGGCAGAACATTCAACAGGAGCGCTGAGGATTTCATCTTCTCTTACAAACAGAACTAACAGAAAGGACAGGGAACAGACCTGTTGTAAAATGAAAGGCCTTTGCAAGCAGTTCTGTGGTTCCTAGCTTGCTACTTGAACTCTCCTGCCTCAGTATCCCCTCCCAGATTCTTGGGTGCAGGGACTCCCTCTGGATCCTGCCTGGCTGGATCCAACCCTCCGTTCATCCTGACCATTATGAAACAAATCTTAGCCCTGAAGCTAAGTCTCCCTGAGCAAAAAATAGGAGCTAGGTTAGGAGGGTTGGCTAGCTCGAATAGATGGAAATGGCGAGTTGCATTCATACCAAGACATTAACAAGAACACTTGGCCCCTGTAAAATTCCCAGACAGAAGCTTGGTCAGGATGGAGTAATGTTGAGAGTTGCTTGTAAGTGACTTAAACCTCACCTAAACTAAACTAACTATAAAATAAACTAAAAGAATTCAGAAAGAGAGATCTACATTGTTCTGCTACTCATTCTGATCAGTGAGAGTCAGCTTGAAGGAGGCAGGAGACACTTTCATGGAAGTCTCCAAATGCACTAGAAGTCATCAGTGTCCCTTTAAATGTCCAGCCACATTGTCATGGTAAGGATAGTGGGCCATGTCCTCAGGTGGTGTAAATCAGCATAACTCCATTTACTTCAGTGGAGCTACCCCCATTTATGCCATCCGAGGGGCTGACCCGATATTATTTCTACAGTCGATCTGTTAGTAGTGATTCATGCTGCAAAAGTGGAAGTCTAGAGATTGCTGCTAAAGACTTGCTTGAAATGCTCTGTGCTTTACTTTTGTGCAGTACGTGGCTACCTGCCAGGAAGCCAGGAGATGAAAGGAAACTTGATGGATACCAGTGTGGAACAGGATCTGATTCGGGAGCTTAGTCAAAAGAAACAAAATCTGCTGCTGGAATTACGAAACTATGAGGAAAACTCAAAGGTACTTCTCAAAACAAGATGTAGGGCCTGACTCTGGTCTCTCCCCCAGACCCATAGGCTGTTAGAAGAATTAGAGTGCAGTGACAATGTACAATAGAGACATCGGATGCAACAGGCCTGCTCCTTGCGTGTATTCAGCGCCAGCTCTTCTTACTTTAATACCTAACGTTTTCCCTACTTTTTTACTCTACTGAATACATTGGCTCTGCAGAGCTAATGGAGAGGGAGCTGGATTCTCTTCTGGCTCAGGTAATTGAATGATTAACTTAAGTTCTGATTGCAGGATCTTTATTGTTGGTAATGCATGGGTGAGAAGAAGAGGGCACAGAGGTGATTGGGTGGGAATCTGACAAACGGCTGTGGTTGGGAACATGGGCAGAGTTCAGGGGATCAGGGCAACCTTGACAAATGGGGGATATGTAGCAAAGGACAGAGTTATGTTGAGCTTTGAGAACAGGCAGAAGGAAGAGTAGATCCATGCTGTAGGTGTAATGGTTAAGGCCTGGATTCAGCAGTGCACTTAAGTATGTGCTGATGAAGTATGTGCTGATGTCCCATGGGACTTAAGTATGTGCTTAAAGTTTAGGGTTGCCCCAAGCAACCCCTCTCATGCTTTCCTAAAGAGAATCGCAGTTGGCAACAAGGCATTGTATAAGTCAGATTCACCCAAGAGCGTTTGAGGAGAAGCCTAATCAAAACATTCTTCACAGATGTTTAAAATGTATGAAGGCTGCTGTAATAGATCCCTTCCCGTGGTGGAGGGCTCTTGGCTGTATCTTCAGAACTGCTTTAATGAAAACCTTGCTTTTGTGATGCTGAGCTGGAAGTGTGTGTTTTGCAGCAGGCTGAACTGAGCGCTCAGGTGAACGAAGCTGACGGGCAGAGGGGAGTGATTCCAGCTAACACCCAGCTGCAGACAGCCCTGTCAGTGAACCTGGGCTCTGACAGTCAGGCTGCCCACGTAGAGTTGTGTATTTCCACATCTAATGGTGAGAAATAATTTGCAGCTGATGATGATGGCTTCTTGTAACCTCACATGCAAATGTTTTGGTGCATTTAGCCAGTGGTTTGCCTCTCCCTTAGTTAGTCTGTCATTCTCAATTTCTTCTGTCTGGGTGCCTTCCTTTCACAGAGTTTTGAATCAACCAATATTCCATCCATCTGAATAGGTTCTTCTGTGACCCTCATCACCACGGTATCCAGAAGTCTTGTTAGCTCCTTACTGCCTGTTCCTTCTTCCATGCAATTGATACGTGAAGTGAAGTAAATTGGTCTTGCTGATCCCTGCCGCCTTCCTCATGTCACCTGTAGGAGTGGCTAGAGAACAATGCAGCTGTGTGCCAACCTGAGGCTGAGCAAACTGCCAAATCTGGGTCTCAGCATGGAGGCTAAATGTCTGTAATCCAATATCTTCTCCCCCACTCTCACAGAAAACCCTCCCCTACTTAATTTTGAAAGTGAAGCAGAGTTATTGCCAGTGGAGAACTATTAATTAATAAACCACTTTCTCCCCTTTCCTAAGACACAATGATCCGAGCCGTGCTGATCTTTGCTGAAGGGATATTTGAAGGCGAGAGCCATGTGGTTCATCCCAGTCTCCAGAACCTCTCGGGTCGCATTCAGGTTCCCCTTACTCCTCCCAAAGATGTCCCTGTGGATTTACACATCAAAGCCTTTGTGGGTTACAGAAGCAGGTAAGGTTTGCAGTATAGTACAGCGTCAAGCCCCATTTCTGACGTCAGCAGCGTTTGGTGTGAAACGTAGCAATGATGTAGCCTCAGTAGCTTTCTGTGCCCTTGCATGGTAGAAGGTCTGTGACAAGTACAGTCGTTAATTTCTTCAGACCTAGTTCCTGTGCATTCTGACTCCTATTTAAAAGAGAATTGAAATGCTTCTTTAGAAACACAAATGAGATGCCTGATTTCCAGAGGTGCTAAACACCTGCAGCTCCCAATGACTTCAGCTGAAGCCGTGAGTGCTCAGTACGTTTGAAAATGGAGGCTTAATTTGCATCAAGGGTTAGATATTAGGAAAAACCATCTGACTCTAGGGGTAGTTAAATGCTGAGATGGGCTTCCAAGGGACGTTGTGGAATCCTTGTCATTGGAGGTTTTTAAGAGCAGGTTGGACAAACATCTGGCAGGGATGGTCTAGGTTTACTTGGTCTTGCCTCAGCGGAGGGGGCTGGACTTGACCTCTTAAGGTCCCTTCCTGCCCTACATTTCTGTGATTGCATATGGGCTGTTCTCTGTCAGCTGCTGACTGTCCTCAACTCCCTTTGACTTCAGCACAAGTCCTGGATCCATGTTTGAGCGCAGAATTTGTACAAATCACTATACAAATAAAATGCATCTGAAGTAACATTTGAGAATCATTTTGTCTTTTCGTTTGCCTGCCAAGACCAGAGTTCAAGGTTCTATTTCCCCTGCTCCAGCTAGTGGTATCTCTACCAAAAGCGTAAGGCATGGTTGGACTAGAGCTTCCTTTACTGTTTCAGGGGCCATCAATCCACTGCAGGAGCAATGCAGAGAACTGAATTCAGGGGGTTCCATTCATCTTTAATGTTACTTTTAATAAGTCTTAATTGTATTTGTTAATAAAAAGTCTCCAGTTTTATATCTTCTGTGTATAGTCCTTATGAATATTATATTCATTGCAGGGATTGTGGTGACAGAATCTGTGATGTAAAGTGAATCATCCTGAATTTGTTAATGGAAGGGTGCAATAGAAAAATCACTGGTCTGTTGGTAAATTTCTCTCTCTCTTTTTCCTTTGGATTCCTTCCAGCACACAGTTCCATGTCTTTGAACTGACAAGACAGCTACCCCGCTTTTCAATGTATGCTTTGAGCAGCCCCGACTCGGCCCCTGAACCTCTAAGCTTTGTTAACTTTACCATCAGTGAGAGGGTACAAAGGGTGAGTTTATGCTCTGCATCTTATTTTCTGGTTCTGAGTACAGTTGCTGCTTTTGTATAAGGTGGAGAGTTTGTAATTAACTTGGGAATCCCTAGAGCAAAGGGAAATAATGTAATTTACTCCACTACTATCAATAAGAGTCTGTGTTTAACAGCTTACCGATTGAGTTTATGCTTCTTCTTTTTAAATGCTGGCATAGCAGAAACATTCCCAGAGTTTCTATGCATCTGCAGGAAATAGCTGCTTAAGCCCAGAAGTTCTAGTAGTTACTCGTCCCTTCATTGTACTTTATCTAGTAGAACTTGGCCAGCTTGCACTAATGGAAGGGCCCCGGAGTGAATGACTGAATTCTGTAAATTAGCAAATGGGGAAAAGTGCAATAAAGTATCTAGATAATTCATCTTACTTCATGGGTTCAATTCAGCTCAAATTCATAATGGATCAGGAAATGTTCTGTAGTGTGTCTTGGAAATATGGTGGGATGGCAGCTCGCTACAGCCTGGGCTGAAAATTGGCCAGTTCTTGGGAGTGGCTTAGTGAGGCTCTCTAGCGCATACGTAACTTTCGTTGCATAGAAATTCCTGGGACAAAAATACTTCTAACTTGGTGGTTGATGGCAGATTGATCAGATGTAATACTCTTCTCTAAGGAAAACTTTCTGGCCTTGCCCCTCTGAGCTCCATCTATCTTAGGTACTTCTATGGCTTCCGTTACGTGAGCGTCTCACAATCTGTAATGTATTTAGTCTCACATCACCCCTGTGAGGTAGGGCAGTGCTTTTATCCCCATTTTACAGATGGGGACCTGAGGCACAGGGAGGCTAAGTGGCTTGCCCAAGGTCACACAGGAAGTATGTGACAGAGCAGGGATTTGAACCCTGGCCTTCCAAGTCCTAGCTACTGTCTTAACCACTGAACAATTCTTCCTCTGTCAATTTCTTCTTATGTATTATTTACATTAGTGTAGCGCCTAGGAACCTTGGTCATGGACCCAATGTGCTGGGTACTGTACAGACACAGAACAAAAAGATGGTGCCTGCCCCGAAGGGCTTATGTGACTTTCTTACATACTTGATTCTCTTATTCATAATATTATACAAAATCATGCTTTGAACAGCCGACGTATAACATAGCAAATTGTCTCCATTCCACTAGGTGGGAGAGAGCAAAATTAATCATGAGTCATCCTGTCCTGTCCAGTGGGGGTGCTGTGATCTTAATAAACTCCCAGTTCTGTTTTCTAATAGAGACACTTTATTCCACAACCCAGAGTAGGATTGTGCATATGATCACAAGATGCTCTGAGCTGGGTGCTCTGCAGCTCTTGTCTAGTGTATCCCATAATATCCACTAGAGCAAATATATTGCAGACAGTTTCTCCATGGGAAGGGTTATGTTATGAATTAATTTTTCTAGGTTGTCATGTGGTTGAACCAGAGCTTTCTGTTACCAGAGGATGCAGAGCTCCAAAGCGCACCTTTTCAAGTCTGTTTCACTTCCCTGCGTGATGCAGGACAGCTGTGCATAAAAATCAAACCCAATGGGGAGGTAATTTTTACTCTTACCGTACTCTATTTAGCTCTAATCTTATCAAAGAGCAGTGGAACTGGGAGGAAATGCCCACATGGGAACGTGAACAGGGAGCCAAGGTACAAAGGGGAGGAGGGACCAAGCCATTAATATTTCCACTAGCTTTACGCTATTTCTGTCCAGCTAAGAATGGTTATATTTAGTCCAGGAGTGCAGGAGCCCGGACTATATGACCTCTTGAGGTCCTTTCCAGTCCTACGATTCTTTGCTCCTCTGATTATCATAGCATCAAAGTGTCTCATGGTTTTATGTGACTGCACAGGCAGATGAAATGCTAGTGTTTTAAGCAGGATATTGTCCTCAATGGTAGTGCCCACTTTCCTATCTGGGAGTAAAATTCCAAGCTCAGCCAGTGATATGGACAATACAGCGTGGTGGCCCTTCAATTATGGTGAAATTCACTCTGGTGCAGAGAGGCAGAACAGAGGCTCTCCACCACTTAAGCCCTATTTTAAGGGCTTAGATGGGATGTAACTAGTGCATGATCCTTGTGCTGGCCCTCTGCATAGCGATGCATTTCTCCCTTAGGTCCTGATCCAGAGTCCCCTGAAGTCAGTGGAAAGATTCCCGTATACTTCAGATCTCGCCCACAGTGCTTAATTCTAGCAAAATGTAGTATCAGATTAATAGGCCTTCCAATGGAAATCTTGCAGTATTAACTGTTTTGAGCATTAGGTTGAATATGCTGCAAAAGGGGTCCTATTTAATGGTTGTGAAGGGAGAATTTTGAAGAGAGGGGAAATCTGAAACGTACTGTTTTTATACCTGTTAGATTTCTATCAGCACGGATGATATAGATCTAGCCGGTGACATTATCCAGTCAATGGCCTCCTTCTTGGCAATTGAAGACTTGCAGGTGGAAGCAGATTTCCCTGCGTACTTTGAGGAGTTGCGGAAAGTGCTAGTTAAGGTGAGGAGGCACCAAGCATGTCTAAATGGGGGTTGATTTGGTGGTGGATGGTGGCTTCAGGATTTGATGACTTTTTCTCTCTTTCTATGTCTAAACTTTCTGTGGCTTTCTGCCATGTAAACCTGCAACCATGGCTTACTGTGCTGTGAATTAGAGAGGGTGACAGCCCCCCTTTTCCAAAATGTCTTGTTATCCAAAACAGGGTCAGGTCCCCTCCTAGCTGTTGATGATTAGGGCAATTCCCTCATTCTGTAAACTGGCCAGGAAATTCAAAGTCCATTGAAGTTGATGGTGTGAATCAGGGAGGTCAATAGGCCCTGAAAGTCTCATCTAGCCTTCCTCTTCCTGGGTAAGGATCCAGGCGGAGGGATAGGAAGCTGTTCCCTATTAACTTGGTGCAGTCTCTACCTTTCAAAGCGAAACTCTCCGATTTGCATGGACTTCACAAAGTGCTTGGGTGTCTTTACTCTTGATAGGTGGATGAATTTCATACAGTCCATCAGAAACTCACTGCCGACATGGCGGACCACTCCAACCTTATCCGCAGTATGTTGGTACGAGCAGAAGATTCACGCCTCATGGGAGACATGTGAGCAGCCATTGCATTTCTGTATAATTCTCTGGCTCTGGTGGCCAGTCATAGCTTTTTGGTAGAGAAGAGCACCTTTAGATAGAAACAGCTGCGTGGATCAAGGGTGCATTAAATCTAGGTGCATATTATTTACACATGATCATTGTGTTCTTGACCTGTTCTTTAGGCTGAGAACCAGCAGGCGGATGACTCAGTGCGGGGCGGGCAGTGTGAATCAGCTGTGAGGTAGTGTTGTCAAGCTCTCAGCTGGGCCAGAGGGAGTCCGTTGTGTGAAGAGGAAGGGAGCAGTAGCTGGGCAGGGTGGGGAAGGACTCTGAGCAGGAGGCTGAGGAAGAGTTTGTTCCCTGTATTTTCAGGGCATTAATCTTTTGCTCTGAACAGCTCTGTCCTCCTGAAGCTAAGGGCTAATGTCCACATCACAACTGTCTATTGCAAGCAGTCGACAGATCTAATGCAGCTAATGATCAGCAAGACTAACTCTTCTGGGGAAACTAACTCCTTTTCCCAGAGCTTCCAGTCACTAAGAACATACATAAGAACAGCCATACTGGGTCAGACCAAAGGTCCATCTAGCCCAGTATCCTGTCTTCCGACAGTGGCCAATGCCAGGTGCCCCAGCGGGAATGAACAGAACAGGGAATCACCAAGTGATCCATCCCCTGTCGCTCATTCCCAGCTTCTGGCAAACAGAGGCTAAGGACACCATCCCTGCCCATCCTGGCTAATACCCATTGATGGACCTATCCTCCATGAACTTATCTAGTTCTTTTTTTAACCCTGTTAGTCTTGGCCTTCAACATCCTCTGGAAAGGATTCCACAGGTTGACTGTGCGTTGTGTGAAAAAATACTTCCTTTTGTTTGTTTTAAACCTGCTGCCTGTTAATTTCATTTGGTGGCCCCTAGTTCTTGTGTTATGAGGAGTAAGTAACACTTCCTTATTTACTTTTTCCACACCAGTCATGATTTTATAGATCTCCATCATATCCCCCCCTTAGTCGTCTCTTTTCCAAGCTGAAAAGTCCCAGTTTTAGTAATCTCTCCTCATATGGCAGCCATTCCATACCCCTAATCATTTTTGTTGCCCTTTTCTGAACCTTTTCCAAGTCTAATATATCCAGTATTGAGGAGCACAATGCTAATGGGGGGAGGGATGTGAAAAAGAGAGAGAGAGAATAGAGTAAATATATTGAGTGACTTTGTTTTCCTGGTGTAAGTACTGAGGAATAACATATATGACTAGCTGTGGAGTTATATTGGATACCCATCTATCTCTGATGCATTCAGCCTTCTAGCTTCAGACAACTTGAGAACAGCAGGTAGCCACAGTAACCATAGTAACTAAATATTATTGCTTTTTTACATTAACAAAACATGAATTGTCGCCTGGTTTCCTTGTCCCTTGAGTCTCCCTTGTCTCTGTTGTTCATTTTCACAGGAGAAATATGAAGAAACGGTACATGGAACTCTATGATCTTAACAGAGATTTACTTAATGAGTATAAAATTCGCTGCACCAACCACACCGAGCTGTTAAACAATCTCAAGTCCGTAAATCAAGCTATCCAGCGAGCGGGGCAGCTGCGTGGTAAGTCCAGGGCAGGGTTCTACTTTGGGGACTCCATTTTTGGCTCAACAAGCCAGGGTAGAGAATGGCACGTCAAAGAGCAAATGCAGGATTGTTAGAGGTTGACTTGAAGGCCAGATACATTTTGCTGTATGGTCCAGGACTTAATAGTGGGAATCTTGCTTCAATTTTCAGCTACAGAGGAATATGAAATCTCTCCATACTTGTTTAAACTGTAGTGTTACTCTCATTTTTAAAAGACAAATACAAATTATCTCTACAAGGTATAAGAGATATACCCTAATCTCAAGGGTTCCAGGAAATGCTGTTCAAAAGTAGGTAGACTTTGGCCCAGATCCTGCAAATTGCACTGCGTGGCATTGGGGTCAGCCTGTGCAGAGCAGCTTGCAAATTAGCACCTCTCTTTCTATTGCCCATGAAACTTGAAACTTCAAAGTATGGCTAAGTACAGAAAACATACGGGAGCTAAACCATAAATACAGTCTGAAAATCAGTCCAAATTCTCTTTCTAAACCCTACCGTACATTTATTTTTAAGCTTTGTCCAACTTGGTAAGTCATCAGCCCTATCACTATTGACACGTGCGAACTCAAATTCGATAGCATATGTTCTGAAAACATGGAGGTAGGTGAGAAATTGCTGGGCTGAGGACAGAAATTCAATATCAACCCTCATTTGTTTTTTTCTAGTTACTTGGCTGGAAGAAGCCCCAAGTGCAGTCCCTCGGTATTTCCATGACACTAATTACTTGCTAATGAACTGACCAGGAGTTGCTGGGCACCCTAGATTCTTAGGAAAGGCAGGGAGTTATGGGTGCTCAGCATGTCTTTGGGGCAACAATTCAAAGCAGTTATCAGCATTTTGAATCGTGTGAGACTTACTGCTTTTATTAAAACCATTTTTACAATGTAACATTAAAAGTTAAATTTGAATTCTTCACTTCTGGCCCAGAAGTTTAAAGGAGGACACTCTCAGGTTAAATCAGACTATTGTAAAGTTTACCTACATTACTAGCAACACCTTAAATTATTAAAACGGACCTTTAAATATATTTTAGCTTTTGCTGTTGTGTGGTTTCTTTATGCTTTTCTCCTTGTACATGCACAAGCACAATGTTCCAGTTCTTGCTTTGCAAATAGGGAGATACTTATTTAAGCTATTCGGGGAAGGAACTGTTTTACTGCATGTTTGTATGGTGCCTGCCACGATGGGGCCCCAGCCACGTTGGGGCTCCAAGGCACTTTTGTAATACAAATAATAGCCCCCCCCCCTTTGACGTGGAATTAAGAAAAAGGGAAAATAGTCCTACTGTTTTTTTTTTTATTTAAAAAAACCCAAACGACAATTTTTTTACAAAATCTAAATTCTGAGAGACCAGCTCTGACCTGTAAATGTCTATTTAATGTCTCATTCAGTTACTTAAATATGTTAGTGCTGATTCTGTGTTTTTTTTCTTTCCAGTTGGGAAACCCAAGACGCAGGTGATCACTGCGTGCCGGGATGCCATTAGAAACAACAACCTAAATATGCTCTTCAGGATAATGCGAGTGGGGACTGCATCCTCGTAAAAGGGGAATAGTGACTGCCTGGCGATGGTACTTCCTTACACCAGGTGATCCTAGACAAATGAACAGATGTATAGGAGCAGATCCCCTGTAGTACTTTGTTTCCGACTGTTCCCCAAGTAAGCCGTTGGGAGACAAAGGCAGGGAACTTGATGTGTAGCAATGTAAAGGTACCAATACTGAGAAGCAGTTATATCAGCCTGCAGCCCCACTATAGAATGAAGTAAATGGAAAGATAGTCCGCTTTTTTTTAAAGTAAGCCATCAGTTGGGATATGCTACTTTGGAGGCTAAAGGATAGGAAAATCTATGGAGAAAGGCTCAGAGTTTTAAAGTGCAGATGTGGTATTTATGTAAGTCACTCAAGACACTTGTATAGTCCTGGAATAGTTATTTTTCTTACTGTAACTTATTTATGGAATTTAATATATTTTGCAGTTATGGTATCAGCTTTTCCATTAAAAAAACAGAACTGTCAGACTTTCGCAGTATGTGTGTTCAGTTGAAGAGATGCAGAGTTATTTTTGTTACTTATTTTATGTTCATGAAACACATTTCAGGTTTTGCTCTATAATTGTCAGGTATTTTGATCACAGAATATACCAAGCAAGAGGCATGTCTATTAATACACTACCCTTTCAGCTCAAAAACCTTGAGTTCAGAGTGGGTCTAAACCAAAACCTTGGCTCCTAAGGCACCCTTACTTTGGGGTATTCGAGATCCATAACTGATTTGTGCAGTTTGCTCCTACCCCTAGTTATCAGCTGCTGACCTGTGCAGCACAGAGCTGCTCTATGTCAGTGAATCCCTGGTTTCAGCCGCTCCTTTCAGGACAGGTCTCACTGGGAAGGCCAGGTGGGAGAGGTGAGGTGAGGAGTCACTGCAGGCAGAAGTCCCAACTACAGCACCCCTTGCTGGCTTTATAAAAAACAAGGAAATTAACCAGTTCCTAGGTTCCATGAAGCTAGGAATTGGTCAGTTTTCTAAAGTTAACACTTGAGCCTCACTTTGCTTGGTGGAAATTCCACCTCCAACTATTCATTCTCTGCAACTGCTGGATAAAAGAGCACATGCTGAGTGGGTGGGGGCATGTATTTTATGAAGGAGCAAACTGATCCTTGGTAGTAGCACGTGCAGGAATAAAAAGGGGAGCAGGGAGAAGTATCTAGGTACAAGAGGTAGGGAGAAAAATCTCTTGGACTCTGGCACAAAGAACTGTCAGAAGAAACAGTATTTTGGGCCAGTATTAGTTAAAGGTGGGTTTAAATAATGCAGTAGGATGGTGGATTGGAGTGTAAATTTTTATGCCAAAGCGGATTTCTCCTATGAGCTAAAACAGTTAATTGATGTGCCTGACCTGAATTGCATCCTCAGGATCTGTTTCCTCATGCTGCTTCAGCAAGCCTCTTCCCTGTGTAATTATCAGTACCTGCATACAACAGGGCAGGGAGAGAGGTGTCCCTTATCTCTGTGGGGTTATATGCGCACCTGGAAGGGGATTCTTGGATAGCTCCTCTGTAACTAACAGGCTTCTTATGCAAGCTCTGAAATAGAGACAATGGTGCATCATCCACCATGGGGAGGCTAGGGAGCCCATAGCTGGCTAAAAAGGAAATTAATTCTTGAAATCTGTTTTAATCCTGAGAACGGCCCCTGTCATTAATACATCCCCCTCAGTATGAATTGTGCTGGCAAACACAAATCTGCCATTTCTGATTAACAGGGTCTAATGAGCCACCCATTCCATTCTGGGTTGGTGAATTTTAAAACTTTATTATGGAGCAATCTCTAGGGTTAATAAGTCTTGGGAGCTCCGCCAGCCACTGTATTTGGAGGAAAAGATTCCCATAGCTCCAATCTCACTTCTCTTGTTCTACTTGCCAATTCCTCATGCTTGATTAGTTTTATAGTGAGTGCAGTTTGTTCAACAGCTAGACAGTGGCTTTGAGCAGAAGGCAGACCATGTTGTTGTAGCCAGACATGCTGATTATCAAAGCTACATACCATGCACTTTCACCCCATCCTGCCTCCATTTTTGTATCTGTGGGCAAGCTGTATTCCCGTAGCATTGTCAGTTCCTCAGTACTAATAGTCCAGATCTGTACCTTGGCCAATTCCCCACCTGTATTTGGTACGAAGACAGGAGATTTGATACTTGCTGTAAGAACATATTTTGAACTCCTCTTGCCTAACATCTCTTATCCTAAAGGATGAGCCAAGCTATGCAGCACCGAAATAAAGCGACTCAGCTGGCATGCCGAAGTAGGCAACAGGTCAAGATAAGAAGAGCAGCGTTCAGTGGAACCTGCAGTGACCTCCAGGAATTCATAATGCTAGAATGACACACTGGTCACTACATGCACGTGTGTGTGAACCTATTAAACTGTACTGTGGCTTCGTAACTGCACAAGGGACTAGCACTTCTCCACACCCCAACCTACATTCCACCCCCATATGAGAGAACTCTTGGGAAAAACCTGGCAAGCTTGTCTTTAGAGCACAAATGTTTCTCCCCCCCCCACACACTCTCATACAGAAACCTGATGAGAAATTGCACCAGAACCAGTGCCCTCTTAACAGGAACATCTACGCACGAGTGATTTTTCAGTGTCTCCAGTTAAGTTTCAGCTTGGGGGAAGTAATTAGAACTGACAATTGACAAAAGGTCATTCAGTTCCAGTACTGACTTCTCCAAGTCTGAGGATGCTGTGCTATCTTATTCCTCGTTTCAATCAGGAAGAGATGTAAAATCAGACACCCACTATGATGTGTGTATGAATGAGGATTGTTTGTTTTTTTTAAGTCTCCTTCACTCTAGGCTATAGCTACTTTGCTCTGTCTTGCTCCATAACAAAGTGGTCCTTTTGTTGTCAGCTACTTGACAAAACTGCTTCCATCTAGTACAAATGAAATTGCTGCACTGCCAATGCTTGAATTACCCAGAAGCCTGGTTGTATGTTTCTCGTGTCAAATGCTGGACTCTTGTCTCTTCTGCAGTGGAGGAATCTGGTGAGGAGCCTGAATGTCCTCTTAGAATCATTAGTCTGAGCAATTTAAATGTTGCATAATGGTTTATTGCCTGGTATGTATCCCTTCACTGCAGCTCACAGCATGTCCCACTTTGTTCATGTAACTGCTAGTCACTTGCATCTTTTGTTCTTCCTCTGTGTCACTCTTCCTACTCCCTTCTGGGGCATGGGTACGTTTCACATTGATGGTATCTTTCTTCTGAGGATCAGTGCATGTTACAAGCAGGGCCAATTTGAACTACCTTGCCAGAATTTCAGTATCAGAAAACAGAGCCTGTAGCTAGGGATAGTTGCTGTATAGTCTTTGTCAAGATTAAACAAAATGTTTTTTTTATTTAAACATGAGCTAATGTGATTTAAAACACCACTTAGAAAATCCTGTATACAGTAAATGCCAAGTGCCTGCCTCCTGCATTTCAAGTAATCTTGGGACTTGTTCTTTCCAGCACACAGCTTTCCACCCCAAGGCCCAGCTTACAGGGAGCAAGGGGAGCTGTTGATTTTGAGCTCCCTCAGTGCCAGTTGTTTCTAAAGTTATTTTATGCCATACAGCTGAGACGCACCGATATTTCATAGAGCACAGAGGTTAGTCTATCTAGTACAGCCCTTGGAGGCTTGTTTCCCTCCACTGCATTATCTAGGCTGGTTTCACACAGGTTCAGCTTCTAGCCTATCCTTTGGGAGGCTATTCCACAGACTGCTGGAACTCAGCCTTAGGAGAAAGTAGTTGTTACACAGAATAATCAGCCTTTCACTTCTATTTCCAATGCCTGGCTGCAGTCTAAACCTTTCCTTGTACTCTGGGTGCTTGCAGCCCTCACATCCTTGTAGGTGATGATGTGCTTCTCCCTTGTATTTTAAGCCACCTGATCAACTTTCCTTTTATGCATGGAAAATTGCACTGCACAGTAGTTTCAGCTTTGGCATCTCAAAGACTGGACAGAATCTATTTCTCAAGGATAACTATAGACCAGGAAGTGATATCCAACACGGAAGAAATGCAGTTTGGCTTGGCATTTAACCTAAAGTACCCATTCAAGATTTGGAAAGTGTCCTGGCCTCTATTAGGATTTGTTTCTAGTTTTATACTCATCACAACTGGCTTAAAACAGCACCATGGTTTAAATGTTCAAACCAGCTGAGAAAGCCTTTTGGATTATTTTTTTCTAAAAGATCTGCTATAGGAATTATTTGGGGGAAGTTCTCTTGCCTGTGTTATACAGGGGGCCAGACTAGATGATCACAATGGTCCTTTCTGGCCTTGGAATCTATGAAACCAGTCTCTGCCTTGCACAGAGAAACCAGATCATGAAAGCAAGTTAGTTAATTACACGAAGCTCTGGCTAAAGCTAGATCATGTGCAGAGAGCAAACTGCTCGTTGTGCTCCAGCACTTCGCCATTTCTGAGCCCAATAACAGTCCTGGGTTACATACGCCGAGGAAGTCACAGATCTCCACAGAAACTGGGGGGTTGGGGGGTAGCAGGCTCCCTCCCCATGCTGCTTCATCCCACACCGAGTCGGTATGCGAAGGCATGGACGTGCATGTTTCTCTCCCACCCCAGCTCAAGCCCAGGGGCTCTATTCCATGGCTTAGATGGATTTGCAAAGGCATTAATTGCAGCAAAAGCACACGTGTGTAAGTCAGTTACTACTGAAGGTGCAAAACAAGCTCAGCACCAGCGTGTGCAAAGCAGTAGTTAGTCAGCTGTCCAGAACTCAGACACACTGTTCCTTCCTGAGCGCCAGCACGTTGTGTGACAGCACCAGTGAGTGGGCGGATAATGCCTCACCGCTTCAGCAACGTGGCACGCCTAGCAAAATCAGAACTGCACCTCGCGCGGGGACAGCAGGTCACACCAATCTGCTCCTGTCATGGCTGAGCAACCAGTGTCCTAACTAGCCTATTGCAACCCCAGGGGCCTGGGGTGACTAGATGGAACAAGCTGCGCAGAATGCAAAATTAGGTATTTGGCTACGAGAGTGATGGAGACCACGCCTCTGCCCAGCTAGAATTAGGCCACAGCTTGAAGGGTGATGGTGAGAAGACACACTGGGGATGGCAACCCCACCTACTGTATTTGCCAAGGAGACAAGAAGGGTGGATAGGCCCTTAACTATGTTTTTTCCACCAGCCCACATTATTTTAACCCCTGCTTAGATCCTCCCACTCCCCGTTCCCTGCTCACCAAAACCCTATGGGTTTGTTCTTTGTACCAGTACACGTAGACTGAGGCTGAAGGCTCCCCCTCAACTATCATCTCTCCCCACCTCGTCCCTTCCCAGATATACAAGGTTTCACTTTTTTCATTGGGGGGGGAAAAAAAACCACCATGTTTTTGGCAGACATTTTGACAAGCTTCTCTCCTGTACCCACCAGCTCCTAGATAATACAGCAGTTATGTACTATTTCTCACTGCAGAGGGAACAATCAGGCCCCGGAAGAGATATGGCTTGCACATCAGGGAAAGTCAGGAAGTCCTGGTTTGGAACAAAGCCTGGTTCTTTCCTCCTGATGACCAGTTGAAGGCTTTGGAGTATAAATCTGTGCAGTGCTCATAGCAGTCACCAATTTGGGGTTACATAAAGTCTTGATGTGCCTCATGGCAAGATGTACATTCATTGCAGGGCTCTTCAGGAGAGCTGGGCTGGAACGCTATGCAAAGCAGCTATTCAAGAGTGGAGTGTTACGGATCCAAGTAAGACTCCCTCTGGTGGAGCAGCACCAGAATGTGAGAGTGAGTAAGAGTTAAGATCGGACAGCAGAACAGTGCTTCCGTTTGTTATTTAAAAAAAAACCACACCTATGAAAGTCACTTGGACTTCAGCACCAGCATGACAGCTCGTATGCTGTCAGGTGAAGTTTGCTGTCAGCTTAAATCAAATCTAGGCTCATCAAATGGCGCCAACCGATCCATGCATTACAGATGCTGCTACTAAGAAGCCAGTCCAGGAGCCTATTCCAAACCCATTACTGTATCACTAAGCCATTCCCTCTCAGAACATGACCATGCCAAGTGCCATCACTCATAGTAGACAAAGGAGAAGTCCCAGAATCCAGCTCTGCTCTGTTTTTTTGGACGCTTCAAGCTACGATGGTTAACATACTTCACAAATTTCAAAGTCTCTTTGTCTCTGTAAACCAAGGCCAAGCAGTTGTTCTCTGGATTCACCGTCAGCAGCTAGAACAGACAAGGGAGATCTTGTTTTGGTGTTCTTGGAGGGGGAAGCAGGAGTTATTTTCACAAAAACAATTTTCAAGATCTTATTCACATCAGAACCAGCGCCAAAATAAGTTATGTTACAACAAACAGCTGGAGAATATCGTGAGAGCTTTTATGCTGAATACTGCCACCAATGGCATGACTCCAGCAGAAGCTTGAGAATAAACGACACAGCCTGCTGCATATTAAGACCCATCAGCTTAGGTTCTTTATTAGACAGTTGTCACTTGCCTCATCTAAAAGGGGCCTAGCACTGACCCAATATTACCATTGTTATTATGGAAGCACCCAGGGGCCTCAAACAGGACTGGGACCCTGTTGTGTTAGGCGCTGTACAGAAACAAAGGCAGAGATAGAGTGTAAGCTCTTCGGGGCTGGGACCAAGACAAGCAACCCTTAGAAAACATGGCAAGTGCGCAGTTTTTACAGACACACACATTTCGGGCCCAGCTGTGCACAATAATCACGGCCTACAGCCAAGATGGGGAGTATTTCATTGCTCCCCAATCCTGGAACTGCTTCGATGTTCTCCACCTCCCCAGTGTAGGTTAGAGCAACCTCAGTGCTGCTCTAGCACTATGCCCCTAGGAACAGGACTGCTGGCCAGGGCTTAAGTAGCATGGTGTGTTCAACTCTTACCTCCTCATCTTCACCCTTGGCAATGTAGGATGTAAAGCCACCATACTCTGCATCCCAATCTGAAAAGGTGAAATAGAAGATAGACTTAGAAAGCTCAGGGCACTCTCGTACTCCCATACTCCCACTGACCCACTTAGATCAGTAGCACCTCCACCCTGCTCTCCAAAATTCTTGGGTACCATACTACCTCCAGTTACCTATGGCCAGTGTTGTCATGCAGAGACATGGGCTTGAATCAGTATCCCTCACTACCCACCAGGACCCCACACACCCAGGAAGAAGCGGCTAGACCCTCTGTGGGTTTCACACACACGGAACAGACACCTCCCAGTCATTTAAAGAGTCAAAGGTTTTAGTTGCAACTAGGACATTGAATAGGATAGGCCTGCTGGTCCCAGCAGCATGCTCATATTGACTCTGGCTTGTGCATCCCCAGGGCTGCTGGCAGCTGACCAAGACGCAAAAATACTTCTGACCATTTAGGCTTCAGTTTTCAAAAGTGACGAGCTAGTGCCTGACTAGCTAGCCCTGCAGATAACCTCCCACCCCCAAATTCACTCGTTACTTTGGAAAAATGCAGGCTTCAGTATTATGTCTTTTTTAAAAAAAATCTACACATGAATTTAGTGATCCATTGGGAAGTAACCTAGCGCTACTGTGTGGTAATACAGAGCCAACTACTGTGGGACTGGCCTACGTCAGCAGTCCGAATCCTGCTGCGAATGACTATGAGCAGGGACGCCAGGCAACATCACTTAGAACTGGGAGAAAAGTAGGAAGGAGCCTTCTATTTAGAGAACAGCATGAAAGGTTTGGTGGCTTCAAAACTGCTGAAAATTTAACAGATGAGGCTAGATGATTCCTAACAGAAGTCCCTTTTCTTTCCCTTTGGCAGCAAGGAAAGGGAAGGCTTGGATCTCCCCACATACCTTCGCAGCCGCAGAAGAACAGCAGGTCCAGGGCAAACTCTGTGATTTGGGTGTCATGGACTAGAGTGTAGTGGCCATTTGTCCAGTGCCTCAGCTCCCCCATGCACATGGGGACACTTGAGCCTAGGTAGGAAAGCAAGAGTCTAACCAGCCTGAGAGGATACAGCAGCTGCACAAGAGCTAACATCTACCGCCCCAAAGGAGAAGGCAGGCAAACAAGCTCTGCATCTTTATTTAGCCTCTGAAATACCTCCTCTGTAAAGCAGATAGATTTGGGTCCGGAAGCCCCAGTGGGAGATGAGGAGAGGAAAAGGCCATGGCCACCATCAATTTCATTCCCAGTTCCCCGCAGGCATGTGCCTTGCGTGTGCCATGTTTGAGGGGGGCCAGGAGCTGCCATGTGATAAACCCAGGCAGGGCTAACATATGGAGTCCAGCAATGCTCTTACCAGCCTCTGAAAAATGGAAGCGCTCCAGGTGGCTTTCCAGTCCGTGAGGCTTTCAGCTCAAAACTTCAAACCCAGCATCCTCTGTATGGGCACCCAGGCGCTTCAACAGGAATAGGGTGTTGCCCCAAACTCCCCTCCCTGCACTGGTGTAATACTCAGCCGTCCCAGGGATGTGCAGATCAAGTTGGGGAAAGTGCTTTGGGATCCCTCAAGATGTGGAGAGACCTTCCGATTCTGAGGGTTTGGCAGCCCCAGTTTATCATTCGCACCCTCCCTCCCCTAAACCCCATGGCCTCTTGCTTCCTCAGTCAATCACAATGTTTCACAATAGCCAGAATGAATGGGAGTGGTTAAAAACACAGAAGGGGAGGAATGGAAGTTCAAGTAGTGGAGGCCATGGGCTAGGAGTGTAAAAGAGGAAACTGATTTCCATCACCACCAGGAATCTTAGGTAATTTAGGGTGCAACAGGGTCTTTCACAGAACAAATGTACTAGGAAAATGTGGGTGTAAAACCACATTACAAGTGGTAAAGGGTTCAGGACAGGTGTGGTTCCTGAAGCTATTTAACTCTTTCTAAACAGTTTGACTAGATTTCAACGTGATGAGGTCACTTTAAAATACTGTTACTAAATGTGTAACCTGCAGAAAGTCATTGACTCAGGCCAGATGCTCTCAGAAGCAGCCACTGATTTTGGGTGTCCAACTTCAGACATCTTGAGCCTGATTGACACAGGTGCTGAGCCCCACCACTTCCAGTGAAGTCAATGGAAGCTGTGGCAATCAGGCTGAAGGTGGGAACTCAAAATCAGAGGTCACTCTTAAGCTGACTGTAGCCTAGGGGTGAAGGCAATGGGAGTTTTGCCATTGACGTCAATGGGGACCAGGTTTTCACTCTCGTTCTTTTAACTCCGGCCCTGCTGGCTTTACTTACTGTTCTCTGTATCACTTTCTTTGGTTTGGGGGTCATTTTCAGGCTGATCTACTTGGTCAGCCCCGTCGTTGGCCTTTTGACTGCTTTCTCCTTGCTTGGGTTTGGAAGAGCTGTGTCCAGTGCAATCTGCAGCTCTTCCTTCTTCTCCCTCCTCATCCTCATCCTCAGAGGAAGCCAGGAAGTGCAGCTTTAGGCCTGTGAAGTTGGAGAGCAGCAGGAACAAGGCCTCGGAGTGGAATAACTCCAGGCACTTCCTCAGGACATCCGGAAGGCTCCCCTCCTCAGCCTTCTCATAACATCTGGAGGAGAGGGGGGATGTGATGAGCAGATAGCTGGTAAGGCTCCAACATTCAGACTAAGGAGAATATCTGGTAGGCACCTCCCCAGCAGAACATGGCTGACCTAGTTAACCAGCAGGAGTCAGCAGCACAGACACAACACTACCTTTTATTGGGGGGTCCTCGGCTGCTCCAATTGATGTCTTCTTTCTGCAGAGCTTCACACACAAGCTGAAATTTCTCTCCCTAGGAGCCAAACACATTGCAGAACCCTTTAACACACATCTGCTCCACAAGCTTTCCTGGTGCATTAATAGTAGCCGCTCAGTGCTGTTGTGTGAGGCATCCAGTTTTAGTTCTCTGAACTGCATTTGTCCCCCACAGCCCAGCCGGGGCTAGATGAATCCAGGGGCTGGGGTGGTGGTTGTGATCCTCCACTGCCCTGCAGCTTGTATTATCAATTACACCTGTGCAGAACGGGCATGAAATGCTACTAGATTAGCATCCTCTGCGCTCATACAGGTGAGCGCATTCCCCACTTTACACAGGTATATGTGACTGCACAAAGGGCCAGGCAGGGTGAATCACACCCAGGACCCACAGCCTCCATAGGGATGCCAAGTCACAGAGCATAGCCTCTACTGGTCATGTATTTCACAAGTGGTGTAGCAACCCTTCCTCCCACCCAGTGCTTCTTGCCCAGGAGACTAGCCTATATGACACAGGGACTCAGGGTAGGGATTCCACCAAAAACAGGGCTAGGGGACAGGCGGCAGAGCAGGGACGAGAGAAGGGACCACGAGGAGCTGGAGCAGTGTTTGTGGTTCAGTCAGGGTGTCCCTGTGCGGAGGAGGGGCTACAATCTACATAACTTCACCAGGATAAATCGGGGGGGGTTGCAGCCACCATTTCCTCCATTCCTGCCTGAAGCCACTAAGAGGAGGAAGAAAGACCAGCTGGATCTCGGCTTCTCAGCTGCACAAATGACCCACCGCATTCACTACCAGTTCGTGTTCCACACAATGCCCACCAGCACCACAACTGGGGAACAAGCCCACACACAGCACATCATCCTGGACCCACCTTAAGGAAGTTCTTCAGGAGAAGCTCTGATCGCTCCTCAAATTCCTCCTGGATCTGGGCTTGGGAATCCATGTCCAAGTAAACTGGGTTGATCCACTCATACAAGATTTCATGCTGAAATAGAAACGACATCTCAGTTTGAATGCTGGATTTGAGATTACACAGATAATGGGACTTCCCCCGCACAATGGCGTAGGGCTGGACCATCCCCTTATTGCCCACGGCATTTGCTGCAGACATTTGCAATGGGCACAGAATTCCTTACACAAAGCTCTCAATAGACCTACTCCCACCACCAAAACAGAACTCTCCAGCCTTCTCCCCAAACCAGTGGCTACTAATACAACCTTGCACTTTTCATCCTTGGTCTCAAAGCCAATGACTGGATGGGAGAGAGGAGGAAGTTAACGGTTCAGTTTTAAGCATCCAAGAGATTGCTGAAAACAGTGAGGAAAAGAGGGAGTTGTAAAATTCTAGGAACCCACTGCCTCAACTGTGTGCCTTCTAAGTATCCCACAGACATGAAGGAGGCTGGGTGGGGGCGAGCAGATCTCTGCTTTTTGCTTACATCGTATGGGAGATGGGGACTCCGGGGCAAGAGGGATTCAATGTAGCGGGGAGGCCTTGCCACCGACGGGCCATGAAACCAACCACTCACAGACAAGCGGCACTTCCCTTTGGTCAGAACTTCAGACACCTGGAATGAAAAGGTGAGAATCGCATTACGATTAGCATCTAGTATGTGTGTATTATGGCAATGCCTAACGGCCCCAACTCAGCTCAAAGCCTCATTGTGCGAGATGCTGTACATGCACCTAGTAAGAGAAGTCCCTGCCCCCAAAGAGTTTACAGTCTAGGCAGACAAAGGTCTGGAGACAGGAAGGATTATTGTCTGCAATTTAGATGGGGGAAACAAAGTAAGTTTAAGTGTTTTGCTCAAGTCTGTAGCAGGACCATGAATTGAACCCCAATCTCCTGTGGCCCAGTCCAGAGCCTTAACCCCTGAACTATCTTTAGAGCCCCTACTCCCGGGGCAGAGCAGGAGCCAACAAGAACTATGGGATAAATTTTTTGCTGCTTGGTTTGCTAGATTACTATTTACCATGATCTGCAAAACTCAGCTGTGATGTGGCTAGCCAGGAAACACAAAAAAGGGTGCCCAGGACAGGTACTATGGGAAGCAGTCACAGTTCATGAGCAATAGCCACACGGTAATTTACATATGTTTATTTTTACCTTTAAAAATATACTGTAGAACCCTCTCTCATCAGGATGCAGTTGTTCCACTTGCTAAGGGCGAAGTTCACCTCTGTGCAAAAGACCCAGGCATTTAATAGACTTTAATAGGCTCCCTGAACTGGGGTGAATTCCAGACTGGTCAGTGGAAGTCAGGGGCTTCTGTATTATGATGAGACGACTGATTAGTGCAAAATTTGACAAGAGCTAGTCACCTCAATGTGGCTTAGGGTGAAATTAACTATAGGTGTTAATTCCACATTTCAGGATATATAGTGTCCTAGGGGGCTTTGAGTAATTTGGGGTGGTGGCAACAACTCCCCAAACCATTTGTTAGAAAACAAAGATGCCACCAATATGCTAAGTGTGGTGGGTCACTGCTGTGCTAGGAGGTGCTCTTGTATGCCAGCTCACTTCCGAACTATGAAAAAAAGGAAGCCTGGACCAAGATTCAGAGATGTGTTTGGAAGTAACAGCAAAATGCTCCTTGCTGGATGTTTGAGAAAAGGGATTTTTGCTGGCTTCTGCTGTGAGGGGTTTGTATCACGCTGACCCTCACTCAGCCATCCAATGGCAACACAAAGGCACTTAGATTCATCAATAAAAGGGTCAAATGCAGAGATTCAACGATCGCAAGTACTCCAAGGGATATGTGGTGAACTCTGTGTCTGGGAGCCTTTGACAAAAGCACTCCCAATACAGTCAGCTGTTTTTTTAAAGCCTATATTAACAGTGTCAATGACTGAATGCAGGACTTTGAATGTTGCTAAACACGGGACTAAGTTTCAGTTAGCAGGAGGCAGTCACAAGGCTAAGCTATGAATTCACATGGCTTTACATGCCTACAATAAGTTGCCAACGGATAACAGCTCAGGGAATGACCAGTAGGGCTTTCTGTTATTTATCTCACTTGTAGCTTAAATAAAACCCTATGCCACATAGCTGAGCACACGGCTGGCCTATGTTAACACATTCTCATTGCTGTTTCCCCTCCGACCCCCTGCTGCTGTGCGCCCCACCCCGTGGTATTTTCTGGTGTCCGTGAGATGGTTTTATTTAGAACTCACAGAAAGAACATGACGGCTGACACTGGAGCCAGGATGTTATTCAGAGCCCTTGTCCTGCTCTGTGGTTGTACAGCACCTAGCACAATGGGGCCTCCGTTCTGATTGGGGCTCCTTAGGGTGCTACCACAATACACACAATGGATGCTTACAGCAATCACACTGGGTTGAAGAAAGAAGAGCAGCTCCTTGCCTGGTGGAAAGAGACAGGAGACACTTCGAAGAAGACCAGGGAATTCCATGAAGGGACTAACGACTTGACGACCCGCTGCGGCTGAAAGTGGCCTGAGCAAGAAAAGACCGCACATGCTCTTTACAGTCAGACATGAAATCCCCATCTGCCCCCACAAGCCCCTTTGTGCTGGTTCCAGAACCACTTGGGACTGGTAAGTCCTGCAGGCCACATAGGAGGGAGCTCCAGAGTAAGAAGCTGGCCTGGGAGGCCTAAATGCCCATCAGGGTGGGCATCTCCTCCTGCCTGGATCTCAGTCACTGAACAGTCCAGTCCACAGAGGGTACTGGGCAGAAGTGTGGCTACTGGCATCACCCTCACCTCCCTCTGCAGCTACGAGTCAGAAACAAAAGGTTGCCCTCTTCATCTACACACTTCATGTCCGTCCCCCACCATCTGCTTCATCCCCCAAAGGCTAGTCCTCACATTGAGCCATCACCAGTAGCACAATCCCGAGTGACAGCTTCACTTGTCTCACTCAGACATCGGTCACTGCAATACACCAGCCTCCACCTGAACGAAGCTGCTTCTCCTCTCCCTTAACGGTGTCTGCTACGAAGACACACAGTAGCAAAGTGTTCCAAATTCGTCCCTATAACTGACATCCTCAGACGTACAGAGCCAAGGGACCATGAGCCTACCGTCTGTGCTGTACAGGTCCAGAGTGCCCCCGTCGCTCTTCTCCCACGGCGGAACCAGGTACAGGATGAAGGCAATTCTCCGTCCCTCCAGCTCATCGTCATGGCACAGCAGGGCATCTGCAATCACAAGCTTTAGCAGGCTTGCAGAATTCATTCATTTCAGTGGCCATTCCCCATCCCTGCACCTTTGAAAGAAAATCCACCCCCTTCCCTGGGGCTGCATCCTCACCTGGCCACAAGCCCATCTGATTCACAGACCTCGTAAGTGTAATTTCCTTGGACTCCATTACAATGACATCAGCTGAACCCGTCCATCAAAGTGCGTAGCTACAGGGCCCTCCTGCCACCTTCCTCTCCTCTCGCTACTGCTCAGTGAGAGGAAATTGCTCAGCTTCCCTGAATGATTCAAACACTGTCTCTTAAAGCCACAGTGGCATCAAAATGCACTTTGAGCGAGTTCCCTGCTGGCAAGAAATGCTGTCCTGACAGTGCTGGTGACTGAAGGTCTACTCAGCCAGGACAGCATGGGCAGTACCAGCGCAAGCTTCCTTCTCTCCACTCCATCGATTTGACTCAATCTTAGTCCAGGAGAACCACTTCTAGGGGGAGTCTGGTGTCTGTGACCCACTCCGTCCTGGGCCAGCACGGGGACCCACATGACAAGATAAGATATTAGTGACAAACACCAGAAAAACCTTAACTTCCAGAATTTGAACTCCTAGCCATCCTGGGGCCATTGGACTGGCCACAAACACTGGATTTCTTCAAAGACGGGTGGCGGCGGGGGGAAGCTCTTGAGTTCACTGGGCCCAGTTTAAACTATTAACAGCAAAAATACCCAGGTATGTCACTTCTTCTTTTTGGCCCTGACTTGCTTCTTGCCTGAATCTTTGCTTTGCTGGATGACAGCTTCCAGGAGCAGGAGTTCCCAGGGAGCTTTGAAACTGGGGTCCCCTTGGCAATGTAATGCTCTCCACCCCCTCCGAGGAGAAGGCACCCTGCTCACTCACCTGTATATTCATACTTAGCACAGGACAGGTCAATGATTGGTTCCAGCTCCACCTGGGTAACTGCAGACAGCCACTCCCGGAACTCTTCAAACAGAACTTTCCTGAGAAGACAAGCACACAGCAAATGGGACATGCAGCTCCTCAGCATTAAAGGTTTCCTAGGCTGAGGTGCTGCAGCACCGAGTACATTGTCATATAATTCCTGCCAGGAGTCCTGCATTCGTGGGCAACCCTACAACAAACATCCAGGAGTGCAGCCCCTGTGCTGCTGAGAAACATTTACAGCAACAAAGCAGTTGAGGATGGAATTAGTCAGTAAAGAAAGAGATGAAAGTTTCAGACTTCTAAACAGCAATTTTACAGTGCTAAAAAATAAGTGTTTTGGGGGAACGGAGGGTGAGAGGATTGAAATGCTAATGGGGAAGCAATCAAGGAGGAACCTGAGATGATCATTAGAACTAGGTGGATGGGGGAATCTATGCAATTTCTTTCCCCCTCCCCCAAAACAGTAAAGCGTATAGCATACAGCTTGAGTTAACTGGCCACACAGTTTGGAGATAAATGGGGTTTTTGTTAAGAGACGATGTTAGATTTAACAAGAAAAACCAAACCAAACCAAAAAGATGCATCAGGCATGATAGATATGGTGGACGGTTACATTAACATGGCAAAATATAATTAAAATGATCACATACACAGAAGTGATATGCCACTTTACCCCATCTAAAGGATTTGTGTGGGCCCTGGACATTTTGTAAGTTTCTGAGTACACAAATGTCAGTTATGAAAGCAGGTTGGGGGGGGGGGGAGAGACCCTCAATTAGCAAGTTAAATTATTTTTTATTCGACCACTGGGAAGTAGAGAGGGGACAGCCTCCTTTGACAGATATGGCAATTTCCTGAAATATCTTTGCGAGATCTTATTGAATTCAGTTTAAATAGCTTTGGAGTGATGTATTATTGTAGGATAGTATGTAACTTCTCTAGAGGAGAGACGTAGCCAGTGTAAACCCTGGGAAGTGTTATGAGCTTCAAAGGTCTATTTTAAACAATGTGCCAGACAAGAACACACTTTTAGGATAATAAAGCTAAGTGGGTTTCGCAGAAAATCTCTAGGGAGAGGCGTATGCAAATATGCATACGCCTCTCTCAGACTGGTACTAATTTATTATCTTGTGAGCAATCTCAGGAATGATTTTTGTGGTGTGGGAGGCCATTGACCAGCCATCTAATGCCAAGGACTTTCCATTAATATAGACTCAGGATGGATCTGAACAGGAACCCTTGAGTTTAAAGCCCATTGGGCTATTAAACCCCTCTGTCAGAAGAGAAGTTGATAATAGAAATGCTGCAAACTCTTCACTACAGCATTGCTCCGGGCTAAGCTCTCACTTCGGTGTCACTTCAAAGAGGGATTTCAGCTTTCAATCTACGTCTTAGATTTTCCCTTCAAAGCTCCATTCACTGACCTGTCCAGCATCAAATCCAATCTTTCCTTAGCAACTGCCTGCTGTTATAGCCACCTCTACAAAAGAGTGAGATAATCAAACTGGCAAAGCCAGTGCTGGATCTGTTAAGGCAAACTATCACGTTAGATTCATTCATTAACATATACCTTACAAGGTGAGGGATGCACAACTTCTCTGCTTTGCCTTAACTGTACTCTCCTGTAACACGTGTCTCTTTAATAGGGTATTACACTAACAGCTAATTGAAATTTTTTGAACAAAATGTTGTGTCATGGGAAAAAATTGCCTTTTCCCAAAAATGAAATTTTAATGAAAAGCTCACAAAAATTTTGACAATATTGATAATTTTTTTTTTAACTGTGCCTTTTTTTCTGGTATTTTTTCCTGAAATGTTTACTGTAAACATTATAAAAATAGTTATAGAAAGTTTTTGGTAAACAAAAAATTCTAGCAATAGTCTTTTAAAAAACGGTCCCAATCCACTTAAAAATATATCAGAAAAATAATCATGAAACATTTACGTAAGAGAGTCCATTTTGAACAACCCTGAAACAGGATTTTTCACAATTTTTTCACAAAATGATTTTCATTTTCTGGTCATGTCCCTTTTCTAGAAAAGGGTGCCTGATCATTTGCCATGATTTACAGGAGCTATTTTACCTTAATGCCGAGATGTGAGGCTCTTTTCTCTTTGTCAGATCATCAGACTATGGACATGCATGGAAAATAAGAACAATTATTTCATTTAGACTGTGCTCTAAGTTACAGTTGAAATAACTAAGGACAGCACTTAAAATAAATATTTCTAGGACCATCATCAGTGTAACTTTTCTGCAACTATTCTGGAACAGGAGTGCAGAATGGATAGCAGACGGCCCTCGCAGGCAAAAGTGGAATTAAGTAACCCAAAAGTTATTAGGCACAATGCCACCATCACCGATGCAAGTTAAAGGTCTCAGGGCACCAGTCCAAGACTGTGTAGCAAGGTTGAGTCACTGACATGCCAAAGAAGTGTCTGCACTTGGGAGGAGAGTATCTGTATTCTAGAGCTACCACACCTTCAAAGAACCTCGATGTTCAGCAATGTACAGGACGTAGACATAGGAATTTCTCATTCAGATGACAGAGATGGAGTGACAGCCAATTTTCAGAGGGCCAGGGGTGGAGAAACCAGAAAAGAACTACTACTGTCTAGTATTTAGGTTTAAACCTGCATTCTCCTGCAGTTCTGCAGAATTAGAGCTGCAGATGGACTCATCAGTAAATACTATTTCATGTTCATATGGATATAGATAGACAAGCAACACAGCACATAAACAACCCCAAGAAGAATAATCTTCCTTAGACTGCTTTACAATTATAAACTTCAGAGTGCAATAGGAGGGAGCTGGTAATATGATCAGAGCAGAAGACTGGGACATAGGCCTCAAGGGGTTTCACTCCCAGCTTTGCCATTAACTTGAGATCCCCTACAGACCACAGAGACAATCATGGCACATATGTAGGCTTGGCAGAATTCAAATTTTTAAAAAATAATTTCAACAGATAATATTGATCGGGGTTCTCAAACTGGGGGTTGGGACCCCTCAGGGGGTCACGAGGTTATTACATGGGGGGGGTTGCGAGCTGTCAACCTCCACCCCAAGCCCCACTTTGCCGCCAGCATTTATAATGGTGTTATAAATTAAAAACACTTTTTATATATTTAAGGGGGGGGGGTCGCCTTCAGAGGCTTGCTATGTGAAAGGGGTCACCAGTAAAAAAAGTTTGAGAGCCACTGATATTGATTTTAAAGATTTTTTATTATATCGATTTAAATTTTTACAGTGGTGCAAAATTATGGGATTTAAAGATTTTTTCCAATGTTTATTCATTTGAATTTTCCCAATTGCAGGAAACTGAATGGGATTGGACAATAATTATTTAATGACAGTAGACATTGATATTCAAAAAGTTAAAGCTTTATAACCATTAAAACACAAGTTGTCAATGTCACTTGTCAAAATATACCAAGTAAATATCCTTAAGTCAAACTCTAATAAGTTGTCAAGCAGCATTTTTCTTACTTTGCCTATCTGTAAATTTCAATTATTATTATTATTGGAAATATTTTTGTTGTTTTTTTGTGTATGGTGACATTGAAATTTACTGATAAAAATCGAATCCTTCCAAGCCTAGACGTGTGAGATAGATATAGCCAAGTTTTCCAAAAGCAGTCACTGATTTTGGGTGCCTAACTCTCAAAACTGCTTGGTTCTGATTTTCAGAGATAATGAACACCCCAGACTTCAATTAAAGTCAGTAAGAGCTGCGCATTCTCAGCCCTTCTGAAAATAAGGTTTAAAGTGCCTCAAATCCGGCATCTGAAAACGGAGCCACTCCACAGTCAGTGGCAGCTTTTGAAAATATTAGCCCTAGAATGTGGTCTTGCTCCTCATTTCCCCGCGTCGCCAGCTGTTACGGGGCGGCAGTCACACATTCCGCAGGAGCGGTAGGAGGCTTAGCTCACGTTTGTAAGCCCTTAACGAGGCTCTGACAAAGGGGCTCTGGAAATGCACCGCGTCACGCTCAGATTTGTGCCATTGGGATAAAGACGCAGAGGTCCTGTCCCGGAGAAGCACCTAGGGTGACCAGATGTCCCTATTTTATAGGGACAGCCCCGATTTTGGGTCTTTTTCTTATATAGGCTTCTATTACCCCCCCTCCCCATCCCGATTTTTCACACTTGCTGTCTGGTCACTCTAGAAGCACCTGTTTGAACTTGTACAAATCGTTGCACTTCTGGTGGCAATCCAGGTCCAGGAGCTCCCGCTGCAGCCCGTCCAGGAAGCCCGGGCACGGGAGGAAGTTGGGGATCACGCCGTGACAGAAGGGAACAGGGTCCAGCGCGATGGCCTCTGAGGGCGGTAAATGAGACACGGTGAAGCTCAGCCCCCACCTCGGCCCTGGCGCTCGCCCCGGCCCTGCCCAGCCCCCTCCGCCCCGGGCCGGGCCCTGCCCGCGCTCCTCAGCGACGGGGGCCCGGCTCCCGGCCCGGCCCCGGTACCGTGGTTGAGCGGCTCCCTGCAGCCCCAGGCGGCCCCCGCCTTCTCCTTCAGCGCCGGCTCCCGGATGGCCGCCGAGAACTCCCCGCGCACTTCCCGTTTGCCCCGCTTCTTGCCCGGCTCCCCCTGTGCGGGGTCCCGGGCCCGCGTCCCGCTCATGGTGAAACTGTCCCCGCTCCGGCACGCGGGGCTACAGCAAGCCTGAGGAGGCGCCTACAACTCCCATCATCCCTCGCGCAGTCACGGGAGCCAATCGGCATGAGCCGGGAAGGGCCGGGCAAAGCTCTGATAGGCCTGGGGGTGGGGCAGGGCAAGGCTACAGCAGCCAATAGGGACGCGGAGGGGTCCTGCATTGGGAATGGGTTTAGCGGCTAGAAGGGCGGGCGGCGGAAGACGAGCCGTTGCCGCTCTCTATGGTCCAGGCGCTCTGTGCTCCAGTCTCGATGGTTCCCCTTTCCGGCGCGCGGGCAGGCGGTTCCGGCGCAGCCATTGGCGGTGTGTGAGGCCTGGCGGGGATGTTAATGGTGGAAGCTGCTCCCGCCGCTGAGCAGCAGTGACCCAGCCCCCCTCGCTACCATGTCCGTGGTGCCGCCCAACCGCTCGCAGACCGGCTGGCCCCGCGGGGTGAACCAGTTCGGGAACAAATACATCCAGCAGACCAAGCCGCTCACGCTGGAGCGGACCATCAACCTGTGAGTGCCCGGCCCCGCGGGCGGCCCCCGCGCCCCATTCCCCGGCCCCTGTGGGACCAGGCCGTCCGCCTGTGAGTGCCCGGCCCCCGGGGGCGGCCCCCGCGCCCCATTCCCCGGCCCCTGTGGGACCAGGCCGTCCGCCTGTGAGTGCCCAGCCCCGCGGGGGCAAGACCCCCCCGTTCCTCGCTGGGGGAGACACCCCTTCTCTCTCTGTGAGAGACCCGCCCCGTAGATCTCCCCCGGGAGAAAATCCCCTCAGTCCCCGGGAGCTGCAGACGCTGGAGAAAGGCATCAACTCTTCCTCCCCATCCCCCTGCTTATACCTCAGCCCCACCTCCCCCTGGGGGGACCCCCCGGCCCGCAGGAAGTAGGTCCCTCCTAACCCTATCCGCTCACGCTGGGGAGGACTGAACTCTGAGTAACTGGGAAGACCTCTTGGTCTGGAAGAGACCTTCAGTCTGTGAATAGAGGCGTTTGGACCATCCACCTCGGAGTAGCTGGAGGTGTAGCTATAGTGCTGCTATCTAGTGAAATTGAAGAGCACGTTACTTTCGGAGCCCTGCACATCGGTTCTACTTAAGGTTTTTGTGCTGCATCTACCACTGTAGTACCCGAGCTTGAATATGGGACATAGAAGTTTGTACCCCACGTGTATTCACTGTTTAGTGTTTGCTGACTGTACAGTAAAAATATTTAATATTTGGACTACTGGGAGCTGCAGAATGCAACATGGTTTACACTGAGTATCAAAGATGCAAGTGCTAATGTGCAATAAAAATATTTTCTTTATGTAACTGCCTTAGTGGGCCATATTCTGAAGCAAGCTTTGCTTTACAATGGACAGCACATTCTGGTACTTTCTTCTTTGATAGGTAGATTTGTGAAGTTGCAGTAACAGCAAATAACAAAAATGTAATAGTCAATACTCAACAGTTAACAATTACAAACTCAAAAAGACAGTCATGCATCACTTTTTATATAGTCGAGTTTATCCTCACAGCCCAAAGGGATAAGACTCATTTTAAAAAGTGAAAATGTTAATGTTCAGGGTTTCCTTCTGGAGGAAAAAAAATATCAGGAAGCTGTAATTCTTTGGAATTTGTGTTATCAGTACAGGTGGAATTTTTTTTGGACCCAGTTAAAGAATGACACATTTATAAAGTGAACAGCATTGCTGTATGGTAAATATAACCTTATTTTAGAGACTGAATTGGAATTTAAGATTTTTGGAATAAATTAAGTGTAAGAAGAAAGTAGGGATGAAATCCTAAAGCTACAGATAAAGAGGAGAAAATGCAAGAAAATGGTAATGCGGGTAATAAAGACACCAGTGATCAGAAACAAGGGACCTGGATTTGAGAGGATGTTCATTAAGAGCTTCTAAAACTAGAGCTGCTTATAGAATAGCAGTATGCATGAGAGCAAGCTGTGGTATTCAGAGTGCTAGCCTTTGTGGTTTCTGTGCGGGGGGGGGGAATTCCAAAGTAGCACTGAATTTGGGAAGCTGTCTCTAAGATTAAGATTGTAGAAAAGAAGAACCTAAAAAAGACAGATTTCAAGTTGAATGTTTATAATTACATTAATAGTCATCACATTGAACTGAGACTTATTGAGAAATGTATATTGGCATATTTCATCAAAGCACCTGCATACCACAGATCAATAAAATCAAGTACAAATCATCAAAATATAATGGAACATCCCCTGCTTATTAACAAACCTATTCCCTGTTATTAGAATGAGTGTTCAAAAGTCTGTTAAACAGATTTTTAAACCACAAGTTTAAAATCTCTCCTCACTCAGGCAGGTGCTGAGATCCAGTTGGTCACAGAGGTATGGGCTCTTTACTTGAGTCTCTTACTGCCATTTGCAGAAAGCTTCAAACCCTGGACCAGCTACTGAGTGTGACCCAGCAGTTCCCTCTTTTGGTGGGAGAGGGACAGTCTACAGTCTCTCACATAAGTGGAGCCCAAATAATTTAATGAGACTATTTCATCATAAATATTTTGAAATCCGTGATTGCTAATTGTGCAACTACAGTAGCTGACCCTCAAGTTAAGTACTATGCACTTGTGCATGTGAGATCTGGATTAGTCTTCATGATATAGTAATATGTGTTTTTGTTTTGTTTTGTTTTTCCCTCCTAGGTATCCACTTACAAATTATACATTTGGCACAAAGGAACCCCTTTATGAGAAGGACAGTTCAGTGGCAGCCCGGTTTCAGCGCATGAGGGAAGAATTTGACAAGATTGGAATGAGGCGGACTGTAGAGGGTGTTCTGATTGTACACGAGCATAGGCTGCCCCATGTGTTACTATTGCAGCTAGGTACAACGTTCTTCAAACTGTAAGTGTATATTGTTGGAACTTGACATGGCAGTAACGTTTAGTAGAATCACAAAGCATTTCCAAATAACAGATTAGTCCTACAGCAAGTGTACAGGCTGCTCAGCTGTACTCATTGAGCATGGATTGAAGTGTGAGATCCAGCTGTTGCAAATGTTTATATGGGGAAACATTCTGAATCATCTCTTTCCTGCAGAAAGTTGATGATGTGCTATTAAGTGTGCTGACTTTTAGTCTTCACTGTAGTACACATTATCAACAGGCGATGTTCTTAGAATTCATCACCAGTAATTATTATTGCCCCTGAATGAAGGGACATGATGAAGGGAAATCATGTATAAACACACTCACTTAACATGTTAAATCATTGAGGCTGAATTTAAAAATCTAGCTGCTTATAGGTCATCCTGTTTCCTTGCTATGCTTTTCTTGATATGGAAAGAGAAAGTAGACTAATTCTTGTAAATTTCACAAAATTCTGAATTAGAGGTGGAAAAGACCTGTTGGGTTATCCGGACCACCCGACTAGTGCAGGTTTATCTCCCCACAATGGGTTACCTTCTAGTTTTTGTGCACTCCTACAAGTGTTGTTTTTGGGGTTAAAACAAATGAAGGCACAATTCCTACAGCCAAATCTACCCGTTTCCTTTTTTTGCATTTTTCTAAAATCATTAGGCCCTTTCTGTTAAATTTTGTAGCTAAACCGTGTCCTTTTCAGAAGTCCTTGTAGGAACAGTGCACATTATTGTTTATCACGTCTTACTGAAAATAAGTCATTGTAGCCATGAAAAAACTAATTGGAGGTGATGGCCTCAAAAAATCATAGTGACCATGCATGCTACCCTATTTAGTTTTGAAGTTGTAATAAATCCAGCAAGGTGAAATTTGAAAGTTCAGACTCTTTTTTCTATTTCCTCTGTCAAGAGCTTGAAAGTGAGTTTGTAAATCCCTAAAACTGAAGAACTGAGACTCCCTTAAACTTACCTGTCAATATATTTATAAATAAAATAAGAGATATAACATTAGCTCTCATCATTAATTTTTCACAGACCAGGTGGTGAACTCAATCCAGGAGAAGATGAGGTAGAAGGTCTCAAACGTTTAATGACAGAGGTATATTTTCTTCATTTTTCTTTCGTTGTTAGAGTTATCTCCAATGCAATTGAATGTTGAATCGTTCTTGAACGTTTTTGGACAAAACATTATAAATAGCCTTTTTGCCATTCCTAGCCTTTTGAGTGCTTCAGTGATTCCCAACTAACTTCTTTCTGGTAGTTCATATAGTATGATCTACTACTTCATTTGTATATTTGTATTATGATAGTGGCAGAGAGCAGTGGTGGATTAGCCACTGGGCGAACAGGGCCCGTGCCCAGGGGCCCCGGCCAATTGGGGGTCCTGGAAAAATGAGCGACCTGCTCTGCCCGCCTGGTGCTCCTGTGGGAACAGGTCCAGGCGCCGGGGCTTGCCTTACTCTAACCATTCGGCGCTCCCGCTGGGGAGCGGGGCAAGCCCCTGTCCTGCGATCCCGTCCCTGGCTGGAGTGGCGAGCGGAGCGGGGCAAGCCCCGTCCCTGGCAGAAGCTGGGCGGGCGGAGCAGGGGGCCTCCACTTGCTCCTGGCCTGGGGCCTCAGAAAACTGCAATCTGCCTCTGCCAGAGAGAAGTAGAGTTGTCCAGTGGTTAGAGCACTAGCCTAGGACTTGAGGGACCAGGGTTCAATTCCCTGTTCACCGCAGACTTTCCTATGTGACCTGGCACAACCTTAGACGAGTCTCCCCTTAGCCTCTCTCTGCCTCAGTTTCCCATATGTAAACTGGGATTAACACTTCTCTACCTCACAGGGATATTGTGAGAATAAATCAGATTATGGTGCTCAGATACGGTGGTGATGATAGACAGACCCAGTCAATGATAAGGGCCTCATTGTGGATAACTCTGCATCCAATTCAATTGTCCTCTGCTATCCTGAACTAGGTGCTTAATTTATACACCAGGGACAATCCATTACTTAGACAACTCCTGTGAGTTCTGATTAAATGGCTTTATATTCTAGCTCTTGGGGTCAATTACACTCAATTGCATTTGTGAACCATATTTTCAAAAAATGTTTCTAAAGGCTGATCTACACTGAAAAGTTACATCAGCATAGCTGCCTCTCTCAGGGGTGTGCAAAATCCCACCCTGAGAGATGTAGTTAAGCCTAGTTTTATACCTTGTCTGGAACATGAGGACGACTTACATCAGTACATCGGTTAGTACATACGTATTCTAATTCTAATATAAGACTACTTTAGCTTGGCTCTGAATTGCATTAAACCCTTATTACAGCATCCCTTAATGCTTCCAGTATCTGGTTCCTAAGAGTACTAGCAATGGAGCATGTAGAGGTTTTCTGACTGCAACTGGATTTTGACAGATACTGGGACGTCAGGATGGAGTTCAGCAAGACTGGGTGATTGATGACTGCATTGGTAACTGGTGGAGACCAAACTTTGAACCTCCACAGGTCAGTGTCCATGCCTGCATAAATTTTGATGATTAAAAATAATTAGCAAGGTGTGTTTCTGCAAAAAACTGAGTCCATTTACTAATCAACTTTTTTGGGCAGCCATGGCATGTCAGGTTTCCTTTGCTGGTTTTTTTTGTTTGCTTGAAGATTTGTTCCTTTTGCTGGCTGCACTAGAGACCCAAACTACAGCTGGGCCTTTAGTTTTTCAGAGTGTGGTGTAATTAGTACATCTATCCTGTAAAGAAGATAAGCTCCCTTTAAACTTTTATTTTGAATTGTTTAGTGATAACGTGCTTGGCAATGTGGTTCAATTTCTCTTGCTGTCCTTGATTGTTCTTACCTGTTTCCTATTTCAATGTGGTAATGTCATTTTGAGACTGCCAACACTTTCTAGACTCTGAAAATTTAACTGTGGGGGCTTAATGTCTTTCTTAATGTTTTATAATATAGTTTTTTTTAAAAGTGAATAAAGGTGTATCAGATGTAGTTTCTTTTCATCATGTGGTAATGTCCTTCTCTGTGACTCATTCCCGATTCTTTAAGAAGCACTTATAGATCACTGTGTACTTTCAGAGTGCTGTACAAACTAATTAATCTTTTTTTTTTCTCCCTCAGTATCCCTATATTCCAGCTCATATTACAAAACCTAAAGAGCACAAAAAGCTCTTCTTGGTTCAGCTGCAGGAAAAGGGTAAGCATTTGTAGCAGAGATTCTAATCAGTGTTCTATTTTTTTGTGTGCAACTACTGAGACAACAGTTTCACATTTCATATTGAAAACAAATGTGGTGTTAAACTGATTTTAATGGAAACAAGCTTGTCATCTGTAAAGCAAGGCCCATAAACAAAGTTTAATAAGTGTTCTGCTAAAGTGAATGGGGTGAGAGAAATAAAGGATCTCATGCCCCGAATGCAAAATAATTAAAATATAGTCAAAGAAAATGACTAGTCAGTATTCTTTAAAACTTGGCAGCAAGCATGTACTGTTTGTTTATTTTTTTTTGTATTTAATTTAAATTATTTTAATAGATTATAAGAAGATTTTAGGCCTTAACATAGGTTGACAAAGTGGGTGAGGTAATATCTTTTATTGGACCAATATCTGTGGGTGAAAGAGAGAAGCTTTCAATCTTCCACTTTCAAATTTAATTTTAAATAGGATATTTATATATAATTTTAATAAAAATATCCAATTTTTTTTTTTTTTTAATCCATCCTGATTTGGAGTCCTCATAAATTGGGATCGTTTGCCAGGATAATAGGTGGGATAGGCGTGCATATGTACAAAGTCTCAGCATAAGAGCTCCACTTCTAATTGTATAAAATAAGCCCATTGGGACACTGTCGTTTTGGATGACAGTGAAGTGATTTTATATTTAAAGGGGGGAGGGACCCTAAGTGAAACCTTAGTTCGAAATTGTTAGTATTAACAATGGAAAAGTTGTTTCAATCTTGGATTCATTTTTAGCTTTGTTTGCGGTCCCAAAAAATTACAAGCTGGTAGCTGCACCGTTGTTTGAGCTCTATGACAATGCCCCAGGATATGGACCTATCATTTCCAGCCTTCCTCAGCTTTTGAGCAGGTATAGTATGCGGCAGATTCACAGTATAAGCAACTACTGTGCTGACTAATAAATTTCTCAGCGTTTTTTATAATATATTTGAGGTGCATCACTGCCATTCAGATAAGAAATGTGCATTCCTTAGCCTTCTCCTTTACTGAAAATAGTTTGTACCTCATCAGGCTTGAGAGCTCAGTGATCTTATTCTTCGTGTCGCCTGTGGTGTCGCTGAGCATCTACTCAAGTAACTTGCCATGCAACCCACAGGTTAATTTGTCAACTGTCAGTGAAAGAGGTTCTATTCTTTACCAGTCACATCCACCTGCTTGCATGGAAAAATCTCTGAGATGTCAGAACTGGTAGCATCCTAAAAGGCTTGTACCATTCTTACTCTTTATTTTTATCTCCCAATTTATCTGCTGTCAGCCTTTGCAACTGCTGGTGTAATTTTCCTATATAAAGACCACAAAGGAAGTCTCTTCCAAAAAACTAACAAAATGCTGATCTTTAAGCAGGCACAGGTTGTATTACTGTTAATTACTACTCTTTCAATAGCTTAACCAGAGCTGAAGTCTCAAATCTCTAAACCTGGATCCTAAGCAGTTAAAAGCAAGGACATCTGAAAATTGAGATCAATACATACTTGACACAGTACAAATTAGATTTCCTATTTCTCACATAATGGTCTCTGTTCACTCTGCAAACTTCAGTTTTAAGAGTTTATAACTCTTATGTGTAGCTTCTTGTTCATGCCTGACTCCTGACATATGCAGTGTTTGTCCAATAGCAATTTTCTTCCACACTATAAGACTTCCCCTCCTCCTGTCCCCGCGATGGAAACAAAACTCACATTGGCTTTTCTCTGCCAGAGAAGCTATTTTTTGAAGGTTCAAGAAAAATTAGTTCTGTAGGATTGGATCCCTTAGTATACTTGTGTGTAAAGCTGAGGTTAGTGTTTACCTGGTGTAGACAATTACTGGTTGAAGTACAAATACTTGTTGACTGGAAATCTCATCTTTGCTTTCTGTCAGGTGTGTGTTTGTTTAGCTCAGAAATAAAATATTGCGCGCACAACTCATTTAATCACTTTCTACATATAAATGATGAAAATAAATCTCTTGCATGGTGCAACTATTTTTTATTTTAGATTCAATTTTATTTACAACTGAATTCCCATATACTTGAAGAGTGTGATAGAAGAAGCCGTCTCTGTGAGCACAGCTTTAAGATGTAGAGGGAAGAATACATGTGACGCAAGGATTTTTTTTATGTCTCTTTTTTTTTTTCCCCCTGAAAACCGCTAAACTTTCTATTGTCTGAATAGCAAAGTGAATCTCAACTGTTTAGATAGTGGGATGGCGAATGTGATTCAGTGTTTTAATCACTTTTCATTGTAATAGTCACCAGTTTTTTTTGTACAACATTAAACAAACTAAATTGGATTGTTTGTCTATTTCTTATATAATAGCTATTTGGAATATCTTACTGAAGGTGGGTAAGAAATTAAAGCTAATGCTTTCTTCCAGGTACGGGTTGAAGGCAACAGTAGGTCTAAATAATGGAGGGGGGAGGGGAGAAACATTTCAGGGCAGACCTAGTATGTTAACTGAGCATTCAAGCTTGTGCTTTCCTGAGCAGAGAGCATGTGGGGGAACTATCCTGATGAGAGTCTGAAACCTTTAAGAAAAAATAGTACTCAAAGTCAAGGTATGCGTGACTTAAAAAACAGTAGCCCAGTAATCTGCCTTAGCATTTCCATTCTAATCATAAGTGGCAAGGTGGGCCATTGCTATAAGTGAAACTGACCTTGACTGGTGTGGGAACTTGACTGCTCATTACTGGTGATCTCAATGGAGTTATCTAGAACACAAAGGTTTTCTGACTGAAATCAGTTCATGGGACTGTCCTATATTAACTAATGGGATCCAGGTAAAATATGAAAATACCCTAAAGAGCCTTACAAGAGCACTTTTCTGATCGGTCATGGGGGCAGGGCTGTAGAACTGAAATTAGATTGGTAACTGCATTGAAATATTTATCTGCCCAATCCCTGGGAGCTGTCTCCTTACTGAGCAGAGCTCCTATAGTTTAACTGTATACCCCTTTCTTCTTAGAAAGGATCGTTGAGACTCGGGGATCTCGTTTTCTCAGTTTACCTCAATCTACTGCCAGTATTAAACATATCCAAACAACTAGGATTTCTCTATTTGGGTGTGTCAGATTACCTTTTAAAAAATATCTTCTAAAAATTGGGGAAAAGGGTACACTAGGAAATCACTGGACATGTTTTATTTTAATGGTACCATATCCATCCATAGTATGGACTAATGGCTAATTTACCCTGTCTGAGCTACACTAGAAACAAATAAGACAATTTAAACAAAACTGACTTAAAATATATTGTGCTGAAATGTTGGAGGGAGGAGATACGGGGACTCCATTGTGTAAGAACTTTATTTAAAAAAGCAAACAAAAACTGACCACAGACTTGATGCCTAAAGCTAGGCTCCTCAATAAATGAATTGGTTTTATTTTCGGAGGTGTAGAGCACTCACAAAAGTCCATAGGAACTGCAGCTGCTTAGAATCTCAAGTCACTTCTATTTAGGAATTTAATTTTAGGCACCCAGGTTTGAAAACTGCCCTGGGCTTCCTGCCCCATCATGAACCTGTGCTAGGAGGTCTCCTCCCTGTCTCACTTTTCCTTAAGTTACTACTGTACTTACTCCTCCACATCTAAACATTGTAAGGAGAGGCAGCATTTTGGGAGAAACCCCCAGCTGGGGTATTAAACTTACAGATTAATTCTAAATTCTGTTTTGGCTGTATTGCTCCCTAAGACAGACGCTGATAGCTAATTCTTCTGGGGACAACTACAATAGCAAACAGTCTGTGTCCCAGCTTCTAGCTTTGGATAACCTACTGGCCCGCGCTCCAGCTCCGGGCTCCGCTCCAAAGCCAAATGCTACAGGTGAGAAATGTGCACCTTCTGCTAACCTGACAACTTTGGAGGGTCTATCTTGTGATGATGAGCAGGGGAAGTGAGTCCTGCACACTGGGGGAGTTACAGTGGAGGGTATTTTGTGTGGATGTTTGATGCAGGGTGAGGGAATATGAACACAAAGTGGAAAGAGCATCTAGTAACTTCTGTAACAAGGAGAGAGAGAAATCTTTGACCCTTTGAAAAGCCCAAGCCTAGTATGAACTTAATGTAATAACGAGCCTCAATTTCTGATTCAACATTTTTGAGGCATGATTTACCATACAAAAACAAGGGAGATAAACTTGGGCCTAAAATAAGGGGTAGGTGATTAAACATTCCATGCTTATTGGAATTAGTATTGTACATTTGCTGTCTGAGAGGGTCTACATAATACCTGTTGCAATTTTTAATTCACACTTTTTACCATTCTAGACCTGAACAGGAGTGTAAGTTGTCATGTAGCTGCTGAGGAAAATCTATTGCTGGACTGTAATAAGCAAAAAAGAGAACTGGAAAAGCCAAAGCTGCATGCCAAATAAATTCTTACAAATGGCATTTAAAAATAAATACTGAGTGTTCAAGTCAAGAATTGCCATGATGGATACATGTAATTAAGTTTGACATAACAGCTTAAGAATGGTTGGCATTTTAATATTACATGAGCCTCACAGTGGTACAGAAAATGAGACTACTTAGTTTTAAATACTTGGACGATGTGGTATGATGTTCTGCTAATTTAAAGGAACAACCAATTATTTTTTCCACTATGGTGGAGGCTAACCAATATTGACTGCAAAAATAAAATTGCAAAATGGACTACGGCTTTAGTGCCACCATGTGGCAAAAAACATAAACCCAGTTCCTCCGAATTAGCAATTAGGTGACCATTTTAAAAGCTAAGAAAACTCAACACACAAACCTTGCACATGGGAGTTAAAAATAAGCTAGGGCTGTGAAGCGATTAAAAAAATTAATCACAATTAATAGCGCTGTTAAACAATAATAAAATGCCATTTATTTAAATATTTTTGGAAGTTTCTACATTTTAAATATGTTGATTTCAATTACAACAGTGTACAGTGCTCACTTTATATTTATTTTTTATTACAAATATGTAAAAAACAAACAAAATAGTATTTTTCAATTCACCTAATACAAGTAGTGTAGTGCAATCTCTATCATGAAAGTTGAACTTACAATTGTAGAATTATGTACCAAAAAAACTGCATTAAAAAATAAAACAATGTAAAACTTTAGCGTCTACAAGTCCACTCAGTCTGCCTTCTTGTTCTGCCAATTGCTCACACAAACAAGTTTGTTTACATTTGCAGATGATAATGCTGCCCGCTTGTTTCCTATGTCACCTGAAAGTAGGAACAGGCATTCGCATGGCACTGTTGTAGCCAGTATCGCAAGATATTTACATGCCAAATGCGCTAAAGATCCATATGTCCCTTAATGCTTCAACCACCATTCCAGAGGACATGCATCCATGCTGGTGATGGGTTCTGTTCAATAACAATCCAAAGCAGTGCAGACCGACACATTCATTTTCATTATCTGAGTCAGATGCCACCAGCAGAAGATTGATTTCCTTTTTTGGTGGTTCGGGTTCTGTAGTTTCTGCATCGGCGTGTTGCTCTTCTAAGACTTCTGAAAGCATGCACCGCACCTCGTTCCTCTCAGATTTTGGAAGACGCTTCAGATCCTTAAACCTTGGGTCGAGTGCTGTAGCTATCTTTAGAAATCTCACAGTGGTACGTTCTTTGCATTTTGTCAAATCTGCAGCGAAAGCATTGTTAAAATGATCAACACGTGCTGGGTCATCGGCCGAGACTGCTATAACATGAAATATATGGTAAAATGCGGGTAAAAGAGAGCAGGAGTCATACAATTCTCCCCCAAGGAGTTCAGTCACAAATTTAATTAATGCATTTTTTTTTTAATGAACATCATCAGCATGGAAGCATGTCCTTTGGAATGGTGGCCGAAGCATGAAGGGGCATATGAATGTTGAGCATATCTGGCACATAAATACCTTGCAATGCCAGTTAAAGAAGTGCCATGTGAACACCTGTTCTCAGTTTCAGGTGACATTATAAATAAGAAGCAGGCAGCATTATCTCCTGTAAATGTAAACAAACCTGTTTGTCTTAGTGATTGGCTGAAGAAGAAGTAGAACTGAGTGGACTTGTAGGCGCTAAAGTTTTACATTTTTTTGTTTTTTGAGTGCAGTTATATAACAAAAAAAAATCTACATTTGTAAGTTGCACTTTCACAATAAAAGAGATTGCACTACTGTACTTGTATGAGGTGAGTTGAGAAATACTATTTTATCATTTTTACTGTGTAATTATTTGTAATAAAAATAATGTAAAGTGAGCACTGTACACTTTATATTCTGTGTTGTAATTGAAATCAGTATATTTGAAAATATATAAAATTATCTACAAATATTTAATAAATTTCAATTGGCATTCTATTGTTTAACAGTGCAATTAAAACTGCAATTAATAGCTATTAATTTTTTAATCATGATTAATTTTTTTAGTTAATCGTGAGTTAACTGTGATTAATCGACAGTCAGCTGGTGGTGGTTTGGCCTATGTGAAATGACTTGGATATCCGTCTAGTTCACAATGGAGATTTCACTCGTTTCAACGATGTTCCATAGGACAGAGACTAATCAGGACAGCTATTTCCTCACCCCTATTAGTGGTTCCTTCAGGGCCAAGTTGAGGCACGCTGGTACGGCTGTATGTGGAAAAACCACTGTCACGTTTAGTGGAAAAACTTCAGTTCTCCATGGCTGTCATGCCAGCACCTTGACACACATTATATTTATTTTTAAGCAGTGGTTCTCGACCAGGGATACACATACCACTGGGGGTATGCAGCGGTCTTCCAGGGGGCATGTCAACTCATCTGGATATTTGCCTAGTTTTACAACAGGCAGCATAAAAAGCACTAGCGAAGTCAGTACAAACTAAAATTTCATACGGACAATGACTTGTTTATACTGCTCTATATACTATGTCAGTGTTTCTCAACCTGGGATGGGGTTAGGGAAGTTGCAAGAGCAGGGCTGGTGTTAGGGGGTGGCAAGCAGGGCAATTATCTGGGGCCCCACACCACAGTGGGCCCCGCGGAGCTAAATTACATGCTTCAGCCCCAGGCGGTAGGGCTCTGGCTTCAGCTTCATCCCTGGGCAGAAGACTGAGCTTTGCCACCTGGGGCTGAAATCAGACTCCTGAAAGGGGTACAGTAGTCTGGAAAGGTTGAGAACCAGTACTTTAAAGAGTGTTAAGTGGGAAGGATTGTGAAATAACGCTATTTGCTCTCAGCAAGTCCAGATTTTTTATAACAGCATCTCAACACTGATTGTCAGCAAAGAGGTAGATTTGATACTGATTTCTTGATGGTATGGATTATTATTTTGTATACATTATTATACCTATAATGTATAAAGAAGTGTTGAAGCACACTAATTAGAGAGGGCGAGACTAGGTCTGGCTTCCATGCCTTTGCCATACCTGCTAACCTCCAAAGGACTCAAGGCCAGACTTTCAAAGGTATTTGGGTGCCTAAAGATGCCGATGGGGGCCTAGTGGGATTTTCAAAAATACCCGGGTGCCAGTTAGGTGCCCAGGTTCTTTTGGATAAAGGTGCCCATCTGCATCTTTAGGCACCTAAATACCTTTCAAAAGCTGACCCTGAGTTCACCCTAGGGTGGAACAGTCTGAAAAACCTCGAAGTATTTCACATCCTCATTTTTCCTTCCAGACCCCGTCCATCACCTCTCACTTCTCGGCCCTGGCGCTGCCCCAGTGCGTTGCATTACCCCGCGTTACACACAGGCTGAGCCAGAAAGGACAGGGGAGACTTTCCTTTGCGGCGCCTATTGAAGGCAATCAAAGCGCATCCGCCTTCCCTAGCCCCCATTAGCCTCCCTCCCCCCCAGCGACACTTCACACCCGCGGCCCCCCAGTCATCCCCATCCCCTCAGGCCCCTCCAGCCGGGGGCGGTGCTGGGCGATCGGCGGCCGCGGGCAGGCCCGGAGCGCTGCTGCGGGGCCGGGGCAGCACCAGGGGGAGGCGCCCGCCCAGGCCCGGCGCAGGGCGGAAGGAGGAGCCCGCGGAGGGCCAGCGAGTCGGGGCCCGTAGCTGCGTCCGCCGGAGTGTGAGCGGGAGGCGGCGGCTGCGGCTGCGGAGCCGGGAGAGCCGCCGGGAAGAAGCGTTAGGCCGCGGGCCGAGCCGAGCCGGGGGCGCGGGGGACAGGCCCGGCTCAGGGAAGCGGAGGGGGCCGCTGGAGGCCCGGGGCCGCGATGCCGCTGCTCTTCCTGGAGCGCTTCCCCTGGCCCAGCCTCCGCACCTACACGGGGCTCAGCGCGCTGGGGCTGCTCGGCAGCGTCGTCAGCGCCTACCGCGCCCTCAGCCAGGGCCCCGCCGGCCACTCGGAGCCGCCGCCTGACGGGGACTCTGCGCCCGGAGCCGGGCCCCAGCCCCTGGACATCGCCTACTACCTGCTGTCTGACAGCCTCTGCGTCTGGGTGAGAGCGGGGCTGGGCCGGGAGAGGGGCCCTGGGGCGGGAATAGAAGGAGGGGGCAGTGGGGGGAGAGGGGCCCTGGGGCGGGCAGTGGGGCTGGGGGAAGAGGGGCCCTGGGGCTGGAGTAGAGGGAGAGGGGCCCTGGGGCTGGGGGGAGGGCGGGCAGTGGGGGGAGAGGGGCCCTGGGGCGGGGGGGAGGGCGGGCGGGGGGGGGGGGGGGGGGCGGGGGGGGGGGGGGGAGAGCGCTGAGGGGTGGGTAGTTGAGCTGGGGAGGGCTAAGTATACTAGATGATCATAATGGTCCCTTCTGACCTTAAAGTCTATGATTCTATGAATGAGTGGATCCCGGGGGTGTGATTGCCTGGATGCCCCAGGGACCAGGCCCCAGGGACGCCTGGCTTGACTTCCAGCTCCCTCTGGGGATAACAGGGTCCCCCAGACTTGGAGGAAATAGTTCCCTCCCCCAACTAGCAGACTCTTGTGTAAATAGCACAGCCATGGTTCAAACATACCCTGCTGTAGTTCGCTGGTCAATGGATTGAATCTGGACTAGGTCTGTAGTGACTGATAGCTGCGACTGTGTGATGAGGCTGGTCATTGGTTTGTCTGAAGTGAATCTGATGGTCTGAGTCTGGTTTCCAAGGTCCAGTTATAGAGGTTAGACTCAGTCACTAAACAGAAGTCCTCTTTATCAGTTTCTGGGCCCATTAGTGTGATTTACACCAGGATTTAAACTGTCTGGGTCAGAAGAGATGTGTAAGGGGGTGTAAATTACATGTTAAATAGGTGCAAGTTTGCACTGGTAAACTTTAGTTTTAGACCTTGCATTCATTAGGGAATTTGTTCAACATTTCTCGCTGCTGCTAACACCATTTTGGCTTCATCAGCGTTCACAATTTTGGGAGCTGTAGAGTAGGCGGAGTGCCATTTTGAGTGCTGGTTTGGGTCTAAACACTAATGGTCTGTCTGCTGTCAGCTTCCCCTGTTGCTAAAACAGGTGGACTTGAGCCAATGCTAGCAACATTAAGAAACTTCTATACAGTATTGGGCCTTGCATGCTGGAGGCTGGAAGAAAACTTGCCTAGAATTTAGTCCCAATGTCTACATTACAAAAAATTGCTTCCCCGGTTAGGCTCCCTTGTTAGCTTCAGCAGAGAGGACAAAGAGTGTGAACACTCCACAGGAATTTAACTCACTTTGCCCTTAGAACTGGTCCCTCCAGGTCAGTATTGAGTCAGATTGGGAGAAGCAATCTGGACACCATGTTCATCATAGTGCATCTGTTCTGTTGCTAAGCAGAGATTTCTCTCTATGGCTGTCAGTTTGGCAGATTTGAGTTTATAAATTAAAAAAGGAGTTAAAGCCAGTTAATCTTCTGTTTTAATGTTAAAAACATACTTTACTCTTTTGGCTTGGACCCAATTTTGTAATGTTGGGCCCTGATCAAGAAATCATGGTTTACGAGTGTTTACTGATCTTTTAAAGGATTTTGTATGTATTTTTTGGAATTGGCTTCACACACGCACGCACTCACTCTCTCTCTCTCTCCCTCCCCCTCCCCCTCCCCCCTCCCCTCCGGGCTCTGCAATGGTTTTGCAAGACTCAGACTGTGTTAATTTACATGATCTCTGTGTAAAACGAAACAAAAGTGAGATTGTAGACTGTCTTTGTTGTCACTAAGATAGTAATATGTTAATTATGGCAGCGTACCCATGTGTGTATACCATAGTTTGTACTTGGATAAAGTATATGCTTTGTGCTCAATTTAATATTTTAATGTCTTTCTCTTTTTACATGAAAATTATTTTTAAAGTTAAATTTTTAAAGGGATGTTGTCAATTTAGGTATCCGGACACTACAAAACAATAGTGTTTACTATGCCTGTGACGCTTTGGGATTAGCCAATGAGACAATCCAAAACATTAAACATGATACTCAGTAATAAATGTTTGTAAGAGAGGATTATGTCTTTTGCCCAACATTTTGAAAGTTGTAAAAACAAGATTTTGCAAAACCTAAGGCGAGTAGAAATCTTTCCATAATCTTAAAAAGAAAAACATCACCTGCAGTGTCAGAAACCAAAACATGCAGCATGAGAACCTGAAAATGGAAGTGACTATAAATGACTACAATTTATTATTATTATTTGTATTACCATAGTACTTAGGAGCCCTAGTCATTGACCAGGACCCCACTGTGTGAGGTGCTGTACAAACAGAATAAGAAGACTATCCCTACTTCATTGATTTTCATTGTCCGTGCCTATTGAGATTAAAAAAACCTCAACGAAGAACATAAATAGTGACTGGGTATATTAGATTTTTAAATTCCTTTGTGTTTAATAATCCAAGGTGGTATTACCAATCTGTAGGTAAACAATATATGATTTTTAAATTGACTATGGGTAAATTTTCAAAAGTGCAAAAGACATTTAAAGGCTCTTGAGTCCCTTTAGAAAATGGGATTTAGGTTCCCAAGTTGGTTAGGCGCTTTGAAAAATTGTACTGTGTCCCTTTAAAGTGCTGTGTTATTGGGATGTATCCTCTCATCATTTCTTTTCTCACTTCTTGTGTCCTATATAGTTCAAAAGTTAATCAAAAGGATTGGTTGGCAAAAAAACGAGAAACCAGTTTAAGCGATTCAGTATTTTCTACTCATTACGATTTTCATTGAAATGGCTGTCAAGAGCTATAATCCCAGAGAGATTTAACTGGCGCAGTTCCAGAAAGCAGATAGGTTTTATTTATTAGGTTTTCAGGCCTGGTATGAATGATGTCACTGTGAACATGTTCAGACTGGAGTATTCTGACTTGTGTTCAGCAATTTAAATATCAAGGTGAGATAGATTTAGAAAATTTCAGCACAGACCAACCTAGAGCCTAATTTTGCTTGATGTCTATGTTATGCAAAGCATTACCTGTGACAAATGTGTAGTTAGACTTGCATGTTGGCATCAGGCATAACCAAGCTTTTATGGCTTCTGTAAAATGTTTATTTTTGGAAACTAAAATATACATTTGTAATTTAGGAGGGAAACAACTTGATCATTTTAGAAATAATTCCTTGTAAAGGACCCTGTCAACTTAAATTTGGCCCCAAATTTAAAATTTGCTAGCATATTTTTATCAACCCTGAGACTAACGGAAATATTTCACAATTTAAAAAAAAGTTCAAATGAATGTGTATTTTAAACAAATAAGTATTCTCCTGTGTGTTTTGAGTGGCAAATATTCCAAAATTAAGAACTTGGAAATGACACTGACTATAAGCAAAAGGGAAACTGACTTTATTGATTTTTATTGTCTGGGCTGAGAGAAAAGCAAAAAGTCAGAGCATAAACAGTGAAAAGTAAATGGATTTTAAAAATGATAACTTTGAATAATCTATTAAGGTGTTTATAGTAAGATATAAATTTGTTTGCAGCATATATGATTTTTAAATTGACAGTGTCCCTTTTAAGTACTAAGTATCAGATGGGTAGCCGTGTTAGTCTGTATCCACAAAAACAAGGAGGAGTCTGGTGGCACCTTAAAGACTAACAAATTTATTTGGGCATAAGATTTCATGGGTAAAAAACCCACTTCTTCATCAATTATTGGGAGTGGACCACATCCACCCTGACTAAATTGGCCTTCATCATTGGTTCTCCACTTGTAAGGTAACTCCCTTCTCTTCATGTGCCAATATGTATTTATGCCTGTATTTGTAATTTTCACTCCATGCATCTGAAGAAGTGGTTTTTTTACCCAGAAAAGCTTATGCCCAAATAAATCTGTTAGTCTTTAAGGTGCCACCAGACTCCTCGTTGCCTTTTAAGTACTGTATTTTTAAAATGTTAAAGTTTATGAATTTTATTCTAGAAAATGTTCACAATAATTTGTACTAACTGGTAAATCTGATGCAGTTTTAAAAGTTTTTGATATGTTAAACCGGTCCAGTTAAATGATGATTGCTAATCTAAACTACGCTCTTAGATTTAAAAATGTTTTGAACGACTCATTAATCATTTCTGAATGCCACTGACCTGATGATGTGGGGCATCATAAATCAGCTGTTGCTAAAGCTTAAAGCCAGTGGAAACCAGAAAGTAAAATTTACTGGGAACAAAAGTGAATTTGACTAGTCAGTTTTTATTGTCTAAGCTGAGATGGATAAAATAAGTAAACTAAATAAATAGTGAAAAGAAAATCAAATTCTGACATTTCATTTTTAATGATGTAAGGTATTAATGATAACTTGGGTAAAGAAATCAGTTTCCTTGCAAATTTAGGTGTGGTAGCTTGGTTATCTGCATAATGATGCTGTTGCTCTTAATGACACAGATCAGCGTTTCCACAAATGAAATGATAATGACATGCATTCTACTGTACTGTGCCTAGAAGTTAGGCTTTAGGAAGGGGCATATTTTACAGGCTAACTGAAACGAATACTGTACTGCACAATAACAAGGGGGTGAGATATAGTGCTCTCTTTTATGAATAGGACTAAAATATGTTTAATTTCTTTTTAGGTACTGGTAAATACTGCCTGCTGTTTCCTGATGTTGATTGCTAAACTAATCCAGTGTGCGGTGTTTGGTCCTCTTCGTGTTAGTGAGAAGCAGGTAAGTAAAACTTATGAGGTTTCTAGACGAATTGCCTTGCTTTCAGATTCTTGTTTTCTTAATCTGTCTCTTATTTATCTTCACATGGGGTTTTTTTGGTAGGTGAATGATTTTAATATCCCATCTGGGAATATTGAGAGTTGCACAGATTAACATTTAGCACCCTAACAGTTTTTTAGAGATACAAATGTAGCTCTTATGATTTACAATGATTTTTTTAAAAGTAAGATTGATTTTGCCCATCTTTCCATCAAAATTGCTTCCCTTTTTAACCCCAAGCTTAGAAGGTGATTTGTCCATGATTTGGAGATATCCCCTTTTGATATTTTGAAAATGCACATTCAATAAAATGTATGGAAGTTTAAAATAAACCAAGAAGCCCTTTGCAGTTCTCTTATGGGTAAACTACTCAGTTCATATATAAGCACCCATAAATCTTCTGGCTTGTTTCTGAAGAGGAGCTTTAATTTTGGTGGGCTGCTATTTTATTTTAAAAGGACACCTATCAACTAAGAAATTACACTTCCTTCAAAAATTTTGATCCTGAGCTTACAAGTGCTCTTAATTTTAAAGGGAATTAGAAGAAAACAATTCTCTATTTTTGATTTTAGTTTACTTTGTGCACTTGACAGTACTTTTTTACATAGTCAATTTCACTGTTTTAGTACTGGTCAGCTACAACTCTTTCCTCATGCTCTGCCATAATGACATAACTCTCATGCACCTTCAGCCTCTGCAAGAAGAGGAGGTTTCCCATCAGTGGCAGTCGGCAGTCACGTGCACAGAGAGGGCAGGAGAGCTGAGCCCAAGCTCATTTGTTACTGGCCCTAGGCTTGCCCCTCTTCTAAACATCAGCAAGGAAGCAGGAAAAACGCTTTTTAAAGGATTTTAAAAAAGATTTCAGGACATACTATTTAAAACCTGTTCTATCAGAAAATGGAGTTATTTTGAAAATTAATTTTCAAAAATCAAGTTGACTGTGTCCCTTCAAAATATGTTTTTTCTCTCTCTCTCTCTCTCTCTCTCTCTCTCTCTCTCTATATATATATATATATACAGACACACACACACACACATGCAGTCATTGAAAAAAATTAAGCCATAGAAGTTTTAATGTAACAGGCATGCAGTGCAAATGGCGCACTATTATTTACTTGTTCATAGATCTCTTGCAATCTATCATATTGGTGATTCACAAACCTAAAGACCTCTGAATGCAGTACCTATGCTTTAAAAGTGAGGCACTCTCCCAGGGCTTTGCGCTAGATTTTTTTCAGTTGTCTGTGGTGACCATATGTACATGGAATTCAGGGCAGTGTCAATGCTAGTTTCTAGTGTGTTCACTGTCCCTTTAAAAATTGAAATGTACTTTGATAGCTTCCTTTGAAAGACAGGCTATATATGTTGGGTAGGTCAAAAATGCGATCATCCTGAAGGAATTATTAGCCTGTTCTAGCTGTCTTGCTGATGATTTCATTGTGTTTTTATAAAGAGGATTGATTTTTTTTTTTCTATAAAGCCTCTCCATGCCCTGCAAATTGTACCGTGGCTTTTATCCTGCAGTAACTAACCAGTGTACTATCTTTCTTTCTGATTGCATGTGTGTGGGAATGATTTTCCTGTCCCACTGTTGCTCATCTCCTCCCTTCTTGCATGTAGCCATTATGTTGGAGACCAAGCATCTTATACATTGAGTGTTTTTAGAGGGTTAGATTTTTGTGACTTTCTCTTAATTTCCTACAATGGCAGAAGAAAGGTTTAATATGTATATACCAGCAATCCAGAAATGAAAATGACAATATTGGTAGCCTCGCAGCCACATTGCTATGATACTGAGGATCCAGTTGAGATCAAGGCCCCATTGTGTTAAGCACTGTAGAAATACATAGTAAAAAAACCTTTATCTACAATGCTGCACTGTCTTGTTGCAGTGGTACAAAAGGAAGATCATTTAGTCAATACACCTTAAGAGAAAGGGGTGTCTAGTGGAGGCTAGGTAGATGACAGGCAGCATGGATAAAAATGGATGATAACCTATGTTAAGGCTTAAATTTACTATAATCTATTTAAATCACTTAAAATAATTAAAAAAAATATTAGAACATGTTTGTCACCAAGTTTTAAAGAAAGTCAAACCATTGAGCTGGTGGGAGTGACTGGCTAAAAGCCTGGAACCAAAGTTTGTTGACATGCTAAAGCAGCTTTTGACTGACAGCAGTAGCCTCTTTTGCAGGTGTAGAGATCACAATTTTCTAACATAGTTAATTTTTATATTTTTAAATTATCTGGATAAATGTGAGTTAAGTAATTTAATTGCTTAAATTAATGTTTTTATAGTGTATCCTCCTGGTTAGCAAAAAGAAGCACCAAATGTAGTGTAAAGGCTGTATTTGTTTGCAAATAAGCATGTTTTAATGGCTACCAACCAATGGGAATCAGCCTTCTTTAGAAAAATAACTAAAAAGTACAAATGCAAATCATTAAAATTGGTGATTTAAATCCATCCACCTTGATGGCAGGAATTTCTAATATTTCTCATTTTTGTGTTGTTCATATCCTGTTATTTTAAAAATAATACAAAATATCCCCACCTAGCTGTCCCTATAGCTGGCCTATCACATTTTCATACTTCTGTTTCCTTCATCTTCCCTCCTGCCTATTATCTGTTGCACTCATCTTTTGCTTCTTAGCTCAACTGAGACCATAAGCTCCCTGGAGCAGGGACTGTCCTTTTACTCTCTCCAATATCTAGCACAATGGGACTTGTAAGTACTGTCCTAAAGCACTGCTAAATGATAGTAGCAGGTAATGCAAGTGACTGTGAATTGGGGTTTCTACTCCCCATTCTACCACTGACTTGCTGTGTAGCAAGTTTCCTACTTGTGAAATGCGGATACTTCCTGTCTCATGGGTGCGTCATGAGGATTAAATAATTGTGAGACATGTCGTGATTGTCAGATGAAGAAACTGCATAAGTGCAAATTATTATAGGGTTTTTTTAATTAATAAAATAGCCGGGGTGGATAATTTTGTATTTGAGCTTTGTGTAACTACTTTGATTACCTACAGAAATAAATATCTTCCTTTTTAGCATCTCAAGGACAAATTCTGGAATTTCATCTTCTACAAGTTTATCTTTATTTTTGGTGTGCTGAATGTTCAGACAGTGGAAGAGGTGGTCATGTGGTGCCTCTGGTTCTCTGGGCTTGTGTTTCTCCACCTCATGGTTCAGCTGTGCAAGGATCGATTTGAATATGTAAGTTTTTCCTAATGCCTGTGTGTTGGGAGATGTGAGTTCTGCTCCCAGTGCCAGCACTGACTCACTGTGTGCCCTTGGTTGTGTCACTTAGGGCTTGATTTTTCAGAGATGTTGAGCACTCATGTCTCCCATTGACTTCAAACTGAGCTGCAAATCCTCAGCACCTCTGAATATCAGGTCCTTAACCTCCCTGCTACAGTTCTCCTATCTTAAATGATCATCCCATGTTAAATGATATTTATCCTTTTTCATAAAATGCTGAAAGATCCTCAGATGTAAAGCTCCATGTGTTCTTGCCTTGCCTAGAATTACTGCTATAAATCTTTTTTAAAAAGTGTCCTCCTCAAATTGCCTTAGCTAAGAATTCTAGAAAATCGCCCTCAGTTTGATGCCCAGTTAGGTAGTTTTCTGAGGGTAGTTTGAAATTTTTTTGACCTCTCAAAGTAAAATTACAAAGAATAGAGCAAAAGGAATTGGATTTCACTGCGTATTTATAGTTTCTGTGCAGTTTTCATGCTTTGAAATAGTTATGATCATTGTGCCTCTATCAAGAACTGGTGGCACACAATGCATCTTTATATGTACCGTATATTATAAACTGTATCCCAAACGATATCTGTATTAGAGAGTTAAATAGTGAGTCACAGAGGGGGAGAGTAATGAATAGGCTCAGGCGAGGAGGAAAGACAGTCTTCATCTGGGAAATTAAATGTGATGGAGGATTGCAGAGAGGCCGTACCAGGTGGCTGGAGCTGTAGAGGACATGGCTTTTGCACCAATAGCAATGAGACTATGGAGAGCTAAGATGGTTCTAAACAAGAATAGGGAGCAGAGTAGTGAGAAACAATGCCTTTGAGTAAGTTATTGGAGTGCACATTTGATAGGGGTTTTAAAATGAATGAAGTGTCAGTTCAGTTTTAGTTAAATAAACAAATTGACCCTTACGCACACTGTTGTAATCTGATCCCTCGAACTGGGCCAGGTCTGTTTATTATGCTGGACATATGACTAGAGATATAATGTAGATTACAAAATTAAAAGCTTTCACATGGTAGTGTGTGTGCCACAATATATGTTACCTGACAAGCACTTTAATTCTCCTTTTTTATGGACTATTATTGAGATTAGAAAAATCAGCTTTGTACTTGAGTAATTGTAGACACTTAAATATCTATAAAGTACGTGCTGCTTTCTTTGCTTCAGTGTCATTAAATAAAAGCCTGAGCCAGACTGAATTCGCTGGTTTACCCCAAACTCTATATTTTAAGGCCTCTTGTACTCCCAATTTCACCACCCAGGAAGGGTTAACTTTCCAGCAGTTTGATAGTGGCCTTGAGTGAAATGAGATTGAGTGGGGTGGAATAACTAAACCAGAGATCAACAGGAAGGTTATCTAGCAGTTCTTGGTGTACTGAAGTTATCTTCTAGAAGGCTAAGAGAGAGCAGACTGTAAAGGTAGAAATGCTTATTACGTTTGAGCGAGAGTTCTTAAGAAAGGAGCTCTGGTACTGGGACTTCCTTTCTTGTTGAAGGAAAACATTAAAGTCTGGATTATAACACTTTTCTTGATAAATGTGTGACTATGAAGTTGACTCCAACTCAAATGGGGAAAGAAGAATGAATTTAGCAACTGAATGCATGAAATATGTGAGCCAACTTAATAATTAACCAAACACCCCAGACTGAGAGTTTCATCCTTAAATTAAGATAACTTTATTTTTGGTATAATCTATAAGCAAAGCATATAAGAATTTTCAGTTAAAATTATATGTAATCTTAAATAATATAAAGGAAATATTTTTCAGTCTTCTGATCAAAAGGTGAGCATGGTCTACCAATACCTGGATGGGGAGAGATTTCTGATGGCTCTTTAATCTAGGAGAAAAAGGCATAACAAGATCCAGTGTTGGAAGTTGAAGTTAGACAAATTCAAACTAGAAATAAGTCACAATTTTTTAACAGCGAGGGTAACTAATCATTGGAACAACTTACCTATGGAAGTAGTGTATTCTCCATCCCTTGACATCTTTAAATCAAGACTAGATGTCTTTCTAAAACATACCCTCCAGTAGGGTTGCCAACTTCCTAGTCGCGCAAAACCGAACACCCTAGCCCCGCCCCCGCTCACTACATTCCCCCTCCTCTGGTGGCTCGCTCTCCCCCCTCACTCACTTTCACTGGGCTGGGGCAGGGAGTTGGGGTGCAGGAGGGGGTGAGGGCTCTAACTGGGGGTGCAGACTCTGCGGTGGGGCCAGAAATGAGGGGTTCAGGGTGTGGGAGGGGACTTCAGGCTGGGGCCGGGAGTTGGGGTGCAGGAGGGAATGAGGGCTCCAGCTGGGGGTGTGGGCTCTGGGGTGGAGCTGGGGATGAGGGGTTTGAGGTGCAGGAGGGGGCTCTAGGATGGGGGGTGGGGCTGACGGATTTGGAGTGTAGGAGCGTGCTGTGGGTTGAGGCAGGGGGTTGTGGTGCAGGAGGGGGGGAGGGCTCTGGGGTGGGGCCGGGGATGAGGGGTTCAGGATGTGGGAGGGGGCTCTGGGAAGGGGCTTGGGGTGCGGGGGGGGCTGAGGGCTCGGGTGGGGCCAAGGATGAGAGGTTTGGGGTGCAGGAGGGTGCTCAGGGTTTGGGGGGGGCAGGCTCAGGGCTGGGGCAGGGGGTTGGGGTTCAGAGTTGGGGTGTGGGCTTACCTCGGGTGGCTCCCAGTCAGCGGCGCAGCAGGGCTAAGGCAGGCTCCCTGCCTGTCCTGGCTCCGTGCTATGCGCACCCCAGAAACAATCAGCAGCTCCAGGTCCTAGGCAGGGGGACCAGGAGGTTCCACGCGCTGCTCTCACCTGCAGGCACCGCCCCTGCCCCCAGCTCCGAGTGCGGAGCCGGTGTTCAGGGCGGGGGCAGTGCGCAGAGCCCCGTGGCTCCCCTGCCTAGGAGCCAGACCTGCTGCTGGCCGCTTCCAGGGTGCAGCACGGTGCCAGCCAGGACAGGTAGGGACTAGCCTGTCGTAGCACCGCTGACCAGACTTTTAATGGTCCAGTCGGCAGTACTGACCGAAGTCACCAGGGTCCCTTTTTGACCGGGTGTTCCAGTCGAAAAGCAGACACCTGGTCACCCTACCCTCCAGCTCAAACAGAAGTTATGGACTTGATGCAGAAATTGCTCGGTGAGGTTCTGCAGCCTAAGTTATGCAGGAGGTCACTCTAGACAATGGTCCCTTCTGGCTTTAAAATCTGTGAATATAAATGAAAGCTAGAGTCACAAGGCCTTAGGGAGTGTATGTGCGCGTTTTGGTTTTTTTCTTTCTCCCTGCCCTCATAGCTGCTTGGGTTAGCTGGTTGAGGTTGCAACATTGGTTATATTCAGGAAGTAATTAGGTTCAATTGAATTATGTGGTGGGTGAAAGCAACAGGGAGAGGGCCAGTTTGTTAACACTGTTTTGTATTTATGTGTTTTAGCTTTCCTTCTCTCCCACCACCCCAATGAGCAGCCACGTCAGAGTCCTGACTCTGCTGATTGCCATGTTACTCTCCTGTTGTGGTCTAGCAGTTATCTGTGGCGTTATCGGCTATACGAATGGAATGCACACTCTAGCTTTCATGGCAGCAGAGGTGAGACGGACTTTATATGCAAGTTGATTTGCACGTTGGTTTTCCTCTTAACTTTGGTTTATTTGGGGGCTTCTGCAGTTTGGTTTTTGAAAGTCTCCAGCCAGAAAGAATTAAAATAAGTACTGTCCTATTGCAAAGTAGCCAACAGATCTGTGTTTATCCTGGTGTTAAACTTAGGACTGCAAATCGTCTTTGCTTGAAGAGGTGATAGCTATGATAAATCCATACAATGCTGCCTACTTTCGGCATAGCTGAAATCAAGACATCTGTATATGAGAAAAACCAATGGGCACGCTTCATGAGAAATACAGGAAGAATGAGGTGAAGTGTCTGTTAGAATGTATTTATTTTTCCTGTTCAATGTGGACTAGAATAGTTATCGAAATCAATTTCTCCAATGTAGTACAGGTTGACCCTCTCTAGTCCGGCACCCTCGGGACCTGACCGGTGCCGAATCAGAGAATTTGCCGAACTACAGGAGGTCAATACAGAGTTCCAGCGGGTCTCCATAAGCGCGGGAAGTAAGGGTGTAGGGGGTGCTGCAGCACCCCCAGGCTTTGCGCCCAGCGTGGCCCCCCGCCTGGGGGCCCTGCTGCCACCTGGGGTCCTGGCCACCAGCCCCACGCCAGTTGGTAAGCGCAGGGCTGCCAGCGCGTGAGAGGCGCTGGGTGAGGAGGGCAGAGGGGGGAGCTTGGCGCCGGTGGGTGCTCTGCATCTACTATTTTTTCCCTGTGGGTGCTCCAGCCCAGGGGCACCCACAGAGTCGACGCCTATGCCACAGAGTGTGGGACCAGGGAGTGCCAGATTAGAGAGGTTCAACCTGTATTTCTCCATTTATTCTTTACTTATTAGGGGTGGGACAAGTCTATATTTTCCTTAGTTCATGTACCACATAGTGGTTATCTGGACCATCTTAATATTAAATCAATCCAAGCTGGAAGTAGGAGGATCTAGTACTGCCAGCCATAGTGGAGCGAGGAAACAATTGGGTATTTCTGGGGGATAGTTGGAGACACCTAGTTAGAGCAGAGGCAGCTACTGCAGGGCTGTGGGCATTTCAATATTTGGCACTTGTATTAAAGTTTCAGCTAAGATTGACCTGAACACAAAAATGAGCCAGACGGCGTGTAGAGTGAAATGGAACTGAAGATTTGTCAGTAATGTTTCTGATAGCTGAGCTCTTTCTAACATTGCCTCTCTCATTCTAATAGGCACCTCAGCTAATTCTTGCTCTTTCTCAAGAAGCACGCTCATTAGTTTTTCTCATACACAGATGTATTGATTTCAACTGTGCCGAAAGTAGGCAGCATTGAAAGGATTTATCATAGCTACCACCTCTTAAAGCAAAGATGATTTGCAGCCCTAAGTTTAACACTGAGATAAACACAGACGTATCTGTCTCATACCAATGTATTTTTAAAAACAAGTTCTGAAAAATCAGATGTCAAATGAATTGATATAGCTCTTAGGCATCTGGTTAACAAACCCGGGGCACTGTCCTGCCAGGACTTACTTGCACGAGTAGAGTGTTCGATTTCAGTGGGCCTGTACTCATGTGAGTGAAATTACTCATGCGTGTCTGCAAGTTGAGCCTCAGGAGATGCACTCGTGTTCTTTTCTGTATGCCTCCTAACATTGACATCCAGTGGTGATCCTTGAACTTAAAGGAAAAAGTAGTAAAACTGCAGTGAAAGGCTTTTGAAATGTTTTCCTGATGACAGTCCAGCTGATGCTCTTTAAAACGGACACTGCCAACTATATTGCATTTGAGTATATGTAATTATATTGGATTTTTAAAAGTACCCTATTAGTCTCTTTCCTGACTTTGCAAACATTGATTTAGCTTTATTCCCCTGTGTTTTCAGTACAGTGATGTGAATGTGATTCTCAGGTTTTAGCCAGGCTTCTTCCTTCTCTTTGTGTTGCCTAGCCCCTCCTCTTCTCAGCAGGATGACAGAGATGAGTTTTGGGAGGGATGTGAATGTGGTAAGGGAAGTAGGTTGTGTTCTGAAAGGGCCTGGCAAGTATAGCTCAGTGGTTTGCGCATTGGCCTGCTAAACCCAGGGTTGTGAGTTCAATCCTTGAGGGGGCCATTTAGGGATCTGGGGCAAAAATCTGTCTGGGGATTGGTCCTGCTTTGAGCAGGGGGTTGGACTAGATGCCTCTTGAGGTCCCTTCCAACCCTGATATTCTATGATCTATAAAGGGCAGTATGTTGCTTCTGAATAAACATTTCAAATGCTAAAGTGCAATGCTCCAGATACACAACCAAGCATATCCTGTGAAATGAGTCCATTTTTTCCCATGACTTTTTTTTTCTTCTTCAGTTAAAGGAAATTTAATTAAAAAAAAATTACATAAATGCAACATGGGGTTGAAATTTTCAAATATGAAAGGCAGGACATTCAGGTGTTGTTCAGACAGCAACCGTAGTTTGGTCATATTGCATGTGAATAGTAAAACATTCAAGTTAACACCCTGTCTGATACATTTGGAATACATTTCTAGGATTATTTTTTTTACAATAATACAGCCATTTGTCTGACTGAAATCTTCATATTTTATGATCAGCAAATCATCCAAGCAACATATACAGGTCAGACTGAAAGCAAGTAATGTCAACAAATCGCTCAGTACTGTCTCATGTTCTAATCAGGACCCAACTTTCATAAAAAGTTACATCAGCCACACAATCTGCTCCTGTCACATACATGACAATTAAACCTTCCTCCGTTGCTGATGCAATCACACACCAAACTACAGAAACAGAAAAGTTACTGTACTTTGTTCTCAAGAGGTCTTCTAGCTACAGGGAAAATTTCTGAGCAAGCCAATGAGCAAAAGTAAATGTAACACACAAATTAAATCCTTCTGGTGAAACAGAATGATTATAAGATCTGCTGGATGGATAAACTGTTGAGCACAGATTTATGTCAAAGCCAGGACATGGCATGAAATGCCTGATAAGGAAAACATCTGTCAAGGGAAAACCCGAAGAGTTTTTAGGCCCTATATTTTAGCTACTGTAAGAATTGTAATACGATGGGCTGTGTGCTATGGAGTCTAAATATCTTGTTTTAATTCACCACTTTGTTGTAAAGATATTTGTACTCTTCAGTGCTCAGGCAGCAAGGACAGCAAAATTAATCCAATTGGCCAATTGAGAGTTGGGTTAAGTGATCCGTGTATTGTATGTAGAATCCATAAACACACACTGATCTTTCAGGATGAGAGAGGCTACATTGAAAACAAAGTATTATATAGTTGGTTAATGCAAATCTGTGATTGAAATTTTAAATGTAGAAAAGGACATTTACATTCCCCTGGCAGCTGTAACAGCCCAAAACAAAATATACTCCCCTTACTTCTACCTCTGGGAAAAGGATGAAAGAACAAATACATCAGTTATGTTGCTTAATGCACTACTGGAAGGCACTCAGATTCTACAATGAGGAGTGTGGTACAAGATGTAATTCTATGCAGGTTCTTGTATCTACTATTACATAACACTAGAGACAGAAATTATTCCTGCAGTGATTATGTCCGCCTCAACAAAAGGAATGAAAATGACTTAGAGGTGCTTTCTTAGTCCCACTTGAAACTTCTAGCTACTAATAAGCATCAGTGTGTTTGCTTAAGCTTCATACTTAGTTCCTGCCCACAGTGGGATGAGAACTGTGCTATGTATGGCTGCAGGGAGCTAGCAAAGTTCTGATCCCAGCATAGACAGGGCTTTAGAACATTAAGGTTTAAGGAGGCAGTATGGTCAATAAGACAGGGGTGAAGAGTTGGGAGTCAGGAGACCTTGGTTCTATTCCTGGCTCTACCACTGGTTCACTGTGACTCTTGTCTAGTGGCTTCCACTCCCTGCCTCAGTAGCCCTATCTGTAAAACGGGGAGGAATTATAGTAATGATTGACCTTTTTTTCCTTACAGTCTCTACTTGTGACGGTGAGAACTGCTCATGTGATTTTACGGTAAGTAGCATATGTTTTAGGTGATACCCATGCCAAGATGTTGGTGCAGATAGGTGCTTCACTTCGAAGGTGGTGCTTAGTTATTTTGTTTGTTTGCAAATGGGACTTTTTGAGAGGGACAGAGATTATTTATTGTAGATCATATTTTTCAGTAAAGATCAGTAATACAGTAGTGAGCATACAACTAAGGAAGTTATTAATAATGGTGTATCTGAAGCATGGACTCAAATATAACCACACAGGGCTTAAAGTAGGCTGAGATATCCCAAGACCAAGGGCTAAATTCTGATTGCCTTGCTTATCATGAATAGTGCTGTTGAAATCATTGAGATTAATTAGTCAGGTGAATACGAAAGACCTAAGTGTGATGGAAAGAGGAGAAACAGCAGCAGGAGAGGGAAAAAATTGTAAACAATGTCGTTAGAATCAAGTTCAGTTTCTAAACTTTTTTATAAATAACTTTGACTTCTCTTACAGTTACGTAATTCATCTCTGGGATCTCAACCATGAAGGAACCTGGGAGGGCAAGGGAACGTATGTGTATTATACAGATTTTGTCATGGAGCTAACCTTGCTTTCACTGGACCTGATGCATCATATTCACATGCTGGTATGTAACATTGAAGTCAGTGCTAAGTAAACAGAATTGTCTTAATATAAAAGTGACCTGGCCACGCACATTTTTAATTTGTAACGGACTGAACGTTACACAGAAGGTGTTTAAGTAAAGAGATGGAAATGTAATGTTGCTCTGTAGGCATTGTTTCTACCTATATCATTGAACTCCGTGGAAGCCATTTTGTTTTGGTGTTTTAGCTCTCTGTATAATTATGTTTCGCAGATGTTTCACTTCAAATTGATATGTACTTGAGTAATGTCAGGCTTGAATTATCAAGAAAAATAAATTATTTCCATCCCCAACAAGAGACATCAAATTGGTCAGGAGTGAATGTAATTTTTTTGTTGTTGTAAATACTTTACTATCTAAGTAGTGTTAACAATGTAAACCGAAGGTGGTTCTTGTGATTGTATTTGAACATGGAACACAAAATAACCTGGGCTTATATTGGTTTATCTCTGTATTTAGATCTTTCTTCCTGCTCTTAAGAGCCTGATCCAATTCCCATTGTCACAAATAATCTTCTAAATGAAGCTTTCCTCCCTCCCCAGGTTGTAAAGACTGGGTAAATGTTTCTCTGAAAACATAAATTACAGGCAAAATTTTCATGTCTGAGGGTGGAACAGCTGATAATGGTTTGGGTTTTTCTGGAACAGACAGATTGGAATTTTCTGAGCCCTTCAGACTGGAACGCTCTACTTTGCTAGCCATAGTGACTTGTACGATGTATATTGCATTTGCTGCTATTTTTCAGTTCTTCTCTTTAGCGTCTTGGTATTCACTTCTGAGCACCGTTTTGTTTTGTTTTAAAGCTGTTTGGCAATATCTGGTTGTCGATGGCCAGCCTGGTGATCTTTATGCAGCTGCGGTATTTGTTCCATGAGGTTCAGCGTAGAATCCGTCGTCACAAGAACTACCTGCGTGTGGTTGGAAACATGGAAGCTAGGTGAGCAAATGATGAGTGAGTTTAAAGTGCCGAGTTGGATCCTGAAGAGCCTCCTGATAAACAAATGGGTGTGAGGGGGTTGCATTATTTACCATGTGTTAATATAAAGGGCTTGTGAAAGACAAATTTGCTAATCCAGCTGTTACGTCTTCTCACTTATACTATGTCATCATACTGATTCTTTGTTTCCCCATCCCCTCTGTTAGAAGTAGACCCCTCTTAGTGCTTGTCTACGCCTAAAATGCTACAGGGGCACAGCGCCGCCGCTGCAGCGGGTCAGTATAGACACTACCTACGCTGAGAGGAGGGATTCTTCCATCGACATGGGTAATCTACCTCCTCAAGAAGCGGTAGCTAGGTCGACGAAAGAATTCTTCTGTCGACCTAGCACTGTCTACACGAGGACCTAGATCAGCTTAACTATGATGCTTGGAGGGGAGAGATTTACACCCCTGATCAATGTAGTTCAACTGACCTAATTTTCTAGTGTAGGCCAGGCCTTCGGCCTAACAGAAATCTGAGATTGATTTTGTTATAGCAGTGGGAGCAGTAACCAAATTACAGTGAAACCATGGTGTTTTTTAAAACACTGGAATCAGGAATGGAGCAAGAGCTTCAAAGTTTTAACTCTCAGTTGTCAAGCTTTGGTCTTGCCCATGCTAGAAATGCACTGGTTTAACTAAAATGTTTTAAAAGTAATCCAGTTAAACTCCTAACATTGACACTCTGAAACCCAATTTAAGCAAGGTTAAACTGTTTAGTTTGTGTCAGTAAGTTACTGATTTAGGCTAAATCAAAATCTTAAATAGCTCTGCTCAATCTTAACTGTGAAGTAACTAATACTACCCCATAATGTTGGTAATTTACCAATTAAAGCTAAATTGATTTAAACAAGGTGTGAACTGGTTTAAGAACTTCTGTTGTGGGGGTTTGCACTAATCCGGTTTTAAATTAATGTAAAATCCGGTTTTAAATCAACATAGGTCCAGGCAGGGGTGAAAATAACTGAGGACACTTACCAGTACGGGGCAAGGCGGCTCCGGCCTCTGGAAGGGGCGGGGCGGAAGGGGCGGGGCTGCGGGGTCAGCATTCCCAGCCAGCCCTTCCAGGCCGCCTGTCCCGCGTTGCCTGGGGCTCCTGTGTGTTGATTTACAGGGTCCGGGGCTCCGGACGTCCCGCTGCCGTCGGGGGTGGGGCGCAGCAACGTCCAAGAGCTGCCGTGGCAAAGGACCATCCGTAAAGCGCTGCTGCGGCAAAGCATCATCCTTAAAGTGCTGCCCCTTCCTTCCCCCCCCGTCGGCGGCCCTGCCGGTACGGACCCTACCAGCAGGGCTGCCGACAGGGGAGGCAAAAGGGGCTGGGACATTAAAGGGCTGCCGCGGCAGCGCTTTAATGTGGGCTGAGCGTGGGCCGGTGCAGGTTCTCACCGGTACGGAGCACCGGCCCCTACCGCCTCACTTTCACCCCTGGTTCCAGGGCTAACACATGTCCAGAGAGAAGCCTGATGCTCCATCCTTAACCCACACCATTACCAATAGGAAAAGTGCCTGTAGGATGTTAAATCACCAAAGATTACATGAGCTCTTCACAGTGGTCTTCCTTATTTTCGTTGGTGGGTTTCAATAAAATTCTTAGTTTGTTTTTGTCAGTGATTTTTGTAGGCTTAATTTTTTTGAAAGAATTTTTGAATTGAGGTGGTATTGAGTCTAAACGTGTTTCAGATACTCCTTCCTTATAGTCAGAGTGTCCTCACTATGGACCTAAATGATTCTGATTGCTTCTGGGGTGTTCTAGTTTGTGGTGACGGACTGGACCCTTAGTCTATACAGTGTTTTGTGTCAATATGACTGTTTTGTGAGAGCACTAGTATATTGCCAGAATCTTTATGAAACTGCCAGTTTAAATTTGCACCATGCCTATCTGTGGATTGTCACTTAACATCTTCAAAACAGCATATTCTACACTAATTTCATTGAAAAGCTTTCCTATGGCACTCATCACCTTAGCCTCTGCACTTGGCTGCTAGAAACTAGTTGTCTGCATAGAGTTCTATCTTAAACTTTTTTTAAAGTGTATATGGGGAGTGTAAAATTGCCTGAAACAACAAACGATTACACCAGATAAGAGAAGAACTTCCACTTTGATGTAAACAGCTGAATTTGGTTTTAAAATGTATAACTTATTCTTAAGCCAAGGCTCTGTACGCTCTACCTTGTGTGTCCTCAGCCTGACGATGAGTCTTGGAAGAGTAGCAAGGAGGTGCATGGACACCTTCCCTTTTCATAACTAGATGGGACAGGGGTCTCAAAACCGATGCAATGAACTCCAGAACTTTCTTCTCTTCTAACTGTGGTCGTGTTATGGTAAAAGCTGCAAACTACTGCTCTACACCAACCCCTAGTGAATGGCTAGTGCAATGAATGAGGGTTTCTAGTGGAAGAACTTTTAGGTGTGTAGCTGTGCTGGGGTTGGTGTGATCATTGTTTTGTCTGTTCCCATTGTAGGTTTGCAGTTGCAACTCCTGAAGAGCTAGCTGTCAATAATGATGACTGCGCCATTTGCTGGGACTCCATGCAGACTGCCCGTAAACTCCCATGTGGGCACCTCTTCCACAAGTATGTATCTGGCGAATTGATTGCAGAAAGTACCTTGCTGTATATAGATGCTTGGTTTGAGCAAGCTCAGCTTTTTTCCTCTGTCTCCACCTTCGTTTCCTCCAAGAAGATTTATTATTTTTTGGGTGGTAGATGAAAAACCAGAGAAAACACCTTACCCTTGTGCTTAAAACAAACAAAGCAGGAATTGGGTAGGGAGGCAGGGGCTTTCTGAAGTACCTGTTGACTAACTTGAAGGGTCAGTTAAATGCTTTGTCCATGTGTTGTATGATCATGTTTCTTTTGCTAATAGCTCCTTCCCTGGCTCTCTCCTGGCTGTTAGTTATCAAATCAGAGGTTATGATCAGGGGCTAATTTGTTGTTATTCACTGCAAACCTTTTCATAAATATTTATTTGCATTCCATGAAGCCTCTAATGAGATAATTTGTCGCTGATGCAGAAACTCCTTTTACAAAGCTACAGAACCCTATGAATATTTAATCACCAGCCATGCACTTGAGAAGCAGAGGCTCTCTCTTCAGAAAGTTGTTTTCCATGTATCTAAAATGGTATCTTTGCATTCTTTCTGAACTCAGGTTACTCTGAGCTGCATGGTGCCAGCTAATTAGTGTGAGAGGCAACATGTTAAATTGGATGACTTAAACTCAGGTGTAAAAACCTGATCTAATAAATTAACCTTGATACCTTCTAAGAATTAATTATCTCTTCTCATCATTGTCCTTTTTTTTGCTACTAGCAAGCTAAACATGAAGCTTTCGTTCTTGTTCTCAGATATGTGGGAGTGCATAGCTCTTTATTTTTAGAGTTGGGAGGTGGTGGAATAGCTTTTGTTCGCACAAAATCATAAACTGCGTCCGCATATGTGCAAGATGTACAAAAAGAGATGGTAGCCCAGATTCACATGGTTAAGATCAGCCTTGTGCTTTTAAGCTGGGTTTTCAAAGGAGTCAAATCGTGATAGCCCAAATCCTATTGAATTTCACTGGGAGTTATATACCTAACTCCTTTATGCTCCTTTGAAAATCCCATCTTTAATTTTTACTAGAACTTTGTTTGAATTCACTGTCTTACAATATCCAGCACTTGTTTGCTACAGTAAGTGATGACTTTATATCATTGGCACCACTAACATGCTTCTTGGTACATTCTTCTGAGGAGTAAGCTGATGTATTTGGCTAGATTTTCATTATATCTACTTTAGTGTTACTAGTGTGCTCATCACCATCATATCTAGATATTTATTCGTACATCTTCATCATATGGATGAAGGGCCTTGCACTGGCCTTGCACTGAGTCTAGTGGGTTATATTCTTGACTTTGCCATTGACTTGTAGTTTGACATTGAACAAGTCTTCTTTCACCTGAGTTTCACTGTCTGTAAAATGGGGATGACACATACTGAGACTCTGTAAAGTGCATTGAGAGCTTCTGATTAAGTGTATTATATGAGCACTAAGTTTATGTTTTAAGAAATTGTATTGAATTTCTGCAACAGAATACAATTCTGAATTCTGTGTGATTTCTCATTGCAGTCTGGGCAGTCTGAATCAGAAAGCAGACAAAGAGCTTAGTGGATCCCTGTAAGTCCTGGGACCCCGAGAGTTGTAGATGTAAATGAATCTAGAAAATAAATGCATTATGGTTTGCATCAATAAATCTTAGTCCATAAAATTCTCACAGTAATAGGCCCCTTGTCAATAATATAAGTAAGGTTAACTGTCTCAAGAAAAATTTGAACAGTTCTTTGGAATGATAACTCCAGACCAGCCTGGCTAAAAATGCCTTGAAGATTTACCATCACAGCCACAAAATTTACTCACCTGCTCTTTATGATGATGATCATTTGACTTCCCCTTCCAAACTAAAATTTACTTGCTCTGGGCTACTTGGGCAAGTAAATCTGTGCAAGCCTTCTCTAGACATGAAGAGGGTCTGTCTGGAAGCATGGGTATAAAAGCAAGGTAGGAACACTTTCACTTGGGTTTCTTCAGCTGAAAACAAATCAAGTGATGTGGTCATCAGAAGCTAATCAGATAGTCTATCACTTCAGGTAACTGTAAAATGTAACAGCAATCAGACATATTTATGTGTTGCAGAGAATATTGTGAGGTGTGATTGTTACACTGCAGCTTCTCTGTGCACCTGTGATCTTGATATCTCAGACAAATGGTATATGCTCACTATGGTTTTCTGTTGCCTGGTTTCTTGTCAGCTCATGCCTGCGTTCCTGGCTTGAACAGGATACATCCTGCCCCACCTGCAGAATGTCTCTCAATATCACTGATAACCACCGAGTTAGGGAGGACCACCAGAGGGAGAACCTAGATGAGAACTTGGTACCTGTGGCGGTAGCAGAAGGCAGACCTCGCTTGAACCAGCACAATCACTTCTTCCACTTTGATGGTTAGTTAACCAGGTTTTACAGTTGATATTATCCAGAAAAACAGAAGAGCAGCAGCCTTCTGTATAACTGGATCCTCATTGTGGTCCAGTATAAACTTAAACTGTACAAAAATTTCCTCTCCCTTTCAGCTTTCTCAGACAGACAGTTCCTTCTCCTAGTTACAGGTGAATATCGGTTCATAGGGTATGTCTGCACTGCAGTCAGAGGTGTGACTGCAGCATGTTGTGACATGTAACAATAACAATGAAGCCACAGCAAGCAGCACAAGCTAGCTGCTCGAATATGTACCCAGGGTCCCAGGCGGGCTTCACTGTGAAGCTATTGCTAGCTAAAAGCTAGCTCAGATATGTCTACGCTTGCTTTTGTCACACCTCTGAAGAGGTTTGAGCATACGTTTCTAAGACCATCCAAAGCTATAGAGACTTCTGAAAGCTCCCTTCCTCCTGTATGTAACTCAAGGAAAAGGGCGTAGCCACTTAGAGTTCTACCGGGTTAACAATTCTAAAACTGTTGTTTGTTCCATAAATTCTCATTCCCATTGGCAGAGCAGGAAATGTTTGGGGTTGTCTGCCTACCCAAATTGTTTGCTAATCAGTGGCCGCTTTTGAAAGACTGTTTTACATCTTACCAGGCATGTGTTGAAGGCTTTCTCCAAAATTATACTAACCATCTAGTCCCCATTTATCAGCCAAAACTTGAAAGAGCCTTGCAAGACCTGAGTCATATGAAATCCTATAGAGGCCTAAGAAAGTTTGGTCTTAGCTAAAAGCATACGTTCAAAAGCCATCAGGTGGTCCTGGTGGCTTCATTAATATATCATATGATATATGCACAAAGCACATGGACTTCTCAGTGGTCCTGGGTCATGCTGTTCCCTCAGCATGCTGGTACAAAAGCTGTTTCTGGTGCAGAAAAAGCTCATTAGTGCAAAGGTTCTTCCAAATTTTTGTTCGCTTTGACACCAGCATATGTCTTCTTTCCCCAGCTGATGGGGAATTTTGTCACTTGTGGGGAATTTTAAAAGCCTTTTCAGTTAATTGTGTGTCCACATTGGCAGGCAGCTGCTATTGGGCCTGCTCATAGCAGGCATTCTAACTGTCACACAATGAACCTTTATTTATCCGTTCTGTTTTTGTAATCTCACATCTTTCAAATCAAGAAAACCAAGAGAAGAAAGGCTGGTCCCTGTTGGGTGCATCCAGGCCCTTCACTGCGGACAGCGTCCTGCACAGTCTCCATTTTCTGGGTTGATTTTGTCTCTCCTAAGGACACTTGCAAGTAGAAGCTCCCCTCCCCCACATTCTCATATGAGAGACCACTGAGGTTGCTGTGGAGACAGCAACTGCTATCTCTTAGAGCAAGGCATGGACTGAGTATCAGAGAAGTAAGAAATGAGGAAGGGAATGGGAATGAGGATTTATCCCTCTTCCATACTCAAGGCGGCCTGATCCTGTAATTGCCACAGGAAGAGGCGGAGGATCACTCAGCGCGATTGCTCCAGGCTCTTGCACGGCAGTATGATTGTGAAACAGTAGGGGCCAAAGGTAGCTCTTTCTAAGCAGGCATGTCTTTATTGAAATTGGTGGGGTTGCACCCACTTACACCAGAGCTGAATTTGACCTTAGAGTTTTCCCTTTGTCTTTGAGCAGGTATTTTTACTCCACAACTTAGAACTTACCTGTAGGTTACTGGTGCTGTAACTGAGTTCATGTCCTGTTGATTCCCTGATAGCCCCCAAACTATTAAACACTCCCTCCTCCTCCCCCCCCCCCCCCTCGCCGGTCTTTGTTTAAAAGTAAAAATATTGTGACAGATCAGCTGCAGATCAGTAGTGGCTGGTTTAGTGAAATGTTTATATGTACATTTCAAACAAATAGTGACGGTTATGGTGAGAGGGATATGTTTGTCTTTGCTCCTACTTTCTCCCCATTTGGGAGACATGCTTAGAATGGAATCCATTATAGAATTCAGCTTATTCATTTTGTGTCATTCGAGATGATGGAATTAAACACACATGGAAAAGCCCAGATGGCTGAAAACCTCTTTTATTCCTGCCTGACCTTCCTTTTGGTTTCTTGCTCTCAGGCTCCCGTATCGCTAGCTGGTTGCCCAGTTTTTCAGTGGAAGTGATGCACACTACTAATATCCTGGGGATTGCGCAAGCGAGCAACTCACAGCTCAATGCTATGGTAAGACCGATGAATAGATTGTACTCCTATGCCTGCCCGTCTGTGTTGGAGTGAAAGGGATGTATGTGGACTGAGAGTGAGTGGAGACATTGAAATCTCTAGCAGGTGCCAAGCTCAAGGCTTCACCACGGAGACACCCTAGCTTAAGTGGGTGCAGCTCCGTTGTCGTCTGGAGCTGGGTTTGCATGTTAGCCATGCTAATGGGTGAAAATAAATGGACAGTGGAGGAAACTGAAGTGAGGGGAGACCATAAGTCAGTGTTAACATTGTGCACTGCTTGCAACAGATGTAGTGGATGAGGATAGATAGATTGGTGTGACTTCAGAGATTGGGACATAAAGCTGCTTCTCTCAGCTTGCTTGGTGTTGCCTTCTTATGGTCCTCTCCAGTACTTCATTCCACACACAGTTCATAGTAACAAAGGTTCTGATTCTGCATCCTGAGTGTTTTGCCATTGACGTCAGTGGTAGCAAAATCAGGCCTTAAACTGACAAAACTGTCTCTGCAGTAGTGTTGTAGCCGTGTTCGTCCTTCTCAGAGAGAGACCGTCTCTGTATGTTTCTTTTCTTTTAGAACTATAGTTCTTATCACCATTATTAATGGTACTGAGCATTTACATAGAGCTTTGTGTTCAAACACCTACAAATGAGATGGTGCTCTTTTAGTACAGCAGAACCTTGCTAATTCACATTGAGGACTGGGACACTGATTATAAATTACCAGATTTTGTTGATTAGTGCATAAAAGATAGCACATGATAGAAAAGGTCAAGGAAATTACATCACAAAATGTGTTTAGTTCATTTAATCGGACAATCATTTAACCTGAATTATGTATGATACCCAATTTCATAGCATATTAGCAATTGTTCATCAGTGTATCTTGTAAAAAGAATGACATCTACCTGCTACAAGACCTGACGGCGGTGCCACCTCTGCTATTGAATCTGTGTGGGGTGAGACCACAGTTTTTGAATATTTTTGGGTTTGCAGACTATCGACTGTAATAACTTTATTCAAGTTAAATGTGCACAGAGTATTTAAGCAGACGCCACCTATTCTTTTTTTCTGAACAGGATGACACAGGATGGAAGTTATATTTAGGACGACTAATAATGTCTAAGGGTCATGCATATTTGAATATATTTCAGTATTGTACTTTAAATTGCCTAATGTAAGGAAAAAGACCAGTGTGTTAGTAAACCCAAGCATTATGCATTTTAAATTGGAAACTAAGCAAAATTCTGCTTCGTGGGGGAGGGATAGCTCAGTGGTTTGAGCATTGACCTACTAAACCTAGGGTTGTGAGTTCAATCCTTGAGGGGGCCATTTAGGGATCGGGGCAAAATTGGTACTTGGTCCTGCTAGTGAAGGCAGGGGGCTGGACTTGATGAGCTTTCAGGGTCCCTTCCAGTTCTATGAGATAGGTATATCTCCATATATTATTAATAAAAAGGGAAGTTGTTGTTACGTGTACTGTACCTCTGTTGTTGCTTTGTGAGCTATTTGAAAGTGCCATCCAGTATGTGCCTAGTTTTCTCCCCACTATCCAACATACCATTTGCCATGTTTTTTCTTTCTTTCTGAGCATTGGAAAGGTTTACTGATCCTAAAAGCACTTGTACTGGTCATGTCATGGTTTTTTTTAGCCCTGGCATTTATCAAGACTTTTTGGACCTTTAAAAGCACATTATTTTGATTGCCCTCTTGCCTTTCTTTGTTTCAGTTGTATATCATTTAAACAGCTTGAAATCCAATGAATTGTTAGTTGCTCATGCTTTAATCCATTTGAAAGCTGTTTTCTCAGGCTTTCAGATGATGATAAAACATCCGTTTCTAGCCTGAACAGCTTGAGAGAGAGAGAGTAGACTATTTAAAACTGACACTACTAGTCCCTTGGGTTATCAATGCCATGTTGGCGTTAATCTGGGATCGAGTATAGTAAATCTTAAACATTGAGTTAATTTTCAGTCACTGAAAGATAAAATATTGATGGTATAAACACTCATGAAAAAATACCTTGATTAAAAGAGTATATGGGAGGTTTTTTTCGAAGCCTGTATTCTTTCAAGGGCTAAGTTTCATAATGAAATCCAGGCTCCATATGAGTCAATTGGAGATTTGCCGTTGACTGTAGTGGCATCAGAATCTCACCTTATTCTGTAAGTAATTGTCAGCCTGGTCTCATCTTTCTGCATCAGGATGTAAGTTATTACCGGCCTCTCTAGTGTGTTATTCCTGTAACTTTTCTTGCTGCATTTCCCAAAGTGGTGACAGCTACAGCTTCTCATCTCTTGTTCCTGGGAACATGGGACATGCACAAGGTTGCCGTCAAACAGTACAGTTGTTCTGATGTTTTTCTGAGAGTGAGAGAGACCCAGAACTGGTGTGTCCAATTTGCTCTTGCAGTTATTATCATTGCATGCACATTTACCGCAACTGGAATAGAATTGCTGTCACTACAGGTTCAAACTAGGCATATGTATGCACGGTTCTGAAAATCTGGGCCTTCAACCTTCCATTATGACTTTTTTTAGGCACTTTGCATGCAGATTTTCACATTATAAATTTTGCTTTTTACAGGCCCATCAGATTCAAGAGATGTTCCCTCAGGTTCCTTACCATATAGTTCTACAGGATCTGCAGCTGACACGCTCAGTAGAAATAACAACTGACAACATATTAGAGGGGCGCATCCAGGTACCTTTCCCAACACAGGTCAGTCATGAGATCATGTTCTGACAGGACCATACTTTACCAATTGTCTAGATTCATCACCTGGATGAGACTGTTAAGAACGAACTAGGAAAATGTAACGTTGATTCTTCAGTTCTTCCTTGTTTATTATCCACTAGCAGTATCAAATGTTGGGTTAATGCAACATCATTGTTCAGATTTCTCCTGCATAAAAGTCAGGAAATTCCTACTGCCAGCCTAACTCAGGCGCCCTTGCACAGAATATAGCATTTAGTATTAAAGATAGGATTTGATTTGAATGTCTTACTGTACTGTGTAAAATTGACTGGCATCCTGATCCTGTGGGTTTTGTGACTGCGATTATCTCAACTTCTGTGCCTATAAAATCTCAAATGTATTGTTGTATTAACCCAGCTTTTTCGTGGAATTTCCTTGCTTTTTTTAAGCTACAGATACACCATTTTTTCGCTCTCATATAGCAAAAATACCGTATATGTGCTAAAAACACACATAAGAAATTCATCTTCAATGGTAATTTGCTCAGAATGTTACAAAGCACCTCCTTGGTCACGTTGCTGTAGCATCATAACATTTGCAGCTGCTTCCTCTGCTGATGTATGATTGAGCTATATCATTGGAGGGGCGGAGGTATTACAAAGAAAGGAAAATAATGTCCAGGTCTTATTACTTATTGTGGACTGCAATAAAGCAACCTGGGAACCCCGTTTCTGTTAGTAAGAATATCTAATTCTGGTGCTGCACACATCAGATACTGGTGGGTTACTTGGTATGTACCTTCCTCAGTGTGTGTGGGGAAGTGGCTGTCATTCTGTCTCTCTCATTCTCAGATGTGTATTCTCTTTCTTGCTAACTTATCTGTTTTAAAGAAAGCACAACATGTTATGGGGTGTAAGGCAGATCTTGAATTTATTCTTAGAACTTGCCTTGTATTTATTTATGCATTTCATGTAGCTTATTAAATCTGTGATGCTTGTATTGCAGCGTCCAGATAGTGTTAGACCTGCGACAAACAGTCCAGTGGAAAGGCATAATTCCGATCAGGAGGAAGCAGAAACTGCTACCCAGGTAAGCTGGCACAAAAAGCACAGGAGCATGATGGTAAAAGGAAACCAAATTAACGGAGAAATGAACTCAAAACAGCATAGGGTACCAGTAAATTCTGCCGGTGGGTATTACAATGCCTAGGCTGCTGGTGCACATTGGTGACACCTGTACAGAAAATGTCAGGCTTCCATTCTAAAGCACAGTAGTCTTATGTGACTGGGACAGGATGGTTTTTCAAGGAGTTCTTCATCTTGGAGAGGAAGGCTGTTGGGGAGTTGCAGAGCAGGGTTTCTTGCTATCCCTGGATTCTTTAGAGAGATCACTTAAAGGGGAGGGTGGGAGCTCCACTCTTTATTTTCTCTGAGACTTTGGGGATGTTGTCCCTTTAATGAGTGGATTTTTTTCAGGTATGGGGGTTTTTACATGTGGTTGTGGAGGGGCAGGGAGGGAGATAGATCTAGGGGGCATGGGGTGCCTATGCGTGAATGGGGTACAAATGCAGGGGGAGAGGAAGGGGAGGAAGGTAGTTAACTCTTCCTTTTGCTGATTTTCCCCAGAAGCAGAAGGAAAAACATCTCTTTCCCTCTTTAAGGAGTTAATAGAACGGTGCAAGTCGGCTAAACTAAAGCTTGGAGGAAAGATTGGAGTCTCTTATTTGATTGGTTTTTAAGATTCTGTTTTTCCCTGATCTGAAGTGGTTTTACCTTCCTCTGTAGTTGGATTTAGAAGGGAATGAATCATCAGATACAGAATCTTCTGGCCCCTGGCAGTTTTTAATAACCTGAATAGCCCAGCTGTGGCTAATTTAAAGGCAAGGTGCAGCAGTTTGCCATTAGTAGACCCTGAGGTAGCATAGGGTTTTATTTATATTTAAAGCCCTGAAGTAGAAGATAGAATAGGGTCAGTATAGGCATGAGTTTCAAGTGGGAGGAAAAATCAGAGGTGGAAAATCTGGAGTTGGCTATAAAGTACTTGATTATTCTTGAGTGATTTAAGGAAACCTCATCCCATGTTTCTTTTGGGTTATTCTGATTTCTTTTGGTGTGTTAGTAAAATCTTTTTAAAGGATTGTCATCTCATGTTCAGGAGCATCATTTTACAAATTTGCTCTAGCTTTGAATGTTTTGTGTTGAACTTGAACCTTTTTGTTTTCTGTACTGACATTCTGGATCTGTGTATGCAGATCTTCTGTCTTGCTAACCCACCTGAAAAGCTTTAAAAGTTGCATGTGTATGCGATGCTTTTGAAAGTGCAAGTTCAAAAAGTGGCACACTTCTTGGTCTGATTTAAAATACAGAACTGTACCCCAATTCAAACACTTTAATCTGAGCATATTGATTTGAGGGAGGATGTGTCGGCTCACTTGCAGAGTTAGTAATGGGCTTGGGATAATGATCTAGGGACCTTTTCTCCTGTAGGTGACTGGATGTGAATTTCATCCCAGGTCTATCGTGACTGAAAGTTATCAGCGATGGCTGTGGGAAGTGAGTTGGTGGTCTCCAGCCTCTTCCTACTGGACAGGCATCCACAGTGCAAAATGAGCACTTCTGACAATCTTATTAGAGGCCAAAACCAGTAAATGGGCCACGGAGATTCCCAACTTCCATATGTGTTTCCATCAGGTCAGGCTTGAATCACGCTGGGGTAGTGTGAAGTGGGCTTAATCTGGAGCAAGGGAGATTTGGATTTCTAACCATAAGGATAGTTAAGCACTGGAATAGTTTGCCAAGGGAGGTTGTGACTCCCTGTCCTTGGAGATTTTTAAGAACAGATTAGACACCTGTCAGGGATGGTCTAGGTTTACTTAATCCTGCCTCAGCACAAGGGACTGGTCTAGATAACCTCTTGAGGCAACATTTCTATGATTCTATTATATTTCCATGGACAGATGGCGGATTGCTGACTGGTTATTAGTCCGGGTGTCCAGTTCCATGTTAATTCTTTCATGGCTCAGAGTGGTAGGCCCAGAGAGAATAGCCATGTCTTGCAGGGATTTCTTGATTATGTTCATCCCCTTTTAGCTGTGGTTTCTTGCTTGATGGGGTAACGTGTACATTATGGGTGCAGTCCCTTCTCTCTCTACATCTTGCCAGAAGCACACATTACCATATCTGTGTATCCGTAAAGACATAGAAATGCTTGTGGCTCTTACGAGGTTCACGTTGTGTTTAAAAAGCTGCTTTAGTGCAGAGGGACTGTAATATGCCAACTCACATACCCAGCGGTATCCTAGGGGTGGGACTCAGACCTCCAACAAGTATTTAAATTTAAAGACAAACCCTGTGGCACAGAGCACCATGGGGAAACGCCCAACGAGACACAGCAGCCTGTTCATCTGCCTCCTCCCTGATGCTATTGGGTGACAGCTTTAGAGTGATTTCTGCAAACTCTCTAGCTCTGATGGTGCTACCTTCTGGCTGGGCCTTCCTTCTTTCATCCCATACATCACACACCCTTCTCTTCCTTATCCAAATACTGCCTCTGTAACCTCTCTGACAATGACTCGCCTTCCCTCACCAGCCCTCAGAATTTCCATTTATTGGATATCCTGTTTTTTAAGGGCACTAAAATACACTTGAAAACAAGCAACCTCCTGACTTAGGGAAGTGTAAGCCTTCCTCTCCCCGTGCGGTACATCGTAACTTGCTTTGCATAAGGTCCTTTAGGCAGGGGTGACGTTGCTTTTAAAAATCTTGGCTTAGTGATTTTGGGTGCCCAACTTGAAATACTTCAAAGGAGATTTTCAGAAAATGCTGAGCACCTGCCCTCTGTAAATCAGATCCTTTCAGGTGCCTCAAGCTGTGCACCCAAAATCGCTCGCTCCCCCTGAAAATCTGGCCAGGCCTTTATCCTCTCTGTAAGGCGACATGCTTGCTTCATTTGTGGGGTCATATCAAAATGGAAAGTGAGATCAGCAGTGCAAACAATGGTCCTCTCCCTTTCTCTCTCCTTCCTCACCATTGTGTAGTTTTTCCCTCTTGGGTTTTTCTCCACTCTCGGCCCAACAAAAAAGTGTTGAAGTGTCTCATGTCTCCCTGACTCTAGTCAGCTCCTTCAGGCTTATACTTCCAGTCACATTAAAATCCATTGACCTAGTTTAAGAAAATTAATGCAGTCTCCAAAGGTAGGTGTCCTCTCTAAAGAGATTGTCATAGATCCTTAGGAACTGACTTAATAGTGAGATTTCAGGGTAAAGCTGAAAACCCTCTGATGGCACAGTTGACATGCCTTGAGAAGTGAATGCACTGGTATTGCTTAGATCCTGTGGTGATGAGTGCTACAGAGAACCCTGCAGGCATCACAAATTCTCCTAGTGCAATTAACAATTTTTTCTCTTGAAATCTGTAAGAGGAATTGATTCTGAAGTGTGGAAGTGGTTTAATTTGAGTGCTGGTCTGATCTTTTGGCTTGTCATAACCTTTATTATTGTGTTTTGGGATGTTGCGCTCTCATATGCTACAATGGCTGAGATTTTAGTTAGGTTACCAGCTTCCTACAAGAACAGTTGTCGGTCCCCAGCTCGAAGAACAGACTTTTGATGTTGATGGTCTTGCCTGTCTCAGCTTTCATTTTTTGAGTAACAGGGAGAAGGTTTTGGCACAGTATTCTTCTACCCTCGGTTACTTTCATTTTCCCTCCCCTTTTTTAAGTCTTGCTTTAGTCTTCAGTATGGCATAGAAACGTCACTGACTGATGACTTCCTAGCCATGGGTAAAGGTCAAAAAGGCGGGAGGCGGGGGTCCATACTGATTTTTCTAGGTCTGCTCTCATCTTTTGAGACTGTTGGCTGTGGGTTTGTGGTGACTCTCCTGTGGACCCTGGTTGAGGTGGATGAGATCATTCTAGGGTGCTTCCATTCTTTCATCTTGGAGATCCAAGAAAGTGAGGTTGCTCACTTGCTCCAAGGCTTTCTGAGGGGACCACGGAGTTCTGTTACATCACTCCTCCACCTCGATGTGTATGCAAAGACCGCTAATGATATAAACCCCTCCATACTGTTAAATGGCCCAAGAAGGTCATGTCTTGGTTTTCATAAAGAGGGTATTTAAGGTTGCTGCAGTAGCAGCATCATTATGTGATCTAGCTGTTGACGTTTCATGTTTGATAGGCCTCTGTTGACATCAGATTGTTTGATGCATTGCTGCTTATGCTCCGAAGGTATTGGTATCAACAAGAAGGGTGCACTGATTTGTCCCCTGTGGTTTAAAAATGACTTGTTTTGCTCACCAGCTGTTGAAATCTATGCGTTCCACAGTTTACAGCTTACATGTCCAAACTGGAGATTTATACTGTCAGCAGGCTGCCATCAGCACAACTGGATGTTGAAATAGATGCAGTTGATGATTTGGAGTCAGAGCAGCTAGGCTGTAGAAACTGCCATGAACAATGTATTACCTGTCTGATGCATTTCAGTTGTCAGGGCAGTCTGCCTGGATGGCAAATGATACCAAAGCTTTTAGGCTGTTGGCTCAGGTAATGCATTTCTTGAAGTTACCATGGTTAGCACTAGCTAGTAACTTCCTTTTTTATGCTGACCTGATATGATAGGACATGATCAGTATAGGCTGATTACTTCACTTAAAGCAGTTTAGCTGTGTCATTGTTCATCAACTCAGTTATCACGTGAGCTTTGGTAGGCCATCTGTCAAGGGGGGTGAAGTACTGAATGCTTTGTTAGCAGTGACAGTCGAGGCAGGTTCCTTGACTACTTTGCTCAGTTGCAAAAGCTGGAAAACTCTCCCAAATGCATGAGAATTCAAACCACAGCCTCTGCAGAAATCCTGCAAGTCGTGCTATGGACAACCCAGTCCTAAGCTTACGGAGCTTTATGTACCCTCTGCAGTCCTGTTCACAGCTGCTTCATCAGAATGGTGATTCTAAACTTTACTGTTGTGCCAGCATGCAAGAGTGGGCTCACTAGAGGATCCTGCTTTCAGAGAGCTCTTATTACAAGCAACTAATTTTTTATGTCTCCAAGACTGTCATCAAATACGGTACAACAACTTTGTGCAGTGCCCTCAAATTACAGTGGGAAGCAGTGGAGTCCTTCATGCCACGTTTTGAGATGAAGGTTGGATTCCGGAATGTGTGGTGCTCAGTAGCTCTCATCACAGTCGTATCTAAGTGCTTCCCATGTAAATTAAATCTCCAGGCTGAGACCCTAGCAGACTTCATGGAGATTTCTGTTCTTCTTCCCTCTCTGAGCAAGGAGACTCTTTGGAGAATACATTCCATCATCATACTGGAAATGCTGTGTCAGAGGAGTACCTGGAAAGTGGTCAGCCTCTATATTAATCTGATCTCAGGAAGCTCATTCCACAACTGTCACCTCATAGAGCGCTTTATTTCCAGCTCTCATGCCCTTACTCCTGGACTTTGTAATCAGAGTCTTTCCAGAGGTGTCTTGGCAGGGTTGTAGATGAAGATGTAGTTGCTGGTGTACCTGGGTCCTTTCGCATTAGAGACTTTGAAGATTGGGGCCAATATATGCCACCATCACTAAGGGTATGTCCAGACTACCCACCGGATCAGCGGGTAGCGATCAATCTATCAGGGATTGATAGATCGCATCTCGTCTAGACGCGATCTATCGATCCCCGAACGCGCTCCCGTCGACTCCGGAACTCCACCAGGGTGAGAGGCGGAAGCGGAGTCGACGGGGGAGCCGCGGCCATTGATCCCGCGCCGTGAGCACGGGAGGTAAGTTGATCTAAGATACGGCGACTTCAGCTACGCTGTTCCCGTAGCTGAAGTTGCGTATCTTAGATCGACCCCCCCCCCAGTGTAGACCAGCCCTTAACATAACAAACTCTGCAAGGTATTGCAAGTAAAAGAATTACTCAGTCAACCTATTGTTAGCTTTGAATTTAGTTTAAGTCGTCCCAACCTTTTCTTCTTGTATTGCTCATTATTAAAAGCATTTTGGTGGTAAGAAAAATTCTGGGGTTGAATTTATTGTATCTTAAGGCTCGGTCCTGCAAGGTGTGGTGAATGCTTCCTTCAAGGAGCTGTGGCTGCTTAGCTTAAATCATTGAGAGTGGAGAGTGTTAAACAATTTGCAGAATTAGGGTCCCTGTGATGATTTTCCTGTTTATCTGGAATAGTTCTTTCTGGGGGAAAACAGAAATAGTTCTGTCTGGAGAGATAGTGTAACCACTGGATTGGACTCAGGAGAGTGTGTTCTATTCCCAGCTCTGTTGGGTGACATTGGATAAGTCAGTTCACCGCTCAGTGCCTCAGTTTCTCCATCTGTAAAATGGGGGATAATGACACTAAACTATGAAAAGCACTATGTAAGAGCTAAGTGGTGCTATTATAGACGCGTAGACTTTAAGGCCAGAAGGAACCATCACGATCATCTAGTGATTCTAGTCTGACCTCCTGCACGTTGCAGGCCACAGATCCTCACCCACTCACTCCTGCAATAGACCCATAATCTCTGGCTGAGTTACTGAAGTCCTCACATCATGATTTTAAAGACTTAGAGTTGCAGAGAATTCACCATTTACACTAGTTTAATCCTGCAAGTGACCCATGCTGCAGAGGAAGGCGAAAACCCCCCAGGGTCTCTGCCAATCTGACCTGGGGTTAAATTCCTTCCCGACCCCAAATATGGCGATCAGTTAGACCCTGAGCATGTGGGCAAGACCCACCAGCCAGACACCCAGGAAATAATTCTCTGTAGTGATTCAGAGCCCTCCCCATCTAGTGTCCCATCATCAGCCGTTGGAGATATTTGCTACCAACAGTCACAGATTGGCTACATGCTGTTGTAGGCAACCTCATCATACCATCCCCACCATAAACTTATCAAGCTCAGTCTTGAAGCCAGTTAGGTCTTTTGCCCCCACTGTTCCCCTTGGAATGCTGTTCCAGAACTTCAATCCTCTATGATTAGAAACCTTCATCTAATTATGATACCCCCACTCCATGGTGGAATGCAAGATTTCTCAGTTTGCAGTATTTCAGGGATTGAGATTATTGCTGATTTCAAGAAATATAGTAAAATGCCTTTATCATCAGAAGAGTGACTGTAAAAAAGAGCTTAATGTTGCTATTACTCTGTTTACAAGTCAAAATAATATTTAAATGCTGTCTCCAGTTGATGTTTGATCATCTAGCTTTGTCATTTGTGCCTATGTATTTCGGTGAATAATTACAATAGAATTTCTTGGCAACTTGGATGCATTAATCAAGAGTGATAAATGATAGCAGATACAGGTAGCTTCATTGAGGTGCATTTGCTCTTCCATGTTCAACGTACTAAGCAGATCCAGCTCACTCTGCAGTAAACAGAACATATACTGGTTTCTAACTTAGCTAGCATTGTACATTTACACAGACCTTTACAACAGGTTGTGTGTATAATATGCTACATAGAATGCCAAGACTGAAATTCCTGCCCTGAGGAGCTTACAAGTTAAAGGCACACACGGTACAATTCAGGTAACAGAGTAGAGGGAAGATCTGATTCTGAAGATACGCAGGAAATAGAGATGCAACAACAAGCTACTAGTGGTAGATGGGCTAGAGTTCCTTTTATAACCTTTATCATACTCTTGTTGGTCAGTTACAAAACAGGGGCCTGATTCTGCAGATTTTCTCCTGGAAAACTGTTGAAGTCAGTGGCAGTTTGTGTGTATATGGTCTATAGGCTCTAAGAATTCTAAATCTAAAGGCATGAGACTGAGACCCAAGGAACTGGTGAATGCTAGTACTCATGAAATAGAGTTTTAGCAAGAGTGAATTGCCGTTGGGGGTGGTCCACAAACAATGTATGAAGTACATTGCTGTGCCCTAGCTAGAGATTTTCTGTGAACTCTCTTTGCCTTTGAATTTTTTGCTTCTGTGCTGTAAAGTGGGTCAGACAAGACCCTTCATTACAGCACCTTTTTGTGTTTGGCTTTTTAATCATCTGTAAAAAGCTGTGATTTGAGGGTTGGTTGTTTTGTTTATTTTTAAATAGAGGTGCCACATTTTTGCGTTGGGAAATTAAACCAATCTCATAGCTAGTCTATCTGAATCCACAACCAAAATAATGATCTGACAGCTTAGAGGTGCTGCAGCTTTATAGAATTATGATGCTTTTTACATATGTTTTGACTGGAATTTGTGAAGAAGCCTAAGGGAATTAGCTACCTAAGTTGGGTGCCTTTTCCCGTTAAATTCCTTGAAAACCCCTGCACTTATTAATAGCTCCGAAAGGCTGTCGCTTGTTCTGATATAGAAACCCCCTGTTATCAAGTTTTACACTCTTCTATAAATTCCTTCTTTGCTTTCTTATCTTTATTCTAGACGGAGAGAGTGCCACTTGAACTCAGTCCGAGACTGGAAGAGATGGTGGAGTTCAGTGAAATGGATGCAGAGCCCAGTGAGACAGAAGATTTTGAGGCCAGAGGAAGTCGCTTCTCCAAGTCAGCTGATGAAAGGCAGCGTATGTTAGTTCAGCGGAAGGAAGACCTGCTGCAGCAAGCTCGCAAGTATGTTCAATCCCTGACACACAGTACTGTCCACTTAATGAGAGTGGTACCTTGTCAAGTGGATTTTGTCTGGACTGTAACCACTGACCCCCCCCCCCATCTTTGTGTGTTTATGCAAAATACAGTGAGAGCAACAGCTGTATCTGCTGCAGCGGGATCAGGACTCTGTCTAATACAGCATCATTAGCAAAAACTCAGTTGTGAAGTGATGACTTAGGCCCATTTCTCAACAAGATGTGAATATAAACTCCTAACCTAGGGCCTTATCCAGAGCCCATTGAAATCAGTGGAATGACTTCCAGGGACTTCAGTGGGCTTTGGATCAGGCCCTTCATAAAGAAGAGAACCCAGTATTGTTTACAAGTCTGCTGAGTCTAGTAAACTATCACCTTGCCGCCTAGCAGAGGCTGTGGCTGTGCCTGCATACATACATTACTATGTCTGACACCCCATGTCAAACACAGTTGTTTTCAAGTGTCGAGCAAGTTTTTGTTTCTACTAAACACCAAGTGACATAGGTCAATTATGGTACCACTTACAAAAAACTCTACACATCGTTCAACCCCACTCCCCTCCCTTGCCCCACAAAATACAGTGACTGGTTGTAAACTGATTCTTTTGGCTGCTAATAAACGTTTGCATATTGAACTTTTTTTTTTAATACATTCTGTTCATATTAGTGAAGCTTGATAAATTCTGATAAATGCCAGGTGAGCATCAGTTGTTGATGCCCAGTGAGACTGAGTCCCATACAACAAGATTATTATTATTATTATTATTATTATTTTTTAGGGTTTGGTTCATTTCTATTGAACAAGTTTCTGTGCCAACCTTTTACAAGCAAAACATTAAAGGGCCTGCAAGAAGTGTATGCATGTTAAATACCTCCTTTTGTGTTCAAATGGGACATAGCTTGAAGACTTGTGGGTGCATTTTAAGAGTCTCTTGAGAAATTTGTTCTCAAATATACCTGTCCCCAGACACATCTTCCTTCAAATCCTAAATTTTGCTCAGAGAGGCAAATTATTTTTTCTTTCCTATTTAAAACTACTAGTTCACTTCTTGTATCTTTAGATCTGTTGGATTCAAAACTGTTGCTTTTAACACTAATTTTAAAATGCAGCAGGATGTCATCTCTGGAAGCTGCTTTCTTGTATATTTTTGATAATCGAACACTTTACATCTTTAGAGCACCTTCCATCCAAAGCTGTCCTAGAACTCTCAAATGTTAGTGAACTAATCCTTGTGAGATAGGTACTACCACCATTTTACAGAAGGGGACATGGAGAGACAGAGAGGTTAAGTCACTTGCCCCAAGCCACACAGTGAATTGGTGTGAGAAACTGGAATAGAACCTGGATCGTTAAACTCCCAGTTCCGTGCTTTAACCATAAAGGTAACTATATAAAGTGCATGGTAGATGATATAGTCCTCTTTCTGGTAAGCATAGCAAGAGTCTGAGTTTATGCTGCTTGTGGATCTGCAGATGAGGTATTTTTCCACTTTCCCTAACCCTTCCTTGCTTTTCTGAATGGTAAACCCTGAACGGCCACTTTTCAGAGCCAAAAGAAGCTAGTCTATTTTCACCATCTTCTCCCTTTATCCTTGTAGGCGTTATTTAAACAAAACCTCCGATGAGGACTCCATCTCCGAGAGCCCCTTCCTGTCCGAGGGTGCTGCCTCTGACCCCGTCACCGTGCGCCGCAGAATGTTAGCCGCTGCTGCCGAACGGAGACTGCAGCTGCAACAGACCTCTTAGCGCACTCTGCTGCTGCCACCACCGCCGCCTCATGAGCAATGTTTAAATAAATAAATAAACCCTGCACTCTTCATACCAGCAGGAAGTCTCTCTTCCAAGCTCAGCTAGCTGTGCTGATGAGTGAGCTGGCTGCGTCTCTGCTGTATAAAGCATGTGGTCTAATAGTGTTTGGACAGCTGACAGATTAACCTTTCGTTTGGTAATATTTTCTATGTGACACTTCTCCCCTTCACAAACAAATGCCGTTTTTAAAGCTTGGGCGTGATTTCTGCTGCTAGCATAAGGTGCAGGCCCGTGGCAGAGGCAAGGGAAAGGCTGCAGCCTAGATTAACAGCTATATGCATAGGTCACTGAAGGTGCTTGCATGTTTAGCTTGAGATCATCCAAGGGGAGTATTAGAAGAAAGAATTGAAGTGTTGAGATTCACAGTGAACCCCATCTTAAGTCAGCAGGCAGCCACGGCCAAGTTACTGTACATATCAAGAACGAGTTAAAAATGTTACATAGGCCTGCTCGGACCTCGATAAATGCTGGAATGTGGGAGCAGGCAGCCCAGCGTGCTGCTGGGAAGCGAATTCTTAGAGTGGCTGGTCAGAGCTGTCTAGCTACGAAACTGAAAAGTAAAGCATGGGCTGTACAGTGAGGTGCTAGTTCATGTTGGTCTCAGTAAAACAATGTCTTTGACCCTTTCTGAGCTCCTCCTCGCTTCCCATTTCTAGCTCTGCTCACTCCCTGGAGTTTTTATTTTTCTATGCATTTCATTGCCAGCGGCAGATGGGTGGCTGAGAAGAATAAAGCTAAAAAGGGGTCACAAGGCAAATAGATTAGACGTTTGAAATCAGTGTTACAATATGTTGGTGGAATGTAGTTGAAACCTACAAGTTTGGTCTCTCGAGTGACATGCAAAGAAGGGTCCATACACGGATGGATCGGACTTTATTGAAGAGATGAGTGATAGCTACAGTATCTTGCTTTTTATTTTTTTAACCCTGCATTGTGTAGTAATATACCCATTAGTTTAATCGAATGTACAGACACAAGAAGAATCAAGGCTGCTGGACTTCAGGTTAGCTGTGAACAAATGCCCCAACTTTTCTCAAAAAATTTAAAGACCTTTTGACTTTAGACACATTTGAAACCTACAATCCTAGGTTATATAGCTCAGTTTTACATGGCAGTGGCTTAATTTTAAATGTTTTGAGGAGTGTCTTCTAGTATCACTGTCCTTTGGAAGGAGCCCAGTATTATCTAGAATTATTGGTAATTTTTTTTTTACTGCCGGTTTTTAGGACATTTAAGTGAATTTAATGAAAGGATGAATCGCAGAAATGTTTTGGTGAAGATAATTTATTTTGATAAATCTCTTTGGGATGCCTTACCTTGCAATGCTGTTAGTAAACTTTAAAATATTTGTGTGTAAGAGAGATTTGGTTTTGCTCAGAGCACAGCTGTTTGTTTTATTGTTTAAAAATAATTAAAAAAAAAACCCCACCCTTCTTGATCAGTGTTGGAAATTGTCCTGAAGTTTCTTTAATGCAACTTTCCTTATTCCCAGAGCATTGCTGTTATACAGGTAGCCCGGTTTAGGTCTTGTGTAGCAGTTAAAGTACGGTCACCTCCATTGCTAAAAGGAGAGGGAACATATTTGCTCAACTCCAGGCTTTTGGAGAATTTCTCATGATTTCAGCTGTGCAGAAGCTGTTGGTGCTAGAACCCATGAGTGCTACAAACGTGAAAGTGATGGAGGAGGATTAGAGTGTTGTCCAGGGAGGCTGCATAGAATGCAGCTTTTGAACCTCATGTTAGTCTGAGCTCAATTAAAGGATATTTTGTGTTTTAAGATTTGATGTGTCTTCTCTCAAATGGCAGAGATTCCCAGGTTCAAATGGTGACACAAGTCAGGTGCAAGGAAAATCTCAGGCTCTTCAGTCTTCCATTGCAAGCTGATATGAGAGGAAGAGCTCGTTCTATCTGCCTTTGGGGAGCTGGAGTTCCTTGTAACCAGGCAGAAGGGTTTCCCATATCTGCTGTGGGTCTGCAGAGACATCGTCATCTGATTTATTGCCTGTCTCCATTCCTCTACCTCACAGGAAAAGGACAGCCAATCAGAACTCCTGCATGCGCTGAGGGCCATGCTCCTTACCCCGCTATATACTAAGGCCTGGGAGCACTACTGCAGAGTCCATCCCTTATTTCTTAGTCAACTGGGAAGCCGCTGCTCTCTGACAGCATCAGCCTGTCAATTGCTTAGTACAGTTTGCCTGCTAGGGACAATTGTTATGATATATAATGTACAAAATTCTTCTTGTAATTTACCTCTGTGGAACTCATCCTATACACGATCCTCGCACATTCACACTGGCATGAAAAGGTAAACAGGTGGTGCCAATAAATTGTACTTGAACAAGACCATCTCTCAGCCTGCCGAGGCCCCAGTGTGGGACACTGAGTGACCTGAAATGAGGGGGGGATGCAAATTAGTCAAACGGGGAAGCTAAAATGGTGTGGGGCTCCTTCCTCTAATGTAAATAACTTCTAATCACAATGTCATAATTCTTTGTGAGGTAAATAATTTTCAACAACTGAGGGGATACCCCAATGAGTAGCCGCCCCTCAAAACGAGGGACATTTGAGGTATGAACAAAACCCGGGGGCTGTTTCTCCCTCTTGGTGCTTTCATCTCGACCCCTTTCTGCTCACCAGGGATGGTGCTTCCTTTATCCCACTGTCCAAAAGTGCCGCTCTCCCAGCCATCCCCTGGGTGGCAGCCTCACATTGGAGCACTCCTTCCAAGTGACCTACTTCAGCAATAATTGGCTTGTTCATGCCTGGAGGAGGAAGACGCAGCATTGCCTCTTTTACTGTGGTTCTCTTTCCCTTGAATGGAGTCCATCCAAGGAGAAGCCCTTGTGCTGGCCAACTCTGCCATGACCAGGAAGAACTACTACGTGTGTTCTCCTGAAATCTGCTGTAAACACCAAGCATCTTGGAGAAATAACAGAACTTTCTGAACAAGACTTGCTGCTGTGGGAAAGAACTTCCTTTGCTGACGACTGTTCTCTTTCTCAGCTATGCCCATGTTAGGGCCAGTGTAAAGTTAAGGTCCTGGCTGTTTATATATCCTGCTCTACAGCTACTTCATCAAACTCATTGGCAGCAGGGTGGGCCCAGCTGGCTTGGAATCTGTGCTTGGCAAATGTTCCTGCTGGGTCAGGGGGGCACCAGCCATGGGCAGAGAGTGCCAGCCTCATACCCCTGCTTCTACCAATTGCTGGTTAGAAGCTAGCAGGAGAGTATACGGAGCTGCCAAAGGAGAGCCCCGAGTGGGCAGCAGTGTGCTCCCTTGCTGCAGGCCAGAAGGTTTTGTTGCCATTGCATGCAAGCCCTGCGCTGTGTAGTGGTTACTTGCCTTGGCATGACCCAGGGGGAGCATTGTACAGTCCAAAGCAGTGGGACTAGCAATCCCAACAGTTCCCATACTGTTTTTCCTGCCTAATGCAGCAATTTAACACTGATCAATAATCCTCTGCTACAGTGTGTATGGGAGGCTGTACCTGATACCTCCGTAAGATCTCATGAGGAGATCTCAGCGTGCTGTGCCTGGGAGGCTGTTAGCCCTGTCTCAGGCAGAGGAACAGCCTGTGGTTAGTTTCGATGGTGTTCTATAGCTGATGTGTCTTTCTTTCACTACTTGGCATTAGTATGCCTGGCTGCAGAGCTGGGTATAGTAGATTAATAAAAGTTGTGGGATATTTAGAATCAGATACGAGGGAGCCAAGTCATATCCCTTTTTCTAGCCCCTCCCTGGGGGGAGTTCAGGGTCATTCCCTTACCCTACATTTACAAGTGGCTTGTCCAGCCTTGTTCTAGATGCGTCAACCAATGGGGCTCTTCCACCACATCCCTTGGAATTGCACAGCCTCGTGGATCTCCCTGGCAAGAAGCTTTCCCATGATGCCATCAGTAATTGCCCTTTAGGCTGGTGAACAGATTCAGCACAAAAACCCCCAGTGTCCAGCAGTCACGCTCCCTGCCCAAGGGAAACTCTTGCAGTCGCAGGACTAGCTCACCCAACACTGAGAAACATTTTCCATCCTGTTTCTAGCTTAGTTCCTAAGCCAGATCTGCAGGGCTCGGTTCAGAGTGGAGCATATGCTCCAGGAACAGCAGGTGACCTGTGTGTGCCACAGTGGTTAACTCCTCATTTGCTAGGCACAGAGTAGTGCCTCTGTATTCTGCATGCCTCTCTCCTAACCCAGTAGGTTTCCAATAAACCCAGCTAGTATTAACTCTCCCTCTATACCTTTGAGGCCCCATCACCAAGACAGAGAACACCAATGGCAACATAGTCCAGGGAAGCTGACTGTGGACTTTACTCCCTTGGCTGCTACCCCCTGAGTCTCAATAATGGCCCAGTTTCCTTGCAGAGCCCAAAGTTCGGTAGTGCAGCCACGCGCTGCTCTAACGTCAGTCGAGTGCAGGAGCTCCTTCCCTTGAGGGGAGAATGAGAAGGAGATTCTGCAAAGTGGCTCTTGCTAAATCTAGAGAGGCTCTTTATAAGGAAAAGAGAATCCAAGGGGAAAAGGTCCGTCTCTGTCCCCTGGTCTGAACCCAAATCCCCCAAGATAGTTTCTCCGCCTGTTTAGATTGGGTAAGAATGCTGGGACTTCCCGCCAGACTTCTTCCTGGAGCAGCTTTTTAATGGCCAAGTCGCAAAGCCCGTGGAAATGCTGACACTTCATTAGCTCTTGCCACAGTACAGATGTGCCTCTGCAATTGCTGTCATGTAATCACAGGGCTGTTCTTGGCCAGTGAGCAGAGACCCGTCCAGCTTCACAGCTTGCTGCAGCCCAAGCTGCTGAGTCAGAGGTAGTGATAGGAAACAGACACGTGGAATAAAAGCCCCATTGGGCCCTGACAAGCCCTGTGTTGCCATGGCAGTAAAACTGAAGTGGAGGCTGAGTGTGAATCGGCTCCTCCCAGCAAAAGTCGTCCCTCTCTCATCTCCAGTACCCCTCAACACCCCTATGCTACCTCCCAAGGCAGCCTTGCAGCTGAGAGACCGTGGACTTTGGTGGATGGGAAACCTGCGTGATGTGCCCCACAAAGAAGATGCTAAGTGCGCACAGAAGGAGCAAAGGGCTTGATGCTTCCTTGGTGAGGATGCTTCATGAGCTCTCTGCAGGGAGGAGCCCTGGATCACAGAGGGACAGTAAATACCTTGGGCCTGAGTCGGGCCTGAAAGGAGATGGGCTCGTCTCAGCTTACTGGAGTTGTGTGATGGACAGATTGATAGAGGCACTGGTGGATGTATCACTTTCCCGGGGCATCTGGATTGCACTGTCCCCAGGCTGCAGATTGTCCCAGAGGCTGTAGAGCTATGGAAGTTTGCTTGGTTGAAGAAACCCCATAGAAGATCATGGATTTGGTCCTAGTTGGTGCTAATTTTACGTCTAGCTTCATCTGTGTCAGATAATCGCAGTTGAGCCCTGTGCTTAAAGTGTAGTGAAGAAGTCAAGGAATTAATCTCTGAACTTGTTTTAGAACTAGAGAGAGTGGCCCAATTCTGCTCTTGGTTCCAGTGGTGTAAATCTAGACTGATTTCAACGGAGGGTGTTTGGGCCCATCCTTTTTTTTTTTTTGTAATACATTTCTCCAGCTAATGAATGTTTGGGCAGCACTTTGAAGCTGGAGACCAATTCTGCCCTCTTATGGTGCAGATCCTTTTGCTGGAGATGCTCCTGTGCAAGTGACAGCAGGATAAGGACAGTCGAGTTCTATAAATGAAAATATAATGGCATAATATGTTTCTCTTTCTTCCCTGTCTCATTTCCTTCTCACAGAGGGATATGATCTGGCAGAGTTTATTTTTTTTCAGGCATTTTCTTTTACACCACCTGTAACAGTGTAACTGGACTCTGAGTCGGGAGTCCTGTACTCTATTTCTGGCTCTGCCACTGGTCTGCTGGGCAACTCACTTCACCTTGGGCAACTCACTTCACCTATCTGTGCCTCGGTTTCCCCACACATCCTTTAGATTGTAAACTCTGCAGGGCGCAGGAATTGTCTTACTCTGTGTATATCTAATAATCCAGCACCTCTGCCCAGCTCTACTGCTGTGCTTTATCACTCTAGGTCCCTTTCCTCTCTCAAACACAGCTCCTTTCCATCTCCTTGTTGTCTGGCCAGACTCTGGACATCTTGATTCTTTCCTTGACTTTGGGCTCCCTCATTAGTCTCAATTACCCAACCACTGCAGGATACACAAGATTCATGAAGCAACTGCATGTTTGAATTGGGCATGTCCCATTACTTGCACTGAAAGAGGCCCTGCCTGCAATGATGTCACATGCCACCTCTGCATGTCCTTCATAGGATGTGAGTGGCCAGAAAAATGTTGGTGCAGAGAGGGTTAAGTTTGTGTCAGCCCCCTCCCCCCGCTCCATGGCTATTCCTATCACTGTGTGTGATCAGAATAACCCTACAGAACATTGCATTCCCACACCCAACCTTGCTGGTTAACCTATCCAGTTACTGCACATGCTCAGAAATGCTCCAGAATATCAGTTTGTTGAGCTGAAATGTGCAACAGTGACATGAAGCTATCAGCTTTCCTTAGAGGACAATAGCCACTTGTCATCATTTCAAAAGGGATTGCTATGATCTGCATTCCTGCAGTGGCTAAGGATGCCAAATGAGATCGAAGCCCCATCCTGCTGTGGTTACTGAGAATAAGATCCAGTCCCTGCTGCAAAAAGCTTACAGTCTAAACACATAAAGGAAGAATTATTATTTCCAGGTACAACCACAGCGAGAGTAAGTGACTTGCCCAAGGTC